CCCCCCCCCCCCCCAAACCCTGCCAAAACCCCTCCAAGGCTCTCAAAAGCCCAAACAAGCTACCAAAGCCCAAATTGGCTCCTGGCTCCCAAAGCGCTCAAAATTGGCTTCCAAAGCCAAAAATTGCCAACGCCTAAATTTTTATTGTGCTTTTCCAAAGCCGAAAATTGGCTCCCAAACCCCAAATCGCTCCCAAAGCCCCAAATTGGGTTGCAGAGGCCAGAATGCGCCCGTAAAGCCCAAAATTGCCCCCTTTTAGGGCTTCCAAATTGGGTTCCGGAGCCCAAAATTGGCTCCCAGAGCCCAAAATTGGTTCCAAACCCGAAAATTGGCCCCTAAAGCCCAAAATTGGCTCCAAAACCCAAAATTGGCCACCAAAGCCCAAAATTGGCTCCCCGAGCCAACTTTGTTTGCGGAGCGCAAAATTGAGTCCTCCCCCCCCCTTCCCCCTTCACCCCCCCTCCAGCCCCTCCCCTGCCCCCCCTCCCAAAAATTAAAAATGAGTTCCTAAAAACAAAACTTTCGGTCAAAACGTTTCGTTCAAAACGTTATTGGGACCCAAACCCTATACAATTTCTATAAACCCTAAACCCTAAACCCTAAACCCTAAACCCTAAACCCTAAAGTCCCACCGAGCTTCGAGGTTCAGAGTCTCACCTGCCTGGTGCCAAACCAAGCAATGAGCGTGGACGCCGGCGACCCAAATGACACCTTTGGAACCTGGGTTGGCCCCAGAAACTATTGACAGACAGCGTTTAGGGTTTAGGGTTTAGGGTTTAGGGTTTAGGGCTTAGGGCTTAGGGCCAGTTTAGGGTTTAGGGATAGGATCCGCTTGAACCTAGTAAGGGAAAGTATAAAAGTATCCCTTAAGTTCCTACTGTACCTAGGAACGAAGCACGCCTTCAAGACCGTTCCGCAGGAGCTTGTTGAGCCGTGTGGGGTGGAAAGGTCTTTGCGAACGAAAGACGAAGCTGGAGATGCCGTATTCCATAGTCTCAGGCACATGGTTCCCTTGCAACTCTTGATACCAACCGGGCATCTGCACGGCTTCTTCCATGTTGAAGGTCTTGGTGTTCAGCAAGAGTTTGAGGTCGATCTTCCCGAAGGTGGCTTTCACAATTTTCGCCTTGGGGTTCAGCTTCTTCATGAAACCCTCCAGGGCTACGGCCTCCGACTCCTTGATAAGATCCATCTTGTTAAGCACAATGAGGTTGGCGCACTCAATTTGATCCTTGGTAACCCAGTAACCATATTATGATAAGGGCACCCTTTTTGGGTTGGTTACATTATAAGGGAAACCATAAACAAAGAAAAGGGTAAAGGGTACCACTGGGCTACCAAGGATCTGTCAGCAGGCAGGAGATGGTTCGCTCATCTGTTGGTTCCGCGCCCAACTCTGGTCGGTCACGGAGCTTTTTTCCAGCACTTCCAGGACGGTTGTAGTCCTTGAAGAAGTTGACAGCATCAACCATGGTCACAAGTGTGTCTAAACGGGCAACGCTGCCCAGCAAGTGCTTGCCTCCGTGCTCATGAACAAACGTCGTTGCTACCGGCATAGGCTCGGAAATGCCCGTGCTCTCAATGAGAAGGTAGTCAAAACGCTTCTCTTTGGCCAGCTGGGTGACGTTTTCAATGAGATCTTCTCGCAAGGTGCAACAGATGCAGCCGTTTTGCATCTCAACCATCTTGTCCTTGCCAGTCAGCACTTTGGAGTCTTTCACCAGCAAGCCGTCGATGTTCACCGACGCCATGTCGTTGACGATAACCGCCACCCGAAGCCCGTCCTGGTTCTGAAGCACGTGCTGCAGAAGTGTGGTTTTCCCGGCGCCCAAAAAGCCGCTAAGGACTGTGACAGGCAAAAGTCCATCAGGCTGAGGCTTTATTGCTTCGGTTTCCACATTGTCTGCCTGCCCCATTTCTGCATCTTCATCCTCGCCAAAGTCCATATTCACAAACTCTTCCAGGTCATCTCGGGGGATATGATCCAAGGTGATGAGAAACCGACATGGGTTCTTACCTTCACCAGCAGAATACGGGGCTCGGTGCAAGCACGGAAATTTCGAGAGCCTGCCACCCTTCATGATTGCGACATCACCTGCATGTGTTTCCATGCATCCCTTGCACACCCTTTGGTTCCAGTTCTCTATGATACTTTGGGCGACTTCTGCGCTGGCATCCGGATTCTCCGCAAGTGCTGGGATGATGCCTTTACATTCCTCGTAGTACTTCCAGTCTACTCCTGCATTGTCTGCAAGCACCGTCCCATCTCCGGCCAGAGTCATGGCAAAGCGCACCTCCACTAGATCATCGTGGTATTTGGTACATGCGCCATCTTGATTGATTTCAAGCTTGATCTTCCAGCGCAAGTCCTGTTTTGCCTCAGTACACGCTTCGTGCAGCTCCATGAGCTGCAGCAGCATCTGGAACAACGCTGCCACGGCAGTCGGACTTCCTTTGCCAATCTCCGTGTTCTCCTTCAGCACTCCCTCATCCACAAGTGCCCGCCCACATTCCTTGAAGTCTTCTGCCAGCTGCCGTTGTAGCTGCTGAGGGAAGGATTCGTCAGGGTTGGCTTGGTGGCCTTCGTAGTAGCAAAGCTGATCCTTTACGGGCTCGCCTAACGCGCACAGATCTGTCGCCCATGAAAGCAACTGTGCATTGTCATCGTTTTTGACAAAGCCCTTCAGGACCCCTGAATTCCTGTCCGACTCGCATCCTATGTTTCGTGCCAGATCTTTGGCATTGTCGGCTCTGCCAATCTCCACTGGCTTCATCCGGCCACGCTGCCCGGAGGAATCAAAATTGCCGTCTTGAGCAACAGAGGGCACGCAACATGTATCAGGGGACGGCTGTACTGAAGATTGAACAAGTACAGGAGTGATGTCGGTATCTGTGGCTCTCTCTCTCTCTCTCTCTCTCTCGCTCTCTGACTCTCGCGCTCACATGCAACAGCGGCTTCCATCAAGACATGGAGAACTAGCTCAGCGACTGCGCCACTGAACCTCTGCCACAGTCTCCGTGTTTACATGAAACTATAACATGCAAGTTAGTGAAAAGCAGATACACAGAAACAGTTGCAGTAATAACATTTTGTACCACGTATCAACAACACGCTCAGTACGTGTGAGGAAACGCACTAGAAACCGCAGGAATTGGGTGGAAGCAAGGAATGTCCAGCCCGCGATGCGGGCCCAATAGCTGTCTTCTACTCGCACAAGGTGCCACGCCAAACCAACAAAACCCAGCCAAACTAAACTAACAGAAAAAGACACACAATTTTGACATTCAATACTTGGCTCGGCCCAACACTCATCTGCAAGAAGCACGACGTGTGTGCCACCCGCGCTGGTTGACCGGTAACAGCAGGGAATCCTGCGAGGTTTGCTGCCTCGGAACATTCTTTTTGTCACGCGTCGCGTCGGAGGTCTCGATCAAAACAGGCCGTGCTTTGCACGGAGCTTGAGCAAAACGGGAGGAGAGGCTCAGGCAGCGACTCCGTCCGAGTTGTGGTCACAGATCAGAATGAAGGTTTTGCTATGTCTCATCTTATAAACCCCAAACCCTAAACCCTAAACGCTAAACCCTAAACCCCAACCAAAGAAGCTTCAGCTCACTGGCTGCTTCTGGCAGCACCCGTGGCTTGAGTATCTTGCCTGTCGTGGACAGGCTGCGGCTTCACAAGAGCACAGGGAAAGTCTCAAACCCAAGAATTAAAGAGTCCAACAAAGGTTCATATGATGTTGGTTTAGGGTTGAGGGTATTGGGTTCATATTGCCCTCATTGGTGTGTGTATTTAGGGATCCGCTTATCAATGCTGGTGAGTGTTTAGGGCGTCCTTCTGGGGAAATATTCCTGTCTTTTGTCGTTGGCGGAGCTGTCTTTTCACGCTGGATGCCATTGTTGAGTCTCTTGTGAATTCGGTTGCTAATCTCAAATTATGACGCTGTCGTTCAGGCGTGCAGGGATAACTGTCGTTCCCCTTCTGCTCTTCTCAAATGGTGGCAAGCTGTTCTTTCCAGGTGGAAATGTCTCCTTGATCATTGGGAAAAGGGTAGCACTTCGTTCTACCTTTGGATGTCGCTGCTCGGGACAGGTTCTGTATAGCATGTCACTTCTCGCATGTCGCGTGTTAAAGAAGTTCGCTCGGTCCTCTTGACGGACTTAGAACGGCTTCGTGGTGTGTTTCAGACAGTCACTTCGGGCAGCTCTGAGGAGACTTCAGGGACACAAGGAACATAAAACCTACTTCATATAAAACCCTAAACCCTAGAAACCCTACATATATATATACACACATTCTCATATTGGCTACAATCTCTGTTGTTTTCTTGCTCCGACTATATAGTGTACAAATACACACACACACATATATATATATATACATATATATATATATGTACTGAATCCTAAACTTTCATTCTTCAAGGTCGAGCCTTTCGCGCGCCTCTGCTTCTTCCACGCTCTGTGCGATCGCCCGCGAAGCCAGTTGTCCCTCCAATTCGTGGAGCTGGGTTCCTGCGAGTTTTGTGGCTGGGAAGTACCATGAAAACCCATAATGGCTTCAAAAGTCTCATTGAGCCCTGAACCTCTGCCCGAAATGATTGCTCTCATGCGACTTGCCGGTGGTGCCCAAGTACAGTTCTGCAAAGCTTCACCTTCTGAATTCTTGTTTCTAGCGCCCCTCTCCCCAGCCAAACTTCTCACGTTACGCGCAGTCCACAACCCAAAGGCTCGTTCTTTGTCATTTGTGCCCGCGGGACCAAATCCTAATATCTTGCACTCGGTTCTTACGGCTGAAGGCCTCCATTGGGGCGTTTTCAACTGCCGGTTAGAGCTTCCGGGGTTTTCTAGTTGAGCTTCTTGGGGCTTCGGGTTTAGGGTTTCGGGTTTCGTAGGGCCCCTACAACAAGCAACGGCTGTGAACCCTAAGCCCTATACCCTAAATCCTAAACCCTGAAGCTGGACCAACGCACCGGGGCGCTTCGTCGTGCATTGTGCCGTAGCTTGGAACGATGGATAGCTCATGGCTTTTGCTTGACACCCCACCTCACCTTGTTTAGGGTTTAGGGTTTAGGGTCCCACCTTGTTAGCCACTGTTGGTTAGTGTGGAATGAGGAATGAGGTACCCCATATGATCCCTTAAAGGGTATATATAGGGCCCTAATTCCCTCATTCCCTGCTAATCAACAGTAAGGTTAAACTTCACATTTTGGTCCCCGGCTGGCGCATCATACGCAATCATCACAACGAACCAGTTCTCCAGACATGACACGAAAAAGCACGCGTTTAGGGTTTAGGTTTAAGGGTTTAGGGCTTAGGGCTTAGGGCCTCACCCTACTGCCTGCGAAGCGACACCCATGTGTCGGCGTCCTTGCGCGACGAGCTGCTGCGCAAATGACTCGCTGACCCCGTATCCCGACAAGAGCAGCCGGCGAGAAGCTTTCGTGAACAAGAACGTGAAGCGTATGGCAAGAAACGTCAGCAGCCACCTTACCCAAGGGTGGGATGTTTCCCCTTATACTAACAGTCCTGAAACCCTAAACCCTAAACCCGAAACCCGAAACCCCAAAGCCTAAACTCTGGGATTGGGGTACCAGAATCCCTATTAAGGACTCTTAGTATAAGGGGGAACATCCCAACCCACAGGCTCGGTCCAGTCTGCAAGATTTAAAGGGCGCAAGCCGAAAATACCGCAAGGTTCGGGGCTTAGGGTTTAGGGTTTAGGGTTTAGGGTTTAGGGTTTAGGGTTTAGGGTTTAGGGTTTAGGGTTTAGGGTTTAGGGTTTAGGGTTTAGGGTTTAGGGTTTAGGGTTTAGGGTTTAGGGTTTAGGGCAGTTTCATGGGCAAGGTTACATCACGCCGCTACACTCTGCCACGTCTTCAAAGGACAAGAAGAAAAGTCATACTCAAAATATGCCGCGACGCAGTAGGACCCACAGCAGGTCCACCCAAGATGGCCACATGCCTGGCTGGCAAAGTCCGCATGAGAGCGGGCAGACAGTCTGAAAGCTCGCGTCTGTGTGGCCTTGGTGTGAAAAAAAAGTTGGCTTGGGCACCTACTACCGCACTCGGAACCCTTTCAACCCCTAAACCCCTTAAACGTTTCAAGCCCCTAAACCCTGAAACAGCTGTTAAACAGCTGACAACAAAATGGTTGAATATGTATAAGCCAAGAGATGAGTTGCAATCCCCCGCCGCAGCCCACTGGGAGCACTTGGGGTCAAAGTCCGTACATGTGCCAATGCCAGTGTTCAGCCCGAAGACCCTGAGTCCGCCCCCGATCATGGACATCAGGACGCTGAAGTAGGTCACGCGGAAAGATGATACGGCCTTGCACTGCACGGTTTTGATTATTATTATTATTGTTACTATGATTATGATTATTATTATTGCTATTATTATTATTATATTTATTTATTGTTTACTTTTTTTTTTGGGGGGGGGGTGGGGAGTCAACAAAAAGAACAAGCAAGGATCAGCACAAGAATCAAAAGCGCGGAGATCAAACAAGTCAAAGGGAGATCAGCAGGAAATCGAAACCTGCAGCGTCTCAGGTCCTGCAAAGGCACCGAAAAGGGTTTAGGGTTTAGTTTAGGGTTTAGGGTTTAGGGCTTAGGGCTTAGGGTTTAGGGTTTAGGGTTTAGGGTTTAGGGTTTAGGGCCACAGAATCCCAGCATGGCAAGCTACAGCATTTCTGCCTCTTTTGCAGGCCCCGAATATTGTGAAGTACCCCGGGGATTTGCAGCAGCGAAATGTTGAAAAAAGCATGGCTTGGGTGGTTTTATCTTGCAAAGACCGAGGCCAACATGCTCGGCAATTAACACATCTGGCTTGGTTCAGCATTGGGTTTAGGGTTTAGGGTTTAGGGTTTAGGGTTTAGGGTTTAGGGTTTAGGGTTTAGGGTTTAGGGTTTAGGGTTTAGGGTTTAGGGTTTAGGGTTTAGGGTTTAGGGTTTAGGGTTTAGGGTTTAGGGTTTAGGGGTGGGGGTCGGGGATGGGGCTGCCCCCTGTGCAAGAATGTCAGTACAGCCATGTGTTACTTGTTGAGGATACATAAGGTCGTACTGACACTGTTGCAAAGGGGGGGGTGCCGTATTTCAGGCTTATGACTTGACTTGGCAGAAATGCGACTTGCAGTATTTGCAGGCTGCGAAGACGCAGCCTGCGAATAAGCAGAATTGTGTACCTTAGGGTTTTGGGATCATAGAAATGCTGGAATATACGGTGTTCAGAGCCCTTGCGAGCCAAGACGCCGGTCTTCCTTCCTTGCTGCCTTTCCTTCCTATCTTCCTTCTAGAAGGATTTGAGCTTTGTTTGATTCTCATTTGCTATTCGTCCCTAGTTGAGCTTGTTGATCCGTATTTGATTTTTGATACCTAGCCCACAAGTTTATATCTCACATTGCCTCCTCTCCCTAGCTACTGCAAATCCAAGTCTTCACTGGAACCCAACCCCTCCGAAACCCTAAACACAAAGCCTGAACCCAAAACCCCAAACCCCAAACCCTGAACCCTAAACCCCCCCTCCCCAAAACTCCTGGCCCACTCTCAAGCAACAGCAGCATCCAAAAGCGTTTAGGGTTTAATAAAAGGTTTTGGGATGCTCAAACAAAAAGTTTGAAGAAACCCAGCGGCCATGATGCCCTCCACCGATCCCCCAAAATTGGCTCTGATAGATTCTACCCTAAACCCTAAACCCTAAACCCTAAACGCTGTTCTCTCTCCGATGAGTGGCCAGGAGCAGGCGCTGCTGCGGGTTGATCGTGAAGTCGCTTGGCCAGTTTCTTAGGGGATGAATACCCTAGCCCCAAAAAAGGTTAACCTTTTTTATATGTGTAGTAGGGTTCTATATCACCACAAAGGTTAAAGGTTACCTACCCAGTTCCTAAGGCTCTTCATGATGGTGCGGCAGCGGTATGCGGGTAAGATCCAGATGGCCAAGAAGGCGACAAGCATGCCGTAGGGGAACTTGAGAGCACCTTGCTTGTGCAGTAGAACTAAAGGTTAACCTTCGGAATAATAAGGGGATTATACTATCCCGAAAGGCTAAAGGTTACCTACTCTACTACTGAGGCACTGTCCAGGAGGGGGAGCGAGATGCAGGCGTAGAGGAATGGAAGCATGAGCTGGGTGAAGGCAAGCCTTGGCTAGGCTTGCAGGGTTTAGGGTTTAGGGTTTAGGGTTTAGGGTTTAGGGTTTAGGGCTTAGGGTTTAGGGTTTAGGGTTCAGGGTTCAGGGTTTAGGGTTGGGGGTTGTAGGGTTTAGGGCTTAAGGGCTTTGAGGTTTTAGGTCTTTTGGCAGCATACCTGGACGAACCATTTAGACCCAAAACGTCCACAACTGCATATAGCGCAGTGAAAATGGCGCCAGACAACACGCCACACGCTCAACCAACAAACGGCTACCCGCACATTGGCAAGAAAAGGGAGTCCATCTTTGCAAGGAGTGGCCTGACGTCACTCGCTCGCTCATCTACTTCCTGCTGCATTTGACGGAGAAAACCACAAGGCAACAGAGGCGCACAGGCTTAGGGTTTAGGGCTTAGGCTCTGAAGAAAGCCGGAGCAAAGAACCGCAAGTTGGGTGCTTGCGTACATGCGGCCCGGAAGCAGCAAAGAGACGCGCAGAGTTCCCTTGATGGAGAGTCCGTAGAGGACCGTGGCTGGCGCGGGCCAGGACAAGTCCATCCATTGGGCCGAATATTCTTCCGGTGAAAGGGGCGCGAGGTGCGCCAAACCGTGGCTTGTAACTGTACTGGACATGAGGGCAAGGGTGGTGAAGATCCTCCAGTAGACCAGGGCAAGAAGGAAGGCTGTGTAGCCAATTGCAGGCAGCAAATAAGGAAGGATCCCGCGCATCGTTGTGCCGAAGGGCCCGAAGCTCGCCAATACAGCCCGCTGGAGATCTCCACTGGAGATATAGTAACTAAGTGCTACGTAGGGCAGAAGGGCGAGCGCTAGACCCCATTTACCTGGCATCGGGCCACCGCAACTGGCCATGAGTACGGGAACGAGGCACAAGGACAAGAACATGGCAATACCGCCCAGGACATAGTTCTCATCATACAAGGCCCGCTCACCGACAAAGAAGATGAGGAGGAAGACGAGCAAGCTGGAGGCAAAGGTCTTCCAGCCAACCACCCTGACTGCCCTACTGAGCCCTCCTTCTTCCGGCGCCTCTGGCGAACTGCCCTGTGCAGCTTCCGCTGTCGCCTCTGGCACCTCGCTCATCTGCGCCAGCTATACAGAATCACTCAGAATCACCCAGAGCCCTAAACCCTATAAAGCCCCATAAGCCCCAAAGGAGTTGTCAAGGCCCCGTCACTCACAGCCGAATTGAGCCACCAGGGTTGGAACTACACAGGTCGGTAGCCGGTAGCACAGTGTTTTGAGTTTACGGGGTTCCTTGGCTCAGGGCTGAATACCCCAGCCCAAAAAACTCTTATCTGTTGTTGTAATAGGAGTATGTGTGTATATGTGTATCTATATATGTATATATGTTTATATTTGTATTGATTTATTTAACTAAAAAGGTTAAATGCTAACTACAAAGCCCTTAAGTTGGCTTTGTTGCCACCTGCCTAGCCGCCTCCCACCAGACCTGACTGCAAAGCGGTCCATGTAGACCTTCATGGCACTAGTGTACCTTCCACGTAGACTACGGGTCAGTTCACAGTTTAGCTGTGGCTTAGGTTGGGATGCTCCCCCTTATTGTAGTACCCTCCCATCTCAAATCCCTATTAAGGACTGCTAGTATAAGGGGGAGCATCCCAAGGTTTAGGTTTACAAGCGTTGCTGGGGCCGGTTTTGGTCTGCGGAAAAAAGATCGGGCCTCTCTCCACTACCACTTGACAGTATTGGTTTGCTGAGTGTAGACTTGAGACTCAGGGTTTAGGGTTTAGGGTTTAGGGTTTAGGGTGTGTGTGGTAAACATGACAACTGATAAACCAAAGTCGCACAAGCCAACAAATCTTCCAGTTGAAGACAGTCGTTTAATAAGGCCATTTGGCAGATCATGCTCGCCAACGTCATCTTGCCTAGCGACACAAACTTGCTCAAGCTGCTTTTCTCATTGATGTCCTTCGGTATCCTTCGGTTGTTGCGTTGTTTCTGCGGTCCTTCGCCTACTGCGTAAGCTGCCTAGGATGCCTTTGGCACGGCAGAGAACACCGAATTCACCTGTCTCCCAACAAGAGAAAGGGTAACACGTTGCCAGCAACGATACAACTGATGGCGACAATGCTGTTTGCTGCCTCTGGCTTTGGGAAAGACAGGGGGGAGCGCCAAGTCATGAATATTCATCCTTGGACGCTCCCCGAATTCATAACTTGATGGCTGCTAGGAATTAAGACAACACTTGGAGTGAGATGGCCTCTGGCTGCTATCTTCCTGGTGATCTGCAAGCCGAGCAGATACGCCTTGTCTGCAGCAAGCATGTGCCCTGAAAACCTCCAAACCGCAAACATCTCCAGCTTGCGACCTAAAATTGCTGTGTCAGCAATTGGGTGAGAACCATGCTGCCGGCGCGTGTTGCCGTCAGATCCGGTCCATTGCCTGGATGCGGCACGAAGACATGACTGGGTGCGCTGCGTGACTAAGTCGCTTAGCCTGGCTACCGCTCGACCCTATTGCGGCAGAAAGAAGAAGCAAGCCAAAATGCACGAATATGTACCCTGAACCTAAACCCTAAACCCCAAACCCTAAACCCTAAACCCACCTTTCCAGGCGCATCTTTTAGGGTACAGTAAGGGTTGCCGGTGCTACGTCCCGTCACCCACGTCCCATTTTTCCAACTCGTGAAGACCACCCACCTCCGGGTTGAACTGGGTCTTCTATATTGTTGTTAACATGTTATGATGTTGTTAGAATATTGTATGAATGTAGTACTCTATGATTATACTGATATATTAATGAATAATTCTATTCTTCGATTGTTAGATGGATAGAGTAATGCATTAATGTGTTGTTCTATGATTTAAACCCTGAGCCCGATTGAGCAGACAAGCTGCCTCAGATGGAGTCCACCTCCTGGCGCTCTCACAAAGAGGGTCTAGAGAGAGAAAAAAAAAGGACAGAGGTGCATGCAGGTGGTGGGTTAAGGGTTAAGGGTTAAAGGTTAAGGGTTAAGGGTTTAGGGTTTAGTGTTTAGGGGTTAGGGGGGTGTCCACGCAGGCTTCCGACTCAGATCGCGCATGACTTAAACATCGAAAGCTCTTTCGGCAACATCCACTGAATACGCCTCTTCGGAACCTTGCTGCCACCATGAAACATGTGAGGCTCTTAGCCAGCAAAAAAAGGGTCTGAACCTATGGAATTCTAAGGGCGTGCTCTGCTGGATTTGCTTTTTTGGTTGCCGGGCGCCAACCGTGGCACCCGGGACAAACCGAGGCTGCTGGGGAGTGAGTCTTTTGAACCCGGAACCTATCCCGAAGCCGGTACCCCTAAACCCTAAGCCCTAAACCCTAAACCCTAAGCCCTAAGCCCTCAGCCCTAAGCCCTAAACCCCTAAAGCCTTTAACCCTAAACCATGGTCCTGGCCGGGATCGCGCTTCTGTGCGAACTCTGGGGGCGGCTTGAAGGGAGTGGGCGTCATGCCTGCGTGGTAGGTTCCCAGATTTGGGGTTCCTTTTTAGGGGTACATGGTTAGGCTTAGGGTTTAGGGTTTAGGGTTTAGGGTTTAGGGTTTAGGGTTTAGGGTCTGTAGGGGGTAGGGTTTAGGGTTTAGGGTTTAGGGTTTAGGGACTTGGGTTTAGGGCGTAGGAATACGTTCCCCTCGCAACCAGAAAGGGAGCTTGATTCAGGTAGCTGGCAATGTGGAGAACAAGGGCAGATTGCGCACGGCTACCCGGAACATTCTGCAGTGACTGCTGTGAATGTGTGCCCCCAGGCACACAAGCACCCTTGTGAAGCCTGCAAGAAGCCTTACAGTCCGCTCTTCGAAAATCCACCTGAATTCTCCTCATGCCCTAAACCCTAAACCCTAAACCCTAAACCGTAAACCCGAAACCCTAAACCCTAAACCCTAAACCCGATATTCTGACCCCAGACCTGCCAATAGCCCTTAGTTCACGGCAAGTGGCCACACACCAAGCTCTGGACGACTTTTGATGTACGGAAAAGTGTGGCCTCCTGTCCGGCGGGGCAAGTCCAGCAGTTTAGGGTTTAGGGTTTAGGGTTCAGGGTTCAGGGTTTAGGGTTTAGGGCTTGTTGTTCTCCCGCTGGGTACTATAGGGGCCTGATAGGGTTTTGGGGGGTTATTGTAGTAAAACTAGAAAGGGGCCCTAAGGAATACTTTCATACTTTTTCCGGCCCCTCTATTACACTTCTCGATTTGTTTCCCAGCAATTTCGGGGTTTGGGGTGTTAGGGTTGGGCGTTGGGGACTCTTTCTGTAGGAGATGCCGTTGCATGCATCGTCAACCCAGACATAGGAGGATCATGTGTGCCCCGACCAACACCCTAAACCCGCCCTAAACCCGAAACCCCAAACCCCAAACCCTAAATAGCCCCCTGCAATCCCTGCGCACAGCAGGGGTCGTAATCCAAGCAGGGCCTTGCGGGTTCGAGGAGCCGCTGGCCAAGGTTTCCTCAGACGCTTCAAGGACTGAGGGCTTCAGGGGTTTTAGGTTTTTTAGGGTTTAGGGATAGGGTTTAGGGTTAGACTTAGGGTTCTGGGGGTGGGCTCGTCCTCGCAGGTCCGCCCCGGGGCACCAGAGGGTTTAGAGTTTAGGGTTTAGGGTTTGGGGTTTAGGGTTAGGTGTTTAGGGTTTAGGGTTTAGGTTTAATTTAGGGTTTAGGGTTTAGAGGAAAATTCAGCTTTGGAGGGAGGTTTTAGGGGGGGAGGGCGGCCGGGCGGGGGGGGGGGGGGGGGGGGGGGGGGGTAGCGTGACAAGACCCGCAAGCACTTGCAATGATCAGTGCCCTTCGTTGCGAAACATACTCGCACTGGTGATAACACACACACACACACACACACCACCACACACACACACACACACACACACACACACACACCACACACACACACACACACACACACACACAACACACACAACACACACCACACACACACACACACACAACACACACACACACACACACACAACACACACACACACCACACACACACAACACACACAACACACACACACACACACACACACACACACACACACACACACACACACACACACACACACACACACACACACACACACACACACAACACACACAACACACACACACACACACACACACACACACACACACACACACACACACACACACACACACACACACACACACACACACACACAAACACACACACACACAACACACACACACACACACACACACACACACACACACACACACACACACACACACACACACACACACACACACACACACACACACACACACACACACACACACACCACACACACACACACACACACACACACACACACACACACACACACACACACACACACACACACACACACACACACACACACACACACACACACTTACGTTATGTTAGTACAGCAAAGCTGCTGAGATCTGTAATGCTACAGTAGCAACCGTGCCTACTTGTAGTTGGTTGCGCATCCGGTTGAAGATGGGCAATGAGGGCAACAAGCTGCGCAGCCCGCGGGGCCAGATAGTTGTGGATACAAGTATAAGGTAGAGGAACCCTAAACCCTACATGAACCCTAAATACCTTAAACCCTAAACCCTAAACCCTCAACCCTGAACCCTGAACCCTGAACCCTGAACCCTAGACCGCAGTAGCTGAGGAGATGTAGGCCAAGAGGCACACGCTTGGTATTCTGAGGCTGCAAGAGCTGAAATGACTTCACCATCAACTCCTGGACCACAGTTGTGCCGATGAGGAAATTAGGGTTTACGGCTTCTGCTGCACCATCTCCAAAGAGCGAGCAGAGGGTTTAGGGTTTTGGTGTAGGGGTTTAGGGTTTAGGGGTTTAGGGGTTTAGGGTTTAGGGTTTAGGGGCTTCTGCTGCATGATCGGAGGGCCGCGTCGGGCTTAGGGTTTAGGAATTTCCCCCTCCAAGCTGGCAGAATCGCGGGCGCAGTTATTGCTCCGACTCAGGAGGCCGCCCTGCGGTTCATTGTAGAAGCCCTAAACCCTAAACCCTAAACCCTAAACCCTTAACACTAAACCCTAAACCCTAAACTATAAACCCTTAACACTAAACCCTAAACCCTAAACCCTAAACCCAACACCCCTAGACCCTAAACCCTCAACCCTCAACCCTGAAGCCTGGTGCCTGGAGGTCTTCACGGCCGAGGGTACTGAACTGGTGGTCGAACCACGAATTCGCCACCAAACCCCTAAACCCTCCTAAACCCTAAACCCTAAACCCTAAACCCTAAACCCTAAACCCTAAACCCTAAACCCTAAACCCTAAACCCTAAACCCTAAACCCTAAACCCTGAACCCTGAACCCTGAACCCTAAACCCTCCCCCCCCCCCCCCCCCAAACCACTAAACCTGAGCTACACCTGGGGGCACCATTGCCACAGGGCACTTCAAGCGGTCACACTCCTGTGTCCCTGAATTCCTGTTTGTTTCGTCTTATGTGCTCAGACTCAAGCGGTCACACTCCTGCGTCCTGCAGGTCGTCTTATTTTCTCCGATGCAAATGGCCACGCTCGTGTGTCCCGGGTTTTCTGTTTGTTTCGTCTTCGTCATGGTCGCGCTCCTGTGTCCTGGGTTCGTGTTTGTTTCGTCTTATGTGCTCAGACTCTAGCGGTCACGCTCCTGTGTCCTGCCGCTGCACTTCATGACATCCCAAACCCTTGAAGCCCCTAAACCCTAAACCCTAAACCCTAAACGGCCCTAAACCCTAAACCCTAAACCCTAAACCCTAAACCCTAAACCCTAAACCCTAAACCCTAAACCCTAAACCCTAAACCCCCCAAACCCCCAAAACCCCCAAAACCCGATCTCCGCAGCTCCTGCAAGTCGGAGCTCCGGGGCTGTACGAACCTGCGCGGTTGGCTTAGGGCTTTCGGGGTTTAGGGGTTTAGGGGGTTTGGGGGGTTTAGGGGGTTTAGGGGGTTTAGGGGGTTTAGGGGGTTTAGGGGGTTTAGGGGTTTAGGGGGTTTAGGGGTTTAGGGTTTAGGGGTTTAGGGGGTTTAGGGGTTTAGGGGTTTAGGGGGTTTAGGGGTTTAGGGTTTAGGGGTTTAGGGTTAAGGGTCACGCGGCTTCTTGCGCTTCAGGGTTTCGGGTAGGGTTTAGGGACGGTACGCCCATAAAACCTTGAGCCTCGAAAAACTGGGAGAGGAGCCAGTTGAGGGAAGGCTTTCGACATGAACTTCCGCCCACCCCGCCCCGCCCTCCCTCCCCCCCCAATTCCCTCCCAACCCGTCTGCAAACTCGACAACTGACATTGAGAAGGTAGAAAGGAAAAAGATCCATGAATCCCTACTGTATATCGCCCTTATAAGGACGAATATAATTTGCTTTTTTGTTGGAGGGTTCGTAAGCAAATCGAAACAAAAGCTGCCCCCTAGACAGCACCAGAACATCCAAAAAGCCAAAAACCTTCTTCGCCTCGAGGACGCATTACTTCGTGCGGCAACCCGGAATCTATTAGCCGATCCGATTGAAGCTGCTACAGGGACCTTCCCCCTTACACTAACAGTCCTTAATCGGATTGTAGTACACCCCCCCCCCCCCCCTAAACCCTAAACCCTAGTCCCTAAACCTTAACACTGCTAGTGTTAGTATAAGGGGGAACATCCCAACCAGGCTCTCTCAAGCCCTATAAACCCTGTAAACCCAGTCAACCCTGCAAGATAAACCCTGTAAAGCCAACCCCCCTCCCCCTCCCCCCCACCCAAAAAAAAGAAACAACATCCCCCGAGGTCCCTAAACCCTAAACCCTAAATCCTAAACCCTAAACCCTCAACCCTAAACCCTCTTCCAGCCTCGAGAAGAGCAAACCTTGCTTGGAGGTTCATGGGTTCGGAAACATTTGCTTTCTTTTGCAACCTTTGTTTTATTTTTAGTTTGTGCCACTTGCCTAGCTTACTAGCAGTCGACCGGGCTTAGGCTTTACGGTTTTTTGAGGGGCTGAGGCTTAGTCATACGTGTTTCTTTGCTCTCCCGCAGACCCAACTCTGCGAGGTCCATGAGTGGGCATTCTTCGCTCCCAAAGGGGCTTCAGGATCTGGACCTCACGCAGCGCTTGCGTGTTTGAGCAAGCCGTGGGATGAGAACATCAAGTCAGGCGACCACTAGTCATACCTATATGGGTGGTCTATCTGATTCACTTGTTCTACTGCGAGTAGCCTTGCATATAGGGTACCGATATTCAGATAGCGTGCCTAGGGTGCTTCAAAAACCCTAAACCCTAAACCCTAAACCCTAAACCCTAAACCCTAAACCCTAAACCCTAAACCCTAAACCCTAAACCCTAAACCCTAAACCCTAAACCCTAATAAACCCTAAACCCTAATGGTTTAGGGTGGCGTGTTTGGCCTCTGGCAGGTTGGTTTTTTTCCGGGGTTATATGGGTTATAGATTATAGAGGATACGGCAGGGCGCTGCTTGAAGAACTGCTTGCTTAAACCTGGCTCTTCTGTAGAAGTTGGAGATGCAAATTCCCGGGATTGAAGAGCTGAGCGGATATGAGTTCCGAACACACTTTGAAGAGACTGTGCCAGCCAAACCCCTTCATGAACCTCAGAACTCGCCTCCTTTCTCAACGACCCCCTGCCTTGGCAAGCAGGAAGAAACAATTGTAATAGTTATACTAGTACGAATTTTAGGAAGGATAACAACAAAAAATTGAAGTAGTAATAGAAATGAACTTTTGTGCTTTTTGAAGGGGATGCTTCCGAAGCTTCACAGCATAGTGCTTAAGGCCCCCTATACCCTAACCCCTAACGCTGAGCCCTTCTCGCAACCCGCCGAGCTTCCAAATGCCCTGCAGTCGTAGCCTTGCGCGTGCGGAAGAATAGATTCATCATTCGGGCTTACGGCTTCTTGTGGTGCAGGCCTGGCTCATCGTTCAGGCTAGAACGCAAAGCAGGAGACTAACAGAAGCCAAAACCTGAATTCGAAACTTCCTGCTGCGAGTGGGGTTTTGGGGCTTGGGTTTGTAGGGAGGTGGGACCCTAAGCAAACCAGGATTGTTTAGGTTCCCACCTCCCTACAAACCCAAACCCCAAAACAAACTCCAAGCCAAGACGCCCAGCACCCCAGGATATGTCAGTTTGGCCATGAGCTGCGGCAAGAGGGCTTTGACATGTCGAAGCACCTGAATTGGGCCGGATCATGGCTGAGAAGGAGAGGTCATCTATTTTCGCCCTCCCCTTAACCCTAAACCCTAACCCCTAAACCCTATACACCCTAAAGCCTAGACCCGAGACAATGTAGGCAAGCTGGAATTACTGCAGGAAACGCTTGTGATTTCAGAGCTCGAAGCAGCATCAAGCCCAACCATTTGTCCAGGGCAAAAAATGAAAATAAATTTGCTGCCCGAGCCACCGACATGAGCTTGCCAATGTCATCGATGACTCGTGGCATCAGAACGATAAGCAAGCCCTTCGTGTTGTGGTTGCTCTGCAAGGTGTTCAGGAACGGGTTTACCCTCAGCTTCCGCAGTTTTTGGCCTGCTGAGCGCTGGCCACTTGCATGTGCGCGCAGGAATGACACGACGAATGTGCAACGTTTCTGCATGCGACGATCGCTCTCTCTCTCTCTCTCTCTCTCTCTCTCTCTCTCTGTCTTTCGCTGGAATTCCAGGTCGGCGCGGATGGGCACACTTGCACAGTGCTCTCGCCGAGTCTCTCCTCTCGCTCTCCCCGTCTCTTTCTTTGTTGTCCTTTGCCTTCTTCTCTGCGGATGTGGGGCCGGGTGTGTCCGGCCAGCTATTCGCCGATTATCGCCGACCCCCGACTCCCCTGGCAATATGGATGGCCTCCCGGGTCATCCCTCCAACAGCACTGAAGACATCTCAACAAGTGACACGTCATTCTGGAATCATGCGCTGGGACGTGTGGCTCCGTACCTCATAAGCGGGCAGATTGTTCAGACGACTCGATGGGTGTCGTGGAGACGGGTGGAGTGCAAGGATGCCAGAAGACACAGCATGAAGACGGCATCAACCAAGAAAACATGTCCTCAAATGCCCTCAATAAACGGCAGCCGCCGCACCTCTTTCTTGGTTTCAACGACGAATTTCGCCCCCTCGCTCCGGGTCCGAACGGCCAAAGGTTTCATCACTCCCTCGCTTCGCGTCTTGGAGCGCTCTAGAGCCCTCTGCCCCCTACATGTCCTTCGAAACTCCTCACTCCACAGCTGTGGCGGGGCATCTTGAAAATTAAGGTAGCACGCGAGGTCCTGGTGAACTTTACCGTAGTACAGTAATACGATTTTGACTTTCGTGATCTCAGGCTAGGTACTTGGTACAAGCCCGAAACCTCACATTGGAAGAGCGACTGGACTCACCTTTAACCCTTTTTCTCCACGCGGCTTGGGGACGGGACCCTGGGCTATTGCACGCCCCGGTGTTTTGTCTCTAAGACTGTATAAGTCTCTGCCTCTCTCCCTCTGGCTGTCTGTCTCTCTGTCTGTCTCTCTCTCACTCTCTGCACTTCTTTCCATACCGCACACACGCGAAACGCTAGGTGTGACCAAGACGCTCTTCTTCGAGGTGCTGGATGATCTTGGCTGCAGTGATGTCGAGGGACTTCATATCTTTGTCCATCAGGTATCGCAGCCTGCACGGATCTGCAGCGCAGGCAGTGTAGGCACACAGCCAACTAGAAAGCTTCATGGGACAACGATCTGCACTGTAGGCAGCATCTCGAGGCCATTAGCTTAGAGAGTTTTGGCAGCGCTGGGTATTGCAAAAGACGCGGCAGACTGACTTGTGCTTTCATTGCTTCTGCCATCGCAGTCTAAGGTAAGCGGACGCTTGCTTTTGGGCATCCTGAGACCCAATCCTAGCTTGCGCATCCTGATCTTTATCGTGCTAGAAAGACACCCAATAAGTCTTCATGGCCACGCACGGCGCTTCCCAAATAGGATGCCTCTCAGCATCGACCTACACCCCTGCACGATTAGCCAGCTTAGCTTGTCAGTCCTGGCTGACACCCAATCTTACACACTCGCTGACAGATGTTGATAGTGAAGGCTTAGTAGCTTAGGTCAACATATTCTGGTCCTTGGTGCAGCCAGCATGTGGCAATGTAAAGACGTTTGAAATATCCCGTTGCGTTTTGTATAAACAAACACAGTGTTTTTTGCAGGAGCCTCTGGGGACATACTGTGGTTGACAATTTGCTGCGGGGCTTGTCTTACGCCTGCCAGCAGACCTGCAGTGCACCCAAGCTTTGCACCTGGCCTCTGCACTGTCGTGCTTTCGTCCTGCTTCGGGGCACAGAATGGCGGCTTAAGAAAACTTGGGCATTTGGTGGGTCGAATATAATGATCCTCGTTCACCCGGACCTCGCTAAGATGCACACATGACTCGCACGACCAGTCTCCTGGTACCCGTTCATGAATCCCTCCAGCTCGGATTTGCCCCGTGCTGAGTCGTCACTCACGATCATGGCCATGTGCAGGATGCGGCAAAGGCAGTAGCCTGCACGTTCAGCTGCAAGCTTGAAATGCGACTGCTGCCAGTGCATTAGTGTCATCTGAGGCGCTGTTGTGCCGCGTCTCTTGCATTCAGGAGGGCAGATAGAAGGAGAAAGCAAGAGAGAGAGAGAGAGAGAGCGATAGAAAGAGAAAGATAGAAAGAATAGAACGAGCGAGAGAGAAAGAGTAACAACAATCAAAGAGAGGGAGGGAGGGAGGGACCCGCTGACACCCGCAGTGGGCATGTAAGATTGCTTACCAACAACCATTCTCGCCACCGAACTTACCGAGGGTGACGGAGCACCTCTGAATGCTCGGCACTCTTCTACATACCAAGTTTAGGGTTTAGGGTTTAGGGTTTAGGGTTTAGGGTTTAGGGTTTAGTTAGGGTTTAGGGGTTGCTTGTCGGAAGCCCTGCCAGCGAGTGCTCACATTTATGCATTTCATTTCCGGCATCTGAGATGATTGCTAATCTGCCGCTCAGGCCTCCAACCCAAAAAGACTATCTTCTGGCTGGTTCTTAGTAGGGAATGAGGGAATAAGGTACCCCTTAAAGGGTACATATATATACACATATATATATATATACATATACGGCCCTAATTCCCTCATTCCCTCCGAAGAACCAGGCGGGTCTCACAGCTGAAGGGGCGAATGTTGGTAGCGCTCGCAACGAACTGGTGCACTTCGTTCTCGATGTCGGAGCGGAGCTTGACGATCTTCTCCAAGACTTCCTTGCAGCCGGAGGCCCTAAACCCTAACAAGCAACTGACGACAATGAACCCCCGAGTCATCAAGTGGCCCCTGTGTGATGCCCAGGAGCCGCAAAGCCATTCGTCTTCAGCTCCTTCTCCAGCTTGTCAGCATCTTTGCGGTTCCCTTCCTCCTCCATCATGTTGATGAACTCGTTGCCTGCGAACGTTCAAGACATTGGCCACAACTGGCGGGCGCAGCGGCAGAACGTGCTGGCTTAATGAAGCAAAAAAAACATGTGTCGATGAAAAGCCTGCGGCTCAAACCATGATCGGGTTCGGGTTTAGGGTTTAGGGTTTAGGGTTTAGGGTTTAGGGTTTAGGGTTTAGGGTTTAGGGTTTAGGGTTTAGGGTTTAGGGTTTAGGGTTTAGGTTTAAGGGTTTAGGGTTTAGGGTTTAGGGTTTAGGGTTTAGGGTTTAGGGTTTAGGGTTCAGGGTTTAGGGTTTAGGGTTTCGGGTTTCGGGTTTAGGGTTTAGGGTTTAGGGTTTCGGGTTGAAGGTTTTCTGGGATTTGCCCAAGATGGGGCACACCTCCTCCCCTGGCTCCTAGGTGCCCAATGCGGCCAAGTGGCGGACGCCTCCTTGCAGCTCCTAACATGTGTGAACAGGAGGTAAGATGGGGGCTTCATAGGGTTTAGGGTTTAGGGTTTAGGTAAGAAGCGGGTAAGAGGGGGGGTAAGAGAGGGGTAAGAAGGGTAAAAAGGGTTAAGAGGGACTAGTGAGCGCAGCTGTCTTCAGGCAGTTCAGCGCAGATAAGGTAACCGGGCAACGCGGGAGCAACTGCACACCAACCTGTTGATGGAAGATCACTGCCCACTGCTGAGATTCTAGAAGGAGCTGGCAACTGTTAGCCTACGAGACACCCTTTGTCGCAGCTGGGAGCATGCAACAGGTTTCTCTTTGCTACCTGCCAGGATGTCGGCCTTTTTCCAAGCTTAAGGTTCGAAATGACTTCTAACTTTGCAAACCTGCAGCTCAGGTCTTGAGAGTGGCCTGGGCCTGGGCAACTCGTAGGGCTTAGGGGGTAAAAGTTCAGGGGAGGGTTTAGGGTTTAGGGTTCAGGGTTTGGGAGGGTTTCGGGAAGTGGTACGGGATCTGCATCGTCGTCTCCTCATCTTGGGAGGGGCGGCCGCGGTATTTCACCAAGAGCTGCACCACATCGTGCTGCTCGTGGCGTATGGCATCATCCTCCAGCATGCACGGGGCTGCATAGTCGATGGAATGATGAAAATGCTCCGCATCTGCGGGTTTTGGGGTTCAGGGTTGAGGGGTTTGGTTTGAGGTTTTAGGGTGTCAGGGCCTTCAAGGTGTAGGGGTTTTCAAGGTTTCGTGGGTTTCGCCTAGGGCTTTTCAGGGGTAGAAGGCTGTGTTTAGGGTTGCCGGTTTTCGGTTTCGGGTTTTGGGGGTCAATGCAGGGCATAGGGTATAGGGTTTGCAGGGCATAGGGTATAGGGTTTGCATGAGGGTTTTGGGTTTACGGGCATGGTCGGGGGTGTGGGTGGGGGTGGAGATACTGTGTTGGGGGGGGGGGGGGGGGGGGGCACTGACACTCGACACAGCACCAAATGACGTCTCCCAAACCCGCAGAGCAGGTACTTAGACCCAGAAGAGTCCACATTTAAGCCTCATTGATCAAAACCAGGAGGGACGCTCTGCACTATGAGCGGCAACCAAATACCACCAAACGGCGTGTGTCCTAGATACCTGACGCAGGCTGACAAGTTGTTTCGTTGCCGCCCTGCACCACAATGCACTTGCCCTCAAACCAAATCCGATACGATTAGTTTGTTACTTCAGTACTGCATTCTTCGTAAAACTGTGCTACATGATTATATTAAGACATATACCCTAAACCCTAAACCTAAACCCTAAACCCTAAACCCCAAACCCCAAACCCGAAACCCGAAACCCTAAACCCTAAACCCTATCTTCCGTTATTCAAGTGAAGGCCCTTGGCGGTCCATCGGGGTGTTCAAGAAACGGTCCAGAGGATTCGGATCCACCTCAGCCAGCAAAGCATGATCAAGCAATGCTTCGTAACGGCCCGCAGGAAGGCATGTTGTGAACGCGGGTTTAGGGTTTAGGGTTTAGGGTTTTGGGTTTTGGGTTTTGGGTTTAGGGTTTTTCCCTGAAGCTCTCCAGACCCAAGCCCTCTCTACTTGCCCGAACACATGTTAGGATGCCCAGCGTTTGTAAACTGTCGCCCTCATGACGCAGAAAGCAACCATCAAAAGTGCTACTAATCGCTTAAGACGATTTTTACGCTTAAGCCTTTAGGAACCAAACTCTGAGCCCTGCTATACTGATCTTGGAACCTTAGCAAAAATCATAATTTTGGCTGCTTCTCAGACATGGTAGTGACCGAAAAGCAGAAATCATTCTCCTGAATCCCTAAGCCTACTCCTCCATCCATCCAGGCCGCCTTGCCCTCTCGCAGCAAGAAGACGCAGGTCTCCAGGTGTCCGTTTGAGCATGCCAAGTGCAGAGCAGTACCTAAGTTTGGAGGTGTCAGAAAGCATAGACCCTAAGGACTAAACAGCATAACGTTGGGAACAATGCTTCCTTCCCATGAATTAAGTTTCCATTATGTGATGCTCGCAAGCTCGGGCGTGGCGTCCTGTTCCGGCAGTATTGGCACGGAACCTGCTACGAGCGCCCTACCATTCCTCCAGTGCCTTTTCACTCAACTCCTCGGCCAACCTGTCTTGGACAGCATGTTACCTTTCCGAGGTTCGGGCGAATCCCTCGCCCTCGCCTGTCTTGGCTTGGTAGCCCAGTAACCACATTACAAGAAGAGCACGCTTTTTGGGGTCTATTTACTTTTTAAGGGAACCCAGAATCAAAGATAGAACGGGGAATTAAACCCTAAACCCTAAACCCTTTTGGGGTAAGGGTTACATACTTCATAAGGGAACCCAGAATCATTGAAAAGGGTAAAGGGTACCACTGGGCCACCAATAAACCCTAAACCCTAAACCCTAAGCCCTGAGCCCTGAGCCCTGAGCCCTGAGCCCTGAGCCCTGAGCCCTAAACCCTAAACCCTAAGCCCTAAACCCTAAACCCTAAAACCCTAAACCCTAAACCCTAAACCAGTCCAAGCTGCGGTAGTCGTAGTCGGCCATACCGGCCCGGACTCCAGCTTCGATCATCCTCAGGTGGGGAACCCTACACCCTAAACCCTAAACCCTAAACCCTAAACCCTTTTGCAGCGAGCCTCGAACCCTAAAACCTAAACCCTAAACCCTAAACCCTAAACCCTTGAAACCACAATGCTGAAGCTGTGGAATCTTCGGGTTCCTCAGCTGTAGCCCTAAGTCCCTTGATCCCTCACCCCCATGGCCGTGTCAGCAGAGGTGCTGTCTGATCTTCCCGAGATCGTTCTGGGACGCGGCTTCGCAGAGCGCGACGCCGAACTCGACTTTGCCCATCTGGGCGCCTTCCGACTTGAGCAGCCTGCAACAGACTGGGCTCGTTTGGGGGGTTTACGAACATAAGGGGCCCCCTCTGAAATATTCGGATCCCCTCATAGTAAGGGCCCTAATAAGGTACCCCGAATATCCTAAACCCCCATTTGGGGGACTTCGGGCTTCGGAGCCGTCAGCTGTCGTCACCGACCCTGCACGGGCAGGAATGAAAGCATCATGGAGTGAGGTCTGAGCATCGGCCTCTGCACAGCGACGTGCTGATGACGGATGGCATCGTCAAGTGGGGTCTGACCAAAGCGATCTAGGGGACTGAGGTCGAGATTTCCAAACTCCAGCATCTTCCTAGGTCAGGAGCAAGAAGTGCCGTATCGAACAGCAACACATCCTTGCAGGTCTACATTCTAGACTGCCAGACCCTACCAACCTCAGTGCTGAGACCGGTAACAGCATCTGCTAGCTCAGAGGAGAAGTGCTAGAGACAGGAGGAAATTCCACAAAGCAATCGGGACAAGTTTCAAGTTGACAAAGTACATCCGCACATATTCTGCAACTATTTAGGCTCCCAAGGGTCGTAATGGTCTCCAGATGACCATTTGAAGCCGCCAAGTGGAGTGCTGTTCGGGCGTCGTAGTCTCCCAGGTTGGGGTCGACCTGGTTTAGGGTTGAGGGCTTCCATATGGGTTTACTGGGCTGCGGGTAATAGGGTTTAGGGTTAAGCCCTAAACCCTAAACCCTAAACCCTAAACTTGGGGTTTAGGGTTAGGTTTGAGCCGCATAGGACTCGGGGAACTCCTTGCTGCCACTGGACGCCAATGACATCCACAAGCAGCTCCAGCTGGGCGGTTTCGCCGCTGGCTGCTGCTTCACACAGCTGCACCTGGCCACAGGGCGCGGCGAAGGTCGAGACTTGGCGTAAGAAGGTGCACATCAGGATCTTTTGACTCATTTTTTGAAACAGGGAGAGCGGGGCACAGGGAATAACATGCTCGCAGAAACAGTGCCTTAGCACGCTGACAGATAGTCTGTCACCAGGTTCCGCAAACTTTATCAGAAGCCCTTGTTTTGCCACCAGCTGCATAGCTTCTCCCAAACGGATCAAGGACTGCACGGGCACCGTCACTGTCTGAGCGCCCAGCTGAACAACAGCTAGCAAGGAAGCAACCCCTAAACCCTAAACCCTAAACCCTAAACCCTAAACCCTAAACCCTAAACCCCCTATATAAACCCTAAACCCTAAACCCTAAACCCTAAACCCTAAACCCTAATCCAGGGCAAGTCACGCCTCGAGTTCGTGCTGCGAGCAGCATTGGGGCGTTGCTGGAAACAGGCAAGCGAAGGCGCATGGGGTAATGTAGCAACTTCTCCCAAAGAACAAGTTCCACCTGCGCCCTACACAAGTTGGCAGAGAACCAGGTCCTTCGAAATGCTCATAACACATTGCACAAGTCCTAAATTCGAATTGCTTGGCGAAATCGTCTCATCCAAGAGCACCCTCAGCTGACTCGAAAATACATGCTCACGAGACAGGCCGGTGATACCGCGGCCGATACGCCACCTTTGAACTCCGCCGATGCTTCGATGAGGAACTCAGCAACCTGCAACGTCACAAGTTTCGATCAGGGGGAAACCCCAAAAGAGAAGCCAGTGGGGTTAGGATAATGTTGTAAAGGAGGATTCGTAAGATTCCTGGCAAGACTGAAGCCCAAAAACCATCCAAATTAACCCAAAAAGGTATTCTCCGCTGAGATGTGCCGAAACAAACTGCCAGAAGAAGCAGTATTGCCCTGCCAGCCCCCCCAGCAGGGTCTAGGATCTAGGGTTGGCGATTCTAACCCTAAACCCTAAACCCGAAACCCTAAACCCTAAACTCCAAACCCTAACCCCAGTAATCTAGGGTGCCGGGATGGCATGGAGAGTGGAGCAGAAACTGCTTGCTGTTAGCCCTATCTGAAGAAGGCCCCGAAAGCAAGTAAAGAGGGTTTGTGGTCTCGCCACTGATCGGCCCCAGCCCATGAAACTCATGAGCCCAAACCCTCAACCCCCAGCTCTCAAATCTCAACCCCAAACCCCAAACCCCAAACCCCAAACCCTAAACCCTAAACCCCAAACCCCAAACCCTAAATCGAAACGACGAACCTCGGCATGCCGCTCCCGAACAGCATCATCCAGGGGTGTGTGGCCAAAACCTGGTTTCAAGCAACTGGGCTACCAAGGGTCCGCTTAGCTGACCTCTCGGACACTCTGCAGGGTTTAGGGTTTAGGGTTTAGGGTTTAGGGTTTAGAGTTTCGGGCTCCGTGTCACCTATACGTGGTCTAGGGTCCAGGGCGTAGTGCTTAGCCGGCCGCTCTGCTTTGCCAGACCGGGATGTGAAGGCTGTTAGAGTTTAGGGTTTAGGGTTTAGGGTTTAGGGTTTAGGGTTTAGGGCTTAGGGTCCCTAAACCCTTTTTGGTCACTCGAAATATTAGGGGCCGCCTCTTGACAGTGCCCCTCGCAGGGGGCCCTATACGAAGAAGTTACCACTTGCTGTTGCCAAGACTAGTTTATTATTGATGGCCTTTAATGGCTACTGAAGCTTATGAGTGGATAACACTGGTTGCTACTTGTTCTTAATTATGCTTAATGAATTCCACGCTCCTATTGTTGAGGATTGCCTATCCGCATTAAGTGCTTTTTGTGATGACTTCTGAACTACTGGATTTCCCTAAACTGATAGGGGGGCTTGGGCCTTCGACCGCCACTCATCTGTTCAGGACCCTAAATCCCTTTTTGCAGCTGGGCAGGTAAACCCTAAACCCTAAAGCCCTAAAATCCTAAACCCTAAACCCTAAACCCTAAACTCATCGGCCAACTACTCTTCCCGGAAGAGAGAAGAAAGGTTGGCCGGTGAAAAAGCGCTTTGAGCCCGCTGTTAGTCTCAGGTCAGGTGTCGGATTTAGTTCTTTTATTATTACTATTATATATATATGTTCATTTATTTATCTATTTTTGGTTTTGTTATATATATATATATATATATATTTTTTTTTTTTTTTGGGGGGGGGGGTAGGGTGATGCAGGACCCTTCTTACGTCCAGGTGCGATCTTGGACCGTGAGCGGCGCCAGGTATTCCATGATCAGCCTTACCGAAGGTCAGACAAAGAACAGCCGGGTGTTTGCTTAGGCAGCATATACTACTAGTTGCTTAAGAACCCCGAAAAAATAAGCAAATATTCTTCCTCGTTAAGGGCAACATAGGGATTACAATTATTTGAAAATTCTTTTGGGGTTCTTAAGCAAATAGTAGTATATTGGGCTTTGAGCTTCTAGCCATGGATCTCCTGGGTGACTTGCGCCATCTATGCTAGATGTATGACTGCACTTTGCTGCGCACTACCTTACTTCTCCAATAACCAAGGGCAAAAAAGGTTCAGCTTTTATCGTTCCTACTAAATCAGGAAACCCAAAAAGTTTAAAGTTCAAATCTTGGCCAAATAACTACTGTTTGCTTAAGAATCCCCCCCAAAAAAGACACTCTTCCCTATAAGGGTAATAAGGGGATTCTTTAGTATTTTTTGGGGTTCTTAAGCAAATAGTAGGAAAGCTACATATGCTAGGATCAAGTTAGGCTGCAAACTGCAGCAGGACTTCGATGTCCAGCCCAATAGGCATTTGGGGTTTAGGGTTTAGGGCTAGGGTTTAGGGTTTGATATTAGGGGTACCTAATTGGGGTCCCCATTCTAAGGGGATCCTACTATTTGGGGCTCTTTAGGGGTCCCTCGACAGGCATCGAGTACAAGATGGACAAGGCGGTTTCATATGCAGCCGGGCGACTTCTCTACGATGCTGACGTGCCCGTTGCTGACGGCGACGTGGAGCGCCGTCCGCATGTCCCAGTTCACGCAGCTGACGCTCACCTTGTTGCCTGAGTCGCATGCGCAGATTCGGCCCTAAACTCTAAACCCTAAACCCTAAACCCTGAACCCTAAACCCGGCATTTTTTGACAGCCGCCCTTGCGGGACGCAGCTCATGGCTTTAAGGTTGGGATGTTCCCCTTATACTAACAGCCCTTAATAAGGCTTTTAATCGGGGGCGCCAATGACCCCCATTGAGGAGCTGTTACTATAAGGGGGAACATCCCAAGCTTAAGGTTTTAAGACTTGCTGGGTCTTAGGGTCTAAGCCCTAAACCCTAAACCCTAACCCCTAAACCCTAAACCCTAAACCCGTATGCTTCAAGTGGCTTCTGAGCATGGCTTCCATCTGCTCAAGCTTCCCCTGAGCGGCATAGGCAATGAAGTCTCCGATGCGCTCCTGCTCCTGGAGGGGTTAGGGTTGAGGGTTGAGGGTTTAGGGTTTAGGGTTTAGGGTTTAGGGTTTAGGGTTTAGGGTTAGCATGGAGTCGACTTGATAGGGGGTTTTCCCGAAAATTGCCCTTTGTCGGGAGTTTGCTATCATCAGGGTATATCAGGGTTATGGTATTTAGGGGTACCCCCCTTTTTTTCGTAAACCCCCAGATCAAAGAGCGGAGGAGACGGTCCTGCGTCTTCTGGAACTGCTTGATGAGCTTGCGCACCTTTGCAACCTCAAGTTCAGCTCGGAGGTTCAGGGTTTAGGGTTTAGGGTTTAGGGTTTAGGGTTTAGGGTTTGGGGTTTAGGGTTTAGGGTTTAGGGGTTCAGGCTACTTATAACCCAATGACAACCGTATTTATGAGGCCCCTAAGAAGCCCTCCAAGTCCACTACGTAGGTTAGAAGTAGGCTTCTGATTGGGGTTCTGAGTAACCATGAACCTCCAAGAAGCCCCCCCTGATCCGCGGCACCCGAAGACTTCGTCTTCCCCGCAACCCTATACAGTTTTGTGGGTTCTCCTTCAACCCGGCTCTAAACCCCGCAAGCCCTGACCGCGCTGTGCATGAGTTCATGCGTACGCCAAGCGTGTGAGTACCTGCCGGGCAAGCAAGCCGCCACGGTGTTGTCTGACCATGTGCGTAGGAAGACACAGGGCTCAACCCCAAACCCTAATAACCTCCCAAGCCCCCAAAAACCCTAAAAACGCTAAAAACACCAAAAAAACCCCAAACCCCCCAAAAACCCCCCCAAAAGCACCCAAAAACCCCAAAGCAGAAGCGTCGAGCTCGCTTATGGCCGGGTCTACAAGGCAGGCTAAACCCTAAACCCTAAACCCTAAACCCTAAACCCTAAACCCTATACCCTATAAACCCTAAACCCTGTGCCATGACACTCCCTCCAGGGAAAGGTCGTGCAAGGTCAACTCCTCGGCAGGCTTTCGGGCTTTGAGACATGATTGCTCATCGGGTTGGGTGGGGAAATCCAGACGTTTTTCGGGGTCTCAACAGGAGGCCGACGTCACTGAGGGATGCCCCCTCTCTCATCTTCGGGGGCTCTTGTTTTGGCTAAGAAACAGCTCCCTGTGCGTGGGTGCCAAGTTGTCTTCTGACCATAAAGCCCACAAAAAAGGAACGCCGCAACTAGGGGGGGCCTAGTGAGCCCGAAGGCCCTCTCTTTTTTGGGCCCCTACATACCCTAAGCCATAAACCACGCAATACCCTCTACGTAAACCTTGAAGTACGATCTAGAAAGCCACCCCCCCCCCCCCCCCTTTTAGGGGCCGTCACAGAAACCTGGCTTTAGGGTCTAAGTTTTCGGGTTCGGGTTTGGTTCTGAAAGGCCGGAACATAAACCAAGCCGAAACTTGCATCTACACTTTCCTAAGTCAGCCTTCCCAGCCCTGCAATCCACGAAACCCTACTAAGCCCTAAACGGTAGACCAAAATATGCCCATCCTTAAAGCCCCAAAGCCACGTCCTCTAGATCCCCACAAATCGACTCCTTCTCCTGCCCCGATATGTGCATTGTGGCATAAACCCTTTTTCCCGAAACCCTAAACCCTAAGCCCCCGGATTCTTTAGGCACAACCTCCTTGAACTCGTTTTGCTCAGTCTTAGGGTATAGGGTTTAGGGTTATCAAGCCCCATAACCCGACAAGAAACAGGCTGAAGCCAAAGACCTGCAAAGCCCTCAAACCCCCCCCCCCCCACCTAAACCCTAAACCCTAAACCCTAAACCCTAAACCCTAAACCCTAAACCCTAAACCCTAAACCCTAAACCCTAAACCCTAAACCCTAAACCCTAAACCCTAAACCCTAAACCCTAAACCCCGGAAGGCCCTTAAGCTGCAAAACGACCCAAACCGTTCCACACAAGCAAAGGCTCCGCCACGAGATCTACTCCCCCCTCTTTGCGCTTCCGTCGCCGTCGGGAGGTGTGGGAAGCCTCTTTGAGGGTTCTCGGGTTTGGGGTTTAGGGTTTAGGGTTTAGAGTTTAGGGTTTAGGGTTTAGGGTTTCGGGTTTCTCCGTTTGTTTTTTGCCACCCGCCTATAGCCACAGCAGTGGAGCTCACTTCTGCAAGAGAGCAAGATGTTGGGGCCAAGCAGTGGGACATGACAAGGGCTCGACAAAAGCTGGGGGTATCTGCTGTCAGGGGTTAGGGGTAAGGGTTTAGGGTTTAGGGTTTAGGGTTTAGGGTTTAGGGTTTAGGGTTTAGGGTTTAGGGTTTAGGGTTTAGGGTTTAGGGTTTAGGGTTTAGGGTAACAGACCAGACCCTAGAACCGAACAAAAACAAGCCTCCCCAAGCCCCAAGCCCTGAACCCTAAACCCTAAACCTTGAACCCTACACCCTACACCCTAAATCCTAACTCCTAAACCCTAAATCCTAAACCCTAAACCCTAACTCCTAAACCCTAAATCCTAAACCCTACACCGTAAACATCCGTAAACCATTGTTCTGCTAGGAAAGTGTGGCTCTCTCAGGGCTTTTGGGGCAGGTCCGCTGCTTCGGGGAGCCAAGAAGCACAGAACGACACTGCCCTAAACCCTAAACCCTAAACCCTAAACCCTAAACCCTAAACCCTAAACCCTAAACCCTAAACCCTAAACCCTAAACCCTAAACCCTAAACCCTAAACCCTAAACCCTAAACCCCCCTAAGAGCCCTAAGAGGGTGCATACCACCTGCACCCCAAGGGTCCTGTGACTTCGCCATGTCGTCCTCTTCCTCGCCCCACATGCCTTGGACGAATGTGGGTTTAAGGTTTCGGGTTTAGGGCCAGTTTAGGGTTATGGGTTTAGGGTTTAAGGGTTAAGGGTTTAGGGTTTAGGGTTTAAGGCTTTACATGCTATGAATCGTGCAAAGGGAGGCGAAGCTTCCCCAAAATCCCCATGCGCTCTGCAGAATGTGCCAGCAACCAAAGCAGTTGAGCTCGAGTGCCCATTGCCCCGAGCGCTTGATTTTCAGCGGGCTCCTGCAGAAAGGGGGTTAAGGGTTAAGGGGTTTAGGGTTTAGGGTTTAGGGTTTAGGGTTTAGGGTTTAGGGCTCAGATGTCTTCACTGGGCGAGGATGAGGGTTCCCTTGACATGGTCTGGAGTACTGAATAGGCAAGACCCAGGGGGTCCATTTGTACTTACTATTATTTTAATGGAATTTTTTCTAGCGAGCGCAGAAAGGCTCCCAACAGGACTGTGGAAAATGAGTAGCGATGAGGGCCATTTGTATTACCATTATGGAATTAGGCACCCCAAAACCATGCTCAATAGGGTTTTTGGGGTACCGAATTCCATAATAGTACAACAAATCGACCCTCTGGGAGATTTGGGTACTAGGATTTGCCGTTGCATCTACATGGTACGTGTTGGGCGCTAGTTGCGTTTCGGGTGCGTGGGATTGTCTTGGATGCGTTTCGGGTGCGTGGGTTTTTTTGGGTGATTCCTGTGTGTTGTTTCGTTTTTCGTTGGGGTTTGATTCTCTCTCGCACCCCTCTACGCCAAATGCTTCCAACCCCGTGTTGGAGCAGGCCCAAAGGCCCAAGGTGGAATGAAAGGTACGGTAACAAGTTCATCTTTTTTAAGGGGTTTTCCCAAAACAGGGTACCCCCTTTTCTACCCCCAAAATAGGCTAGAATCCCCTTGACCCCCCCCCCCCCCCAACAAGGGTACCCTGTTTTCGGAAACCCCCACATAAGGATTGACAAACCGAAAGATCTGAAGCTTTCGATTGGGTTCTCCCTGAGTCCTCGTTGCCCTCCTGCTCATGGGACGGGTCGGGCGTCAGCTTTAGGACGTTGTTGTGGATCACCTCATGGTCCTCTGCGCTGAGTTTAGGGTTTAGGGTTTAAGGTTTAGGTGTCTGTTTTGCTTGACAGGATTTTGGTTTTTCTCAGGGGCAGAAGCCGCAAGCACTGCCATGACGCTTGGGATGACGGCGTGACCGCCGAGCCATGCCGAATCAATGGGTCCTTTGGATACAAGGAGAGGGCATGGTTCAGCTGCTCCAAGGGCACTTTCACGAAGACGCTGTCCTCCTCACCTAGGCACGACGATTGGACAAGCATGTTGCCGAGTGTCCCTGTCACTGTCTGCTTGATGAGGCACGCTGAAAGCTACATAACAGAGACGTGGAGCATGTATCCTAAGGCCTAAGCATGGGTTTAGATGGATACACCCCAAATGTGGGGAATTTCTCCATAAACGCGGTACCCCCAATCTCGGGCCCCAAAGTACTACAATCCTTCTCAGGCCCCCCCTCCCCCCCCCAAGAAAGAAGGGTATCCCAAGTGTGGGACACCCCCCCATTCATCATGCAGCACTGAGCTGGAGGTAACTTAAGTTGCCAAGCTGCTGACGATGGAGACCTCATGCCGAAGCCCAAATAAGCAGGAGATGTCGCACAAGGCTGTGCCGCGTTCGTCAACGCGGTCCACCTTCCGAGTACACATGGGGGGCGTGCGAACATAGGGGGGGGACCCCGGATATAGATCCCCGAATAGCAGGATCCCCTTATAAGAAGGACCCCAATAAGGTACCCTAACTTCCGAAACCCACATGTGCACATGCGGTGAGCCTGTTCAGTTTGAAGGACTCTGTATGCAACCCTAAAACCTTATGGGGTTAAGGTGAAGGCATATCGCCCTTGCACCCGTGCCAATGCAACGCCCGATTTGATGCGGCCTCTTCGCTGTTCAGGTCACGCAACTGCGCAGAGCCATTCTTCAGCACCACGAAGTAACCTGTGTTCCATCAGGCTACGAGGCGTGTTGGAGGGCTGTCAGGCTTGCTCTCCATGCTCGAAGCCTCCGAAGCTTCAGCCGGGAAGCTCAACCTACAGGTAGGTTCAACACCCTTCAGTTCCCACCCAAAAGGACACTTCAATCACTCTTACGACTCTGAGCCCAAAATCCGAGGTAAAGGGCCCGGAGCCCCTACAGCAGCCTCAAGCTCGGTCGAAAGTGGTTCCAGAGCTTGAGACTTGGATTCGGGGCGTCTGAAGTTCTAGTACGGCTCCGTAAGGGCTTTGCCTGTAAAAAGGGAAAAAGGGCCTCCTCTGGTCCTAGCCCTAAACCCTAAACCCTAAACCCTAAACCCTAAACCCTAAACCCTAAACCCTAAACCCTAAACCCTAAACCCTAAACCCTGAAGACAGGGTGCTCGTGGGCTCACCGGCCCGGCAGACGAAGGCCCCAGCTGAGGATGTCAGGAGCCGGCACGTCGTGGCCAAGTGAAGCAGGAAGGGGTCGGAACAGTCCTGCTTGGGTGGTGCAGGGTTTAGGGTTTAGGGTTTAGGGTTTAGGGTTTAGGGTTTAGGGTTTAGGGTTTAGGGTTTAGGGTTTAGGGTTTAGGGTTTAGGGCTTCGACTCTCGCACTCGCCTACGAGGGGCGAGGCTCTGATAAAACAGGGCCATTTGGAGCTCACGTACATGAGCCTTGGGGCTTTAATGGCTTGAGAGTTGGTGGTCTTTGAGGGCATTTGGCAATCGGGACAATAGGGTTGAGGGTTTAGGTTTAGGGTTTAGGGTTTAGGGCTTAGGGCTTAGGGTTTAGGGTTTAGGGTTTAAGACTGAAGCATCGTGAATCAACGCAGACCTCAAGCCCTGAATATTCGACTCGGGCAGCCTGATTCCATGAAACCTGTGACCGAAACTGTAACCCCGAAACCCTAAGCCCTAATCCCCAAGCCCTCCAAACTTCAAGGCCCATAAACAACCAAAAATCCCAACAAATTCCCCCCCCCCCCCCAAAAAAAAAAAAAACCTTAAACAAATGGAATTCTCCCATAAACCCTGTCTGCCCTGAAGCCCCCTCAAACCACACCCTTAGTGCAAATACCCCTTCTGCGGCCTCAAAAATGCTCAAGTCTTTCCCACGGCTCAAATAAGTCATGCGGAGCTGCTGTTTGCTTAAGAACACCCCCCAAAATGCAAGATAATATGCCCCATATTACCGAGCCCACGGTCCTTGAAGATGGGAAGAGCCTGGAGCCACTTGAGGAACACGCGCCGTCCCACGCGCTGGAGGAGCGAATAGGAGAGGTTGGCCAAGACAGACTCCATGATCCGAACCTGTTTAGGGTTCAGGGTTTAGGGTTTAGGGAGGTTCTGGGCGTTTGGGGTTTATGGGGTTTATGGGAGGGGTTCTGTACGAAATGATCCGAGAGTAAGCGTGGGACTGAGCGTTGCGCAGTTAGGGGTACCAAGGGCTTTGTGCGCAGGTGCATGCGCAAGAACGGTCGCTGTATGCTACTGCCTTTTGCCTCCCCTCGCTTCACAGGATAGAGCACAGCCGGCGTACCACTTCATGCAGATTCTTGCCAAGCCACGTCTGCTGCCTTCTGAGTTTTGTTGCTTACCGCCAGGTCATGCACATCCATATCTCCGTCTGCACCAGCGGACATTCGGATCCTTAGAACCCATGGATACTGCCGATGCTCCCGCAAGGGGTTCAGGGTTAGGGTTTAGGAAGCAGGGCTTTTCACCCTCCTGCACAGCTGGGGCTTTTCGACGCTCGCACTGGGGCAGGCAAGGTTCTGGGGTTTAGAGTTCCTGGAGCCTTTGAATTGCTGCCTTGCCTTAACCCTGAACCCTTGGGGGGATCCAGGGTCTGGGGGGTCTGTAGGGGGTCGAGGAGGGGGTCCGAGTTTAGGGAGTCTAGGTTCTGGGAAGTCTAGGCGTTGTAGCCTCCCTAACATTCCTTGCACCGTTACCGAATCGCCTTAGAACCTCAACAGCAACTGTTCTCAACAACTTTGGACTTTGGATTCGCAAACAAAAATGACATTTAAAAAGCCCCCGGAGGACTACAGCAAGGCCCCAACTGAACCTATGAATGGGACCTGAGTGCCCGACTGGTCTACAAGGTCAGGGGGTAGGCCAGAGTTCTTGATGAAGGTGTCAATCCTGTTTTGGGGTTCAGGGGTTGTTGCACTGCGGTCAAGAACCTGTAGAGGAAAACACAATCTTGCTCTGGGACATGTTGATGCACTCGGATGCACGAAGCACTCCACTCCCCGCCCCCTCCCCGAGAGCCTTCAAAGTTCCCAGTCTCTGCAATCTGGGCTCAAGCCTATGGGAGGCTCGACCCTATAGGAGGCTCAAGAACATTAGCAAACGCAGCTAAGCAGTGATGACGTGTGGGGATTAGATGCTCAGTAGACTTTGTTGCATATGTTGCGAAGAAGGCGGCCAGGTACTAGCACGACACGCAGCAGAGTCGTCGCAGGCTCTCCACAGATGGTCCTGGCTCGCATAACGCGCTGCTCCACGATACTCTCGTCTTGCGAGATGACCTGGCGCCATAAAGGGTCTCACGGCCGAGACATGTGTGCAACAGGGATTTGTTGACAGAAGCCTTAAAGTAGAGAACCCTAAGCCCTAAACCCTAAATTCTAAACCCTACACCCTGAACCGTAAACCTTAAAGTCGAATCAGAGGGCCGTGTGTGGATCTTTCCTGCCGGCATGTTGTCGAGGTTCTGAAGGTGTCTCTCAGCGCCCTAAACCCTAAACCCTAAACCCTAAACCCTAAACCCTAAACCCTAAACCCTAAACCCTAAACCCTAAACCCTAAACCCTAAACCCTAAACCCATCTGCCAACCTTGGCCTTGAAGTGCTTGCCAACCCATGGCGGAAGCCCCCCCAAACACCCTAAACCCTCAGCCCTAAATCCTAAATCCAAAACCCTAAACCCTAAATCCCACATCCTAAACCCTAAAACATTAGACCCAGCCCTCAAGCCCTAGGCTCTGGGGCCACAGTCGAAGGCCTCTAGCGGGAAGCGACTGCTTGAGAGCTGAAGCAGGAAAGCAAAGGCTTTAGGGTTCACTCTCACACTAGCGCACGCGCAGGCAAGGCTCCAGAGGTTTAGGGTTTAGGGTTTAGGATTTAGGGTTTAGGGTCTAGGGTTTAGGGGACCTGACTTTCTTCAGCTCAGGGTTCCTGTGCAAAACCCGGCTCAAGTCTGGCCTTGCCAACCAGTGTGCCATCAACGTTGCCCATCACTGCGACGGAGATGACGAAGCCTCGAGAAGCTTCGGGGTTTAGGGTTTAGGGATTAGGGTTTAGGGTTTAGGGCTGAGACAAAAAACTGAGAGATTGGCGATAGGTTGAACTTGCTCTCGCTGCGGTTGTGTTTCGCTACAAGTTTGCCTCACTGAGTTGTATCAATACGTAGTGGTGTCCTACCTGCATATATATATATATATATATTATTATTTATTTATATTCGAGCGTTATGTATATATATATATGTATATACATACATATATATATATACAGGTCGTGGCTCTAAATAGGGGTATGTCGCGGTGTCCCGCCGCCCGCCTGTGTTACATACGTATGTCGCGCCCACTTGTTTCGTACGCATGTCGCGGGATCTGTCGCGGCTGTTTCGCGCTGTCTTGAAAAAAGAGATGCGAAACCCACGCAGTTTCAAGAAGGGGCTTGTCGCAAGGGCTTGTCGGAAGGGCTTGTCGCGGAGGCTTGTCGCGGACTGCTTGTCGCAAGCAGAACGGCTTTGTTACAAACCCTATGTCGCGGAAAGACGCCCGGGAGCCAGTTACATACCTGGACTTTTGAGCCGCGCCCATATATGTATATATATATATATATGGCGTTCTAACTCTCGTGAAAAGGCCCCGTGTGATTTCAAGAGCCAGTCGGTAGCTGGAATCTGTCAGTCGGGAGCTGGCCATCTGCATCCTGGACTGGAGACTGCCTCTACGAATCTTTCGTCCCCGGGCGACTTCACGTGCTCTAAATGCTCATAGCCAGTCAGACCAAGGACGATCTGAAGATGGCAACTATGGTGCTGGTTGGTACCCTCATCTTGGGGGGGGGGGGGTGGGCATTGTGAGCTTCGGGATTCGGGCTTGGCTAGTTCTAGCAGCCTGCCCAACCGCAAGTGGCTTCGCAGCCACGGAGCTCACCAGGAGCCAAAACAGCTCAACCCAAGATGACGGACTCGCGAGATAATTGCTGTCGTTGGTGACAATGACCACCATGATATACACCGACCTCAATTCGGACATTGTTTGGGAACTACCGGTCAAGTCAGCCTCCAAACGATCCGAGCAGCACTTGGGCAGTTGTTCTTGCCGCCAAGACACAGCAAGTACTGATTCAACACCTCGGTATGTGGATGAGCTACTGCTGTTTTTCCGGTCCACGAGCTTAAAAGCTAAGCTAACCAACATTTCTAGAGTAAGTATTGGATTTCATCATAAGCTCCTTAACAGAAACCAGGCGATGGCAAGGGCAAAAGTGTGTGGATCTCATGTTGATGACCATCCCTGACAACAGGTCGACATAGCGCCATCGGGGCCTACTGAACTAGAAGACGTACTTTGGCTGGTGTATACTAAGGAGCTGATAACCCTAAACCCTAAACCCTAACACTCTGGGATGCTTTTGAAGGCTGGAATGATTGCGTCATTTCACTCCAGGGCATATGCTTCGGCAACGCCCCGTGCCCAAGCTTTGAGCCGCCCACCCTGAGATACCTTGCAATTTTGCTACCATTTGCTTCAGAAACCCCCATTTCCCCCCCCCCCCCCCCCCAAAAAAAAAAAAAAAACACAACACAAAAAAACCATGATAATCCTATATTCCCCTTGAAAGGAAGAATGTTTTCGACGAAGAGCGGGAACTTCCGGCTGGCTCATGCTGCCCTGCTCGACCTGCATGCCTGGCACAGGAGGGTTAGGGTTAAGGGTTTAGGGTTTAGGGCTTAGGGCTTAGGGCTTAGGGCTTAGGGCTTAGGGCTTAGGGCTTAGGGTTTAGGGTTTAGGGTTTAGGGTTTAGGGTTTAGGGTTTAGGGTTTAGGGTTTGGGGTTTGGGGTCTAGGGTTTAGGGTTTAGGGTTTAGGGTTCAGGGTTCAGGGTTTAGAAGGTTTGGGAGGCTGTTGGGGGTTGAGAGTCGAAGAGTATCAGGAGCGCTTCAGCAACTTTGCGCTTTACCTAGATGTCTGAGGCATCCGCGAAACCCTAGCTGCTCTGGTGGGTTGCCGAACTGTGCTTGAGGAGTGGTTGAGGCATGGCGTCGTCGGCCTTCATAGACCATAAACCAGCCGCGTATGTCAAAATCGCCTCGTCGGCGGACCAGTTCCTGCCTTAGTTGGAATGCCACCCCGTAACCGAAGAATGAAAAGCTCGCCGTCTGTTGCAAAATGGGGTGCAAAAGGGAGCTCAATACATAAAATCCTAAAACAGGGAAGGCAGGGTACTGCTGGGCATCCTATGGTTTTGTGTTTGACGAGTGAGACACGAGACCTAAGCAACGGCCCAACCCAAGCTGCACCAAAGGGGTTGCGTGTGAAGTTCCCCCCCTAAACCCTAAACCCTAAACCCTAAACCCTCAACCCTAAACTCTGCACCGAATCTGGGACCCCCCCAGAGCTGTGAAGGCACAGGGAAGGCCAGCCGTTCCCCAAGTACCAGAAGATGCAGGCCATAAAGTGTAGGAGCACGAAGAGTTGCAAGACGATGATGAACGTGGTCAGCCTGCTCCAGAGAGAAGGGCTTCAGAGTGAGAAACCCAAACCGGCCCTAGGGTTTAGGGTTTAGGGTTTAGGGTTTAGGGTTTAGGGTTTAGGGGAAACAAAGTCCCTGCCGCACGGCAATTCTCTGCACATCACCTGAAACCAGGGGCCCGACAGGAATCCGTGCTCCCGGCGGTCTGATGACTTGCTGTCCTGGAAAGGACAAGGTCTCCACTGTGGCAGCACTGTGGCAAGGAGATGTGCAGGGTTTCGGGTGTCTGGGTGACATGCCAACTTAAGAGCCAGTTCGCATTGCGCTTACATGCTCAAAAAAGTCTGTGGAAGCTGCTGTGGCAATACTTTTTTCGCCATGCTGTGTGTGGCCGGCTTCAAGTTGAACACGGAACCCTTTTAAGCACCCAAACGCACTCTCACCTTCACTACCCTGCCTCCCAAACTCCCAAACTCCCAAACTCCCAAACCCTAAACCCTAACCCTAAGCCCTACACCCTAATTAAACCCTAAACCCTAAAACCTAGCCACCCTTCTGTGCACAATCTGGCTGAGGGGCATGTCTTCGGCCATTAAGGTGACGAAGGTGGATCAGCTTCAGCAGGCGCCAGGTGGCATAGGTACGCCTTATCTGTGGAACACAAAGCGAGGGGTGAGGTTGCTAGGGTTTAGGGTTTAGGATTGAGGGTTTAGGGCCAGTTTAGGGTTTAGGGTTTAGGGTTCTGGGGGTTTAGGGATTAGGGTTCAGGGCGTAGGGTATGAACGGAAAGCCGCCACAATTGTTGTAGATATCTGGTGAAGCATCGGATGAAAGCTACTGGAGCCCTTTGTCACAAACAAGGCAGTCCATGCGGTAACGCAGGCGGCACCCACGTAACTGGGCTTAACTCTCTTGGTGCACAAAGAGCCCCTCACAGTTTCGCACGCGAACCTTTCACTTTCAAACAGTGGCTCCTCAAATGGGACCAAGTTACCATAACATGATGGCAAGTAAAGCCTTCTCCCTATCATGCTACCTGAAGTCTCCAAGTTCCTAAGCACTCATGGGTACTCATTTGCAGGGATGCGATGACAGCAGCGAAAGCATGGTATCAATAGTTAAAACTTTGGTTAGGGCCCTTCAATGCCTGATTACCTGTAAGTCGTATCCACGAACCTCCACGCAACAGGACCTAAACCCGAAACACTAAACCCTAAACCTTAACCCTAAACCCTAGTCCCTAAACCCTAGACCCAGTCAAGGCGGACGTGTTGCTGACTGGTCAAAGACGGATCCGCGAAGATGTCGAAGGGAAGGCATGCAATCAAGTCCCAACCTCTGGCGTCCAGGGTCGCAGATGCGGAAACCATGACGATGCTCGGTCAGGAAAAGCTGAGCCCATCTTTTTCTTTGCCCTTCCGCGGAAACCTGGGAACCCTTGATCTGAGTGTTCTTCCTAGCCCTAAAACAGGGGGAGTTCTGTGTTTCCAACATCCCCACGCTAAACTACGGAAGTTGAGTGATTCCCCCACAGTGGGGGAGAACGGGCCAACCGGACATGCAGGACCGAGTCTTCCCTCGTGCTTGTCTCAGTGATGCTTTCTTATGTGTTCCCCATGCTAAAGCTCTCGAGGAATTTGGGGGACTTTTCTGGATTCCTGGCCAAGCTGACAAAACGAAGGATCGGAAAAGCAAGCCCGGTGTTCTCCTGTTCTTGGCTTCTACTTGCATGTGACGTTCTTGGACCTGCGTAGACTTTTCGGGCACTTCCCCGTGGGAACTTGAGAAGCCCAGCAATCGCCCTAAGCTCTGCACATTCAATCCCTGTACACGGCTGCTTCAGGTCACCTGGATAGCTGCAGAGAGATACAAGGCATGAAGCCCCGCAGTCAGACCTCACCAGGGCCCCTGCTGAAAGCACCAAGCAGGTAGTTCCGACGAATGTGCTCGAAATCTCGGACGACGACGCCGCTCACCTCCTCGTAGCCTAAGCAAGTAGTGTTGCGGGATGTTGTTTTTTCTTCTGGTCAAAAGCTCCTGTCGACTTCTCTTCCAGCTTCATCACTCCGAATACTGAAGCAATCAGGTGACTTACGAAAATCGCAACTGAGGTGCTTCGGAGAAAGTTCAGCGGCACATTGGCGAACATGAACACGTCCATAACTGAGGCCAGTCAGGGCGGCCAGTGTAGCCGGTTTTTCTGTGTCAGCGGGAGCACACGTTTCATTCTGATGTGTCTCGGGGTTTTCTGTGCCCGTGCGCGTGGCTTCTCTGACATGTGCATGGCACGCAGCTGTCACGCGACAACACTTGGTGCTATCGTCCGGCCGGAATCTGAACGGCATAACACCACAGTTCAGGCGTCAAAAGGCATTGTCGCAAGAACAGCAGGTGCTGGGCAGCTGCAAGGGGTGCAGTATCATTTTGTGGGGGAAGAAGCAAGTAGCAAGCAGAAAGCAGAACAGGCACGTCAACCAATTTTGTGCAAATCCCTCCAACTCGACACCGAAATTGCACCGAAAGTCATAGCCGACACCTCCTTCCTTCGGTCACATCTCACCTTAGGGTTTAGGGTTTAGGGTTTAGGGTTTAGGGTTTAGGGTCCCACGGCCTATGTTCGTAATCAGCCAGGTCCATGCGGTGCCGGGGTTGAGAGCGTCAAAGTTGATGATGCAAAAACGCATCGGAACCTCACAGCTGGTGGTTTAGGGTTTAGGGTTTAGGGTTTAGGGTTTAGGGTTTAGGGCTGTAGATCTATGCTCATAGTTTTGCAATGACAGACACCCCCTTTTTGATAGGCTATAGGGATATGTTCCCATTATGTTGGGGCGAGTCACCGGGTAGGAAGAAACTTTAGGATCCTCGTGGGGCGTACGTGCATTTGTGGGCACAAGGCTCTGCTCTTCCCTGACAGGCCTCGAGCAGGTAGTAGATAGCAGCCAAGCGCTTCAGAAAATCCTGGTGGCTCAGGGCAACAGCTTTCTTTCCCAGACTTATGGCTGCCCCAATCTGAATCTGCTAATATAGGGGAACAGGGTTTTGGGGGGGTTAGCATAGTATAATTACACAGGGACCAAAAGGGAATACCATTCGTAATTATTCCGCCCCTATAATGCATGTATGCTAGGGACAAAGGGTTCGGCCTGGGTCCTTGAGGGCCAATAAGAAGATGTAATCTCACATCATTCTCATGATCGCAGGAACTACGAGGACTGGGAGAAGGAGAACCAGAGCAGTACTACGGCAAATCTCAGCCCCTAGCTCCCACACCCAGAACTGCGGCCAAGTGACCCAGACCAGCAGGTATGGCGAATCCATAGGCATCACGTAGCCTGCCAGGACGAGGCAGGCCCACAGTTCAGGCCCCCATTGTAGCCTAAATAAGGCGTAGGGAAGTTGAAGTCGTTCGGGTTGCTATCTCGAGTGCATGTCAGACATCATGACATGTTTGGTGCTTCATGATGAGCGGCATTCAGGGAGCCTTGTGTTCCCACTAAATCGTGTCGCAGGCTGAGACATGTACCGCCTGCATTCTTGCCACGCAAAGCTGCGCTGATGTACAAATTGCATGCGAGGCCTGTGTTTGCGGCACGCTTGGCTTGCGCAGGCATGAAGACAGGGTTCACCAGAACGAGAATCAAGTTCAGTTGAGGCCAGCGAGTGTGCGTGCGGCAGACCGAGGGCGGGTATCGGCCAAAAGACTAGACCTGAACACAGGTAAAGATTGTAGGGGGGTTTAGGGCTCAGAGGCTTAGAGGTTTACGGTCCCCTAAACCCAAAGCCCTCTTCCCACTCCCCCCACTTTTGGTCATACTCGGGCCGCCCTCGCACGAAGCTGTGTCCCGCTGCTTTTGCATCTGGGCTCGCAAGGATAGCCAGAACGAAGGCTCCCCCGTCAAGCAGACTAAACCCTAAACCCTAAATCCTAAACCCTAAGCTCTAAACCCTAAACCCTTCTGAACCCTGCTGAACCCGGAACTGAGCTCCAACCCTCAATCCTAAACCCCAAACCCTCAAAGCCCTCAAAAGCCTCCCACCCCAAACAAACCCCAAACCCCAAACCCCAAACCCCGAACCCCGAACCCCAAACCTCAAACCCCAAACCCCAAACCCGAAACCCCAAACCCTAAACCCTAAACCCTAAACCTCAAACCCTAAACCCTAAACCCTAAACCCTAAACCCTAAACCCTAAACCCCAATCCGAAAACAGGCGAGAGCCTGCCAAGCGCTGAACCCACGGCCAAGAATTGTCTTCGCCACGTCGGCCCTGTGAGCTGTGCTTCTTCCTGAGCTTTCGGTTATAGGGTTCCTAAGGGAGGGTTTAGGGTTTAGGGTTTAGGGTTTAGGGTTTAGGGTTTAGGGTTTAGGGTTTAGGGTTTAGGGTTTAGGGCTTTGGGCTTAGGGCGTAGGGCTTGGGGTTTAGGGAAGGGGGTCCAAGGAGGGTATGTCACCCAAGGTTACCTAACAAGTGCTCCCCACTACTGCCTAAGCTGCCCTAAGGTTCCCTAGGTACCTAGCCCCCTAGGTACCTAGCCCTCATGAACCCCTCTCCCGGGTAAGGGGCTTGGTAGCCAGCCTGCATCCCCTCTTAAGTCAAGTCTTCCAGGTATCGCAAGAAAATTTGGGGCAGCGCCCCTTCAACCTAAACGCGACTTAAAACACCCTTTTTTTCCGCTGGGCGTACCAGTCAGAATTCACCAATTCGAATTCGAAGCCCCTTAGTCAGCCTTAGTCCCTTCAAGAGGGGCTTCCTTCTTAAGCCCTCCATGAAGCCCCTTCTCAAGCCCCCCCCCCCTTCTCAAGCCTTCATTGTTCCTCCTCCCCCCCCTCCCCCCACCCTTCTCAAATTTAAATTTGAGAACCCCCTTCCGAGAAAGTAGCCTTAAGGTCATTCACCGTCCGTTAACTCTGTAAGACCCAGAACTAGACAAAACGAGACTAACATGAAATGTGCATCCCAGGGTTGACAAGAAGAAATGAAACACAGATGAAAACAACACATGAATGGCAAATGAGAAACACAGATGAATAAAAACTGAGAACAAAATCACAAACAAAACGAGAAACACATGAGAATCAAATGAGGTTGGCATGTAATGCCAACACCCTAAACCCTAAACCCCAAACCCCAAACCCTAAACCCCAAACCCTGCGAACTCCAAGGCTGGCTGTTCTGTGTTTAGGCTTTACAGGCTTGGAATCGGGCAGGGGGGAACCAGTGGGGCTTCGAATTTAAATTGATTCTCCTTCTGCTGCTGCTACCAGTACTTAAAAGGGATTCGAATCGGGGGTTACTAAAATCTCTATTTGGGACTGCTAGGTATTAGGGCGAACATCCCAACCTTGAACCTTGAACCCTAAACCCTAAAACCTAAAACCTAAGACCCTAGACCCTAGACCCTAGACCCTAAACCCTAAACCCTGAACCCTTACCCGGGTAGGGTTTAGAGTTTAGGGTTTAGGGTTTAGGAAAACAACAGCGAGAAGGAAACGGCTTCGCAGGCAACCAAAGAAAGCTAGAACACCAATGAGAAATACATCCCAGACGAAGACAGGAACAGGTTAGCCAAGGCAGCTAGGCCAAAGGCCAGAATATTTAAAATCTTGAGATCACAAGGAGAACTCACTAGCTCTTGCTTTCTCAAGGGGACTTGAACCACAGCCAAAAAAACGGAAAAAGAAACTCAGTTTAGCATCTCATTCTGATCTCATGGTCTTTTGAATATGTGAAATCATCGGACTGGAGGTACTACACCTGTCTTTTCAACAGCGCGGAGCGTGTAGTGCCGCTAAGCTCTATACCCTTATTAGACCACCAAACCCAAAGCACTAAACCCCTAGACCCCCAAAACTAAGAACCTTGATTAGACACCAAAACACTAGAAGCCCTAAAACCCTAGAGCTCTAAACCCTGTACCTTCATCAGACGCCGAAACACAAGCTAGTCCCTGAAACCTTCAAGCCTCAAGCCCCTTACTAAACCCTAAACCCTAAACCCAATAAAACTAGCTCAACTCCAAACGCGAAGCTCTCTAAACCCGACAACCCTCAACCTTGCATTCAGACCTCAGCTAATCCCTAACTCTGGGTTTAGGGTTTAGGGCTTAGGATTTAGGCCAAAAAAACCCTAAGCCCAAAACCCCAAGCACTAAACCCTGCAGATCTTTGCAACAAGCCCTTTTTGAACCCAGGCTCCTGAAGTCAGCTGGGAAAGAAGGCCTTCGACAACGTTCTGTCCAGGCAGGCATACATACAACGTCTAACATTCTACAAACCTGCTCAAATAAGGCCTAAGCTATCATCCCTAGCCCCTTTATAAACCTTACAGAAACAGACCCTAAAGCCCTAAGCCAACCCTAAACTCCCTAAACCCTAAACCCTGAACACCCTAAAACCCTAACACTCTGTGGGCGCTGACACCTCTCGAATGGAGGTGTGCAAGTGGAAGCCTCCATATACTAGAGCATGCCACTTCCGGTCGACGACCCATGTAGCAGCAGTTGAAAGTTTCGTTGTGGCGAGCATGGCCGTCACCTGCAATACCGAGACCTCCTTTTTGAGGTTCGTGTGCGCAGGTGGCAGAGCGAGCCCCATCCAAAACAGCTCTTAAGCAGTGTATGTTGGGATGCTCCCCTTTATACTGACAGTCCTAAATAGGGATTATAGTACCCCCTAATATAATCCCCATGAAGGACTGATAGTATAAGGGGGAACATCCCAAAGTGTATTAAGAAAGCTGAAGGCCGAAGCTAAAGGTAACACTCTTGATGATGGGAGTCATGCTTCCATGCCAAGGTGGATGGCACACTTTACCGATGTGACAACACGGTGTATGCATGTGGTCGCACCAACATGCAGGGGCCTAAGGGGCTTCCGTAGGTACACAGTGGAGGTATAGTCATCCAAGGGGTCATGCTCAAAATCTGGCCGTCAGGGAACTCCATCTGGCAGGAATCCCTTGCGAACCCTCCCAAGGAAACACACCAGGAACTGTTGACCTATGCCGGTCTTGAGCAGCATCTCACATCCCTGACCCCCATCAGGCAGCTCTGCCAGGCTTGCTCTACACGATCTCGGCCGAAGTAGTGCGCAATGAGTAGGATGATGACGCACAGGAGGCACAGGAAGGCAGCAAGCCAGGTGGGAGAGCGTGTCAGGACTGCAGCTTCCAAGCTCCCGCAGGCTGAGGCCCCCATCCCAAGAAGGAGCCCTTGTGCAAGAACAACGCCACATCCCATCAGCAGCGAACGTATCCAGCCAGGGCGCATGGCAGACTCGACTGCCTGCATCGTTTGCATCCATACAGGCAGCCCCAGGGGGGCACAGAGCATGAATAATATGATCCACTCAGTTAGGCAAATTGAGAAAGCCAGGGGCCCTCCAGGCAAATCGCTCCACTCAGGCACCAAGCTCAGCTGCAAGTAAGATAACAGGACGTAACTGCTCCAAGGCAGAAAAACAAAAACACACACACTCCAACTCAGGAACGTCTCGCTGCCCATGTTTTGAGTCAAAGTCCTGCGCAAAGGGCCTCGCACATACTCGTTGAACGCATCTAGACCGGCTTCTTTGGTCGGATAATTGGTGAAAGGGCGTATGCACTCTTTCGTCTCCTCGTCCAGCAGAGCTTCTGTTGGCACCAGTAGTGCTTGGTCTTCTCCCACCCCGCACTCCACCGCCACACTCAGCATTGGCTCGTCCATGGCATCAAAAGCCTGCTGGATCAGTGACTCCAAATGCACACGATCGGATTCGTCGGAGACTCTGCAATTGCGAACCTCGAAGACTTCTAGGTGCTGAAGCATTTCTTGGTGCACTCGAGTGCTGTCCAAGAGAGACCGCATCAGCGGCAACAGGACAAAAAAGCAGCTTAGGAGCCCAAAAGGCAACCAGGAAAGATTATTCAAGAAGTGATTCCAGCCACGGTCTGGTGACAACACAGGCAATCCTGCCGATGGCAGAAATGTGCCCAGGCTCAGGAACCCGATGGTTGCCGAGGTGGCCATCGCCAATGTGCTCAAAAGCTGCGCATAGAGCAGCCAACGGGGCAGCCACAAAGGCAAGAACCAAACATGCGCGGCACCGTGTTTCTTGACAAAGAAGGCCAGCTCGGTCATGCACCAAAGTCGGTCCAAGTAGGAGGTGTCATAGAGCAATAAGAGCTGCGAGGACTGTATCACGAAGCCTGGTAGAGCCTGGATCCCACGGGCTTTACGAGCAGAATCACGCTGATCGATGCAAAGCTTGTCAAACCAGATGGTGGGCTCAAGGCAGCGCCACAAGTGCTGCCCCAAGAACAGAGTCAAGTACCAAGAAGCTAGCCAAGCAAGTTCAATCAGGACTGGAACAAGCCACACTTCAAAAGCAGACATCGCGGTGTTCTCATTCTGGTCCCGGCACTGCGTGTACGTAAGGAATAATATGGAAATCGCAGCTGCTCCAGCTTTCAAAGCCTAGGCTAGCCCTTAGAACTCTCTAAAAACATATTCCCAAACATTGTCCTCTTAAACCCCAAAAGGGTATATATATATATATGTATATAGAAATGTGTATATATATATATGTATATTATATATATATATAAGATGTCCCAAGGGCCTACCTAGAAGCCTTCTCGCGGTTGAAGCCGAAGCAAAGAGCGAGGTACTTGGAGCAGGCGTCGGCGTCCCAAGGGTGGCTGATGAAGATGTCTACGTATTCCTTAGTTGCTGAGTTCCTAGGTCCCCCAAGAAAGTGTACACTCTCAGTTCTATATTCCTGAGTTGCTGAGTTCCTAGGCCCCCCCAAAAAAAGTGTACACTCTCAGTTCTATAGGGGGAGTAGAGTATCCCCAAAAAGTGCAAAAAAGTGTACTCACTCAGCTGCCAAGATTCGACACCAACGCTGACGTCCTCTTCCAGATGTACGTCCCTACCAAGCAAGGAGCCAAAGCCTTTCAGTACGTTGGAGACCCGAACTGCCCGAAAAAGGCCTTGTGCCGAGGCCTCACGAGCCTTGAGGTGGGCTGTGAGCATGGCTGCAATTATGGGTTTAGGGTTTAGGGTTTAGGGTTTAGGGTTTAGGGTTTAGGGTTTAAGGTTTAGAGTTTAGGGTTTAGGGTTTAGGTGATTGTCAAGCAGTAGACAGACAGACATGCCATGCCATGTTATCCCAATTGCATTGCTGCTGTGGCACACCCGCTGGGTACAGATTGTATATATACATATATATATATACATATATACATATATACATATATACATATATACATATATACAAATATACATATATACATATATACATATATACATATATACATATACATATATATATATATGTGTGTATATAGTGCTTTCCTGGGACACTCAAAAAACACTTGTGGATGACATGTTCGCGCATTCCCCAAAAAGAACTAGTATGCAGGGTGGCTGTGAGACACTCTGACACTTGGACGCTCAATGCTTCGAGGTCTGTTGGGTTGTCATCTACCTTGAGCAGTCACGAAGGTGCTTTGCAGTGGCATTGATCCAAGTGGCCTTAAACCCTAAAGCCTGAACCCTAAACCCTAAACCCTAAACCCCAAACCCTCTACAGCCACCAGAGGTGGCTGAACCACCGAAAGCACTCGGAGGTGCGGAGGGCGTAATATTGGGGTCGGAACAACTACTAATAATATTCCCTTAGAGTCCCTTGCATTTATACTACAATCACCCCCCGAGACCCTTATTCTAACTATTCCGGCTCCTATATTAGGGGGGCACACCCTAAACCCTAAACCCTAGCCCCTAACCCCTAACCCCTAAACCCTAAACCCTAAGCCGGGCCGATTCGTTCATCCCGGCGTCTGTCTCTTCACCATGGCTTCATAGCCTGTCGTAACCTGAGATCGGGGGAAGCTTAGTTGTCCAGTACCTCGGGTTTAGGGTTTAGCATTTAGGACTAGAGGTTAACCTTTGGGAATATAAGGGGATTCTATTGCCCCAAAAAGGTTAAAGGTTACCTACTCCAGAACTAAGGAAGCGCGTGCAAGGTTTACGATTTTATGACTCTTGTATTGTGATTGTTCGACTTGTTAGACTCATGGTTACGATTATACTTAGAAATGATGGTTGCTAGGTATACTTACAACTGTGGTTACTATTATACATATAGTTCTGGTTATACTTATACTTATAGGCACGGTCCCTATGTCGCCAGCTCACAAGTTCATCTTCCTGCCGGGTTGATGTGGAGGTCCAGGTCGCTAGCTGCTGGTAAGCTTTGTAGCCCAGAAACCCTAAACCCTAAACCCTAAACCCTAAACCCTAAACCCGAAACCCTAAACCCGAAACCCTAAACCCTAAACCCTAAACCCTAAACCCTAAACCCTAAAGCCCTTGTTTGGGGGCAGCCCCGGTCATGTCACACTTCTTCATGTCAGAGGCTCAACAGCGATCGCTCTTCTTCCAATCATCTCTGGACTCAACCCTAAACCCTAAACCCTAAACCCTAAACCCGAAACCCTAAACCCTAAACCCTAAACCCTAAACCCCAAAACCCAAAACCCTAAACCCCCTAACCACAAAAAAACACTCCCTGACGGGTGCCAGGTCGCGGTTTCGAGGCAGTCCTGTAGCTCCGTAAGCTGCAGCAGCTCCTCGCTTTTGGGGCTTTCGGGGGTTTAGGGTTTAGGGTTTAGGGCTCAGGGTTTAGGGTTTGGGGCTTATAATTAAGGGACCTTAGGGGTTCTTTGGGGGTTATTCAGGGGCTACTTAGGTGATTTTGGGAGCTTGCGGGCTTTAGGGTTCAGGGTGTGGGGATCTTTTTTGCTAAAATGAGGGGCTTGGAAAGCCAAGACGGGTTTGGAGTTCGGCTTTGTTCTTCAACCCAAAGCTCACCCGAAGGTTTCCCCGATCCCTAAACCCTAAACCCTAAACCCTAAACCCTAAACCCTAAACCCTAAACCCTAAACCCCTGAACCCTTCTCCTGCTCGCTTCTCTCCAAGGTGTCGTAGACGTTCGCTGCGAGACGCAGCATTGCGTCTCGGTCCAGCTGGTGGCCCAAGACGTCTGTCAACAGAGTCGCGACCTTGCACAAACCCTAAACCCTAAACCCTAAACCCTAAACCCTAAACCCTACTAGTGTTTATAGGGGTTGCTTTTGCCACGATCGTTGTCGCAGTACTCACGTGGATTTTATATGCCAAGTACCCTACACCCTTAACCCTAAACCCTAAACCCTTTCTTGAACCCAGGCCCTGAGCATCAGCTGAAACCCTAGACCCTAAACCCTACTTCTTAAAAGGGAGGGATCAGCAGAAGAAAACGGAAAGAATTGAACCCATGGGTCGGGCGACTTGCACAGTGGCCTCACTCGGACCTTTGTGTGCGGACTTGGCGCTTTCGAGAATCTTCCTACACCCTAAACCCGAAACACTAAACCCTAAGCCCTAAACCTTACATCCGTTTGGCACAAAAAAACATAGGAGGGATGCCAACGAAGAGCACAGTCGGCTGTTTCAAAGGGCGTGTACGCCTGGAGCTTAGGTGCTCAGTCACGATGGCTATCTGAATTTTCTAGCAGGGTGTAGGGTTTAGGGTTGAGGGTTTAGGGCTAGGGTTTAGGGTTGCTGTTCTCACCCCGGTCTCTGTTGGATGCTGACGCCTTGACCGCCAAAAAACATCATGCTGTAAAAGCAGGTAGCACCAACACCCCTCGGCCACCGTGTCCGCCCTTCCCTTCCACCCACAAAGGCCCCGAGATCTGAACCTAAATCGTTAAACTCTAAACCCTAATCCCTAAACCCTAAACCCTAAACCGTCTTAAACCACAGAGGCTCCTAAACCCCTCTGGGGCACAGGCGTCTGCTAGGGTCAGGCCTTCCCCATCCTTTAGCGAGTGCGAAAAGTGCAACTGAATTCGATTTATGTACGGAGGGTTTAGGGTGGCCTAGGGCCTTGGGGGTTTGTCAGGCTTATGTGCCGGTTGATGAGGACGCTCCCCTCATGTATGGCCTCGGGCTCCAGGGGAACATCCCAACGGGTTGAGCTACATGACAAGCTTGCTTTGTCTCCCTACGCTGCAAGACCAGGAGAATGATCGTCAGGTGGGTCTTGGAAGTTGAGGGGGGTTTAGGGTTTAGGGTTTAGGGTTTAGGGTTTAGGGTTTAGGGTTTAGGGTTTAGGGTTTAGGGTTTAGGGTTGCGGGTTCAGAATTCCCCTAATCGTCACATGACAGCCACAGATCCTCCATACTTTGGCGCGCTGTGGGGCAACTAAAATCATTGTGAGTTATGAGCCTTGGGGTCTTGAGTCTTGAGATGGCCTAAGCTTTCAAGTTCGTGCCGCTTGCTGGGCTCCAGCCTTGAGAGAGGATCACTTAAAATGATTGCCAATTCATCCCCGCATCCTGCAAGCCCTTTTCTCCTTATTCCCCCCCAAACCACGTGGCAATGCTGTGGGCTTCTAAGTTCTAACGTTGGGACTTGCCCATGGGCTCTCCTCATCCAGTTCGCGGAACTTCCATGTCATCTTTTGGCGGAGCTTGGCTTCTTGATCCTCTTTCCTGACGTCCGGGAAGAAGTCTCTAGACCAGGGCACAAGGGTTTAGGGACTCTTGTTGCTGCCCCGTGGCTACTATGACTGGCACTTCAACTGGGGGGGAGTTGGGGGTCCTATAAACATTTAAGTTTCTACGGGCCGGTAAGGGTATATAGGGACTAAATAGGACCCAAAGAAATGCAAAATTTAACCCCAGTAAGTGGCATTCAAGGATTCCAGGGCTTCCGATACAGTGGAGGCCCCGCGCTCGTCCGATGCAATGCGCAACAACTCATCATTCGAACCCACTTTCGTCAACGATTCCATGCTTCCCCCCCCCCCCCCCCCCCCCCGAAAATTACTTCCTCAGTTGTACTTTAGACTCTTCGAATTTTTTTCATGAACAGGTCCCCCTAGAAAGAAAGAAGGGAATTTCAAATTTATCCCCAAGCACAACCCAGCTTTGTGCGCCACTCGCAGCCTGACACTGATTTGATGGTCACAATAGCATCACTGGGTCCCATGAGCTCCGCTCGATATGCTTAGGGACAAGAAACTCCCTAAGGAAGCCCAGGGCTTGCTAACTTCAGTCTCCAGAACTGCTATTCAGATGCACATTCCCATCGTGGCTAATTGGGGAGACCCCCCTAAACCCTAAACCCTAAACCACCCTAAACCCTAAACCCTTGGGGAGACCACAGACAAGAGGCCCACCACAAACAGCTGCACGTGACTGGAGCCACTGCCAGCATCGGGCCAGGCACGTGCTCCTTCTGTCCTTTGTTAGGGTTTAGGGTTTAGGGTTTAGGGTTTAGGGTTTAGGGTTTAGGGTTTCGACTCTCACACTCGCACAAAGCCGGCAAGGCATCGGTTGGTAGGTCATGGTCTGGCGTCTAGGTTTAGGGTTTAGGGTTTTGGGGTTTGGGGCTTAGGGTCTAGGGTTGAAGAGGCAGAACATTCGTTCAACCGCAAGCTGAGAACGTGGGCTTCTGACCTCCCCTGCTAAGTCTCCGCAGCGCTGCTTGCCTACCGCTTTGCTTGTGCACTCACTGCCTTCTCCCGGGTACTGTATTCGGGGAGGCTGACTACCACCGCTGAGTGGCAAAAGTCGAAGCATCGCCTCAAGTGGACTTCACTCCTACACATGCATCAGCTCGTGACATATTCACGAAGCTTACAGGGACAAAATTCTGAGACTGCAGATTGCAGGAGGAATGCGGGATTGACAGCCAGAAAGCAGAGACGATGCCGAGCCAATCGTTCTGAGGTGTCTGCGCTTCGCTGCGCGGCGGGCCATGTTCGATGTCGGCGACCGTTTGACCTCTGCTGGCGATGCCTGAGCTGATCTGAGCACCCTCAACAAACCACACTCGTCCCATCTGGCTGCTCGTATTTCTACGTCGACCTTATAGTAATTTCTCAAGCCCGCTCTTTTTTGCAAGCCACTCTCAACCCTAAACCCTCAACAACCCGAAATGCAGAATAGGGTTTCGGGGGGGGGGGGGGGTTATTATAGTATATATTATGAACGGGCCCCTTAGGGAATGCTATTAGTAAGTATTCCGACCCCTAAACCCTAACCCGAAACCCTAAACCCCAAACCCCAAACCCTAAACCCTAAACCCTATATGAACCTGCAAGTCCAGGACGAACAGGCTCCCAAGCTGCCAGTTGTGCCCGCTCGTAGCTTGAGAGGGACTCCGTGGACGCTTCGGACCCCACGGCCTAGCGCGCTAAAGGGTTGTAGGGTTCAGGGTTCAGGGTTCGGGGTTCAGGGTTCAGGGTTCAAGGTTTAGGGTTAGGGTTTAGGGTTTAGGGTTAGGGTTTCGGTTTTAGGGCTTCATCGCTCACACTCGGACAAACCCGACGGGGCACACAAGTCAACAGTCCTTGACTCGAAGCCGTGTTCGGCTCAAGGTGACACACGCGGTTGCGGACACACAATCTTAGCGCTAGTGAATTCTCGGTGATACACTCGGTCGCTGGTTTAGGGTGTAGGATTTAGGGGGTGATGTTTGGGTTCAGGTGTTCAATAGCGATCTGATTCGCAGAAACTAGGATGGACACATGGGGTGGCTGGGATGGACTTCGACTCGACAGGCTAAGGGGCTCCACCATGACATTCCGGGGACTTCATGTGTGTGTATGAAAAAAGGCCACGACTGCCTGAACATCACTGAGCCCTTAAATCCCCCTCAACCTGCTAAGCCGTATGGACCCCACAGACCCATAGACCGTCAACCCTGCATCCAGGCTTGGGTGAAGACCCTCAACCCTACACCCTAAACCCTAAGCCCTAAACCCTAGACCCTAAACCCTCGACCCTACGCAGCGACCCCAAAATCCTAACGCACCCTACAAGACGCTCCTGAGATCCCATCTCCTCAAAGTCTAAAAGGATCTCTTCATCCAGCCAGATCACCTCAAGGGTTCAGGGTTTAGGGTTTGTTGGGGATCAGTAGTTTGGGATATTGGGCTTGCTAGCACGATTATGCTTGAGTGATCGGGTCTGAGGATGGCTTGTGGGACAAGAGCAGACGTGGCGCCATACATGTACATGTGCTACGGAACCCTGAAGCCACCACCGTGTCATGCTTGGGTATACATGTAAAGCGCCCCAAACAGTTCATCCTAGCACCCACAGGCCTAAACCCCAAACCCAAAACCCTAAAGCCTAGCCCTAAACCCTAAACCCTAAACCCTAAACCCGAAACCCTAAACCCTAAACCCTAAACCCTAAACCCTAACCCTAAACCCTAAACCCTAAACCCGAAACCTTACACCCTAAACCCTAAACCCTAAACCCTAAACCCTAAACCCTAAACCCTAAACCCTAAACAAGGTCATGTTGAAGGAGCCCTTGGCTCCCAGCCCAGAGAGACTTGACATTCGGGTTTTTGGATTTTGCGCTTTGGGATTCCAAAGCCTGAAGCTGAGCCCTAAACATACAAAACCTAAACCCTAAACCCTAAACCCTAAACCCTAAACCCTAAACCCTAAACCCTAAACCCTAAACCCTAAACCCTAAACCCTAAACCCTAAACCCTAAACCCCCAATCCCCCTAATCCCACTAAACGCCCTAATCCCACTAAACGCCCAAAGCGCCCTAAACCCGATAGACCCTAAACCCTGAGCACAAACCCTAACCCTAAACCCTAAACCCTAAGCCCTAAGCCCTAAGCCCTAAACCCTAAACCCTAAACCCTAAACCCTAAACCCTAAACCCTAGCCCTAAACCCTAAACCCTAAACCCTTCGAAGCAGCCTCTCCGGAGCTCAAAGTCTCCCTGTGGTAGACGTCCTCCACCTCCTGTGGCAGCAGTAAGGAGGCAATTGGGGTGGGGTTCCGAAATTTAGGGGTACCTTGTTGGGGTTTAGGGTTTAGGGTTTAGGGTTTAGGGTTTAGGGTTTAGGGTTTAGGGTTTAGGGTTTAGGGTTTGGGGTTTCCGAAATTCGGGGTACCTTACTGTGGATCCATTTCTCAGGGAATCCTACTACTTGGGGGTCAAACTTAGGGATCCCCTATTTTCGTAAACCGCCAATTGGGCTGAACGAAAGAAGTCTTGTGCAAAGTCGGTGAAACGTCGATCTCGAAAGTTCAAGCGTAGCGATTGCCAGAGTCCACTATTTCAGCGAAGGTCGCGTGCACAAACTTGGTGCCTAGAAGCAGGAACAAAACCTGCTGCTGAAAGCGCTCGGGCCCCCAAACCCCCACCCCCCAAACCCGCCCCTTCCCCCCCCCCCCCCCCCCCACCAACCCCCGAGTAATTATCGCTCTGCCCTTGCCACCCCTAAACCCGAAGCTACCTCTTCCGTCTCAGGCTGCTCCATGCCCATGGGCACTTTGCGTGCGGCTCGCCGGCGCTCATCCTCTTCGATGGCATCCACCTGTAGACCCTAAACCCTAAACCCTTTTACAGCTGGCCTCGGTTCACAGCAAACCCTATACCCTAAACCCTAAAACCCTAAAACCCTAAAACCCTAAAACACTAAAACCCTACTTCATGTTCTGGTTGCACACAGCCTACAAGAGGGATGTGCAATCCCCCCGAATCTCCAAAATATCCCAGTAACTAGGATACAGACTAGAAAGGCTGCAACAAATGCCCCACCTCTGAAAGAGTTCTCCGAAATGGTTGTTTAGGGCTTAGGGTCCTGTTCTTTGTAGCTGTAGGCGGTGCACAATAAACCGATAGGTGATGCAGCCCAACGTGTCGCCTGCACCCTGCATTTTCGAAACTCCACGGATGCCAACTTCTGGCCAACTAAACCCTAAACCCTAAACCCTACACCCTAAACACTAAACCTCCCAAAGTTGAAAAGCTTCTTACTAACCCGACTGCTAAGTGAGGACCCTCACCTGCAAGGAGGTGAAGTCCAGCAGGTAGCGGAGGAGGTTATACTGAAATCGCTCGGAACTCATCACGCCGAAGCCTGGCTGTAGCCGGGATTGACCCAAATTATGGGTTTAGGGTTTAGGGTTTGAGGTCTCTGTTCTGATAGAGCCTTTAGAGTCTTAGGGTACAGTACGGGTACCAGGATGGGCCCATACCTTTGTATAGGTCAACCCCAGTGGCCTGCCGGTTTGGTTTCCTGGCCCTTGCGCATTCTCTTTTTCCATCCTGATGTGAGCAGATGCCCTGTGCACATTTCTTTCTCCAAGCGACGAACACCGCTTCAATGTTTCGCGCCCGGTGTAAATCTTGGTCTGCACTTCTGTTCGTGCGAAACCACGTGCAGGACAGCTTTTGTAAGCAAATTGCAGGCCTCTGCCAGGAAGCTACATCCTTCTAAGCTTACGGTTTAAGGTTTAGGGTTCCTCTCTGAGCTCTTAAGGTCTTGAGTGTGGAGGTTCGAGGATGGCTCACCGACGGCATCCGGCGTTTAATTCCAACTCTTCGCAAGTTTCTGGAGGCGGGCATGCCAGATTTCGTAACCGTTACCATGCCCTGCCATCCTGACCCATCTGACCCATCTAGGTCAGAGTCGCTGGCTGGGGTCACCTTCTACGGTCAAGCACGGCGGAATTCGCAATCTCAGCTAGGAACTAGTAGGGCTCTCTGCATGAAGCTAACAGAGCGTCCATGACCGGATTGATGTGTTTCAGGGCATTGCCGAGTTGACCTGGAGTGAACCTCTGCACACCGCGGGCGAGTAACAAACAGCCTATGGCCTCATGTACAACTCCAATTCAGAGTTTGGCGCAGCATGAACGCGCTGGCACGTTGTCAACAGCGAAAAACGCATGCTGCGTGGCTCGGAAGCTTGTCCCCTCTCTGAGCACTGAGGTTTTCTTGTCCGCAAACGCAACGGGGTTACGACTCGATGCGAAGAGAGGAGAGAAGCACAAACAATTTGCAAGTGCCAGACACATGGCTGCAGACAACTTGATGACACGACTTGCGATCGTAGAATCACATTACGAACCCTAAACCCTAAACCCTAAACCCTAAACCCTAAACCCTAAACCCTAAACCCTAACGCCCATATTTGGCCCATGTTGGCTGCAGCCCGTGTGGGAGCACCTCAATTCAGGTTGGCCCTGTGCGGCCTAACGAATTATCTTGCTTGCTTATTGGGCTGCTGCACCTTTTGCTCCACAGAGAGCAAAAAAAAACACCTACATCGCACACAGGCGCCAGGAGCGGCTAATGTTGGACCTGCTTTAATGATGTAACCCCCCCCCCAAAAAAAAAAACAAGCGAGGACCCTGCAAAAAAAACCAAACAGTCCCCGACCCTGGCAAGGTCGAGGCTTCAGGCTTCAAGTATCTCTCCTTCTCGAGAAAGCTTATGCCTTCCTGCAAACCGAAGGACTGAGCCCCGGGCCCCGGAAGACTTTTATTATAGCGGGCCCCCAAACAAAAGGTATAAAACTGTGTCCGGAGGCCTCCGTAAGCTACCCCCTTTCCAGATATGATTCGTTTGTGGAATCATATAGTTTTAAGTAAGGAATTCATAAAGAAAACGAGCCCTGAAAAAAGAAGATTTTTGGAGATCCTGGAAAGGTCGAGGCTTCAGGCTTCAAGTATCTCCCGTTTTCGAGAAAGCTTATGCCTTCCTGAAAACTGGAAGGACTGAGCCCCATAAGTCACGGCCCAAACGCTTTTCATTATAGTGTACCTCCAATACACAGGGCCAAAATCCTGAATAGCCGAAATGTTTTTCGCAATAGCGTCCCCCTAGACTATTGCGGGTGCAACATTAAACACATTGTCTATACTGAACTTGGAACCCTAGCAAGAATTGTGTTTTTAGCTGTTTCTCAGGAATGATAGTGCCCAAAAATTAGCAAATTTTCCCAAGTATCCCTAAGTTGTCCTGGCTGGCTAATGAATACAAAGAAGAGATGCTTTCTTTGCTTCGTATTTGGCCAACATTGTACAACAGACACTCTTCTCAGCGTTCTCGCGAATCTTCGTAGGCTGCATTATCGAAAGGCGGTATTGCAGTCGCATTTCCAAAAAGTGACCGCTGTGAGGAAGATGATATTGAATTCTTACCCGAAGTATAGTCTCAAAGACTCACTTAACGCCTACCAGCATGCAAGTTGCGCAAGCAGCTGTGCACGCTCTTACAAACTTGCAGTTGGCCAACTACGAAACTACTTCGAAGCCATATTCCAACCTCACCAAAGGTCCTACTAGGACGATGAACGCTGTATTCATGGGGTCGCAGATTGATTCTTCATTCGGATTTGAACAGACGTTCTCTTCGAAGCTGCTGGGATTTAGGTAACTTTTGGAGTGTGTCTCGACTAGTCGAGTGCACATTTTTGCTGCAAGGCTTTGTGCAGGGTTGATTTGTTCCAGCAATCTGAGTGGGTGGGATGGGGGGGGGGGGGGGGGGGGTGGGGTGGGGTGGGGCGGGCCCCTAAACCCTAAGCCCTAAACCCTAAACCCTAAACTGTGGGGGGGGGGGGAGCGCAGGGAGGCAGTTTCCCCTCGTGAAGGGCTCATCTCTTAAGTTCTCTGTCCATGTTTGGACATTCCGACTGGAGTTCTTGAACGTAATCCTGCACATGGTGCAGAAGTTTCTCTCGTGGATCGTATGAACACACTGAAAACTGTTTGGCGCAATAGGGGCGCAGGCCTTGTGTGGCAACTTGACTAGCATGTCACTAAAGGATTTTGGAACACTTCCTGAAGAGTACATGGTACATGTGGAGGGGTCCCTTTTCACTGTTGGAGTGGAATGGACATGATTCTCCTTAGTCGGAAGGGGCGTCCAAAATATCACAACCGTGCAGCGACACCAACCATTTCGGGGGAAATGGCGGAGACTTGAATGTTTTAGAGCTTGTGACGGGCCGGTTTGTCCTCTATGTCTCTCTCTCACTCCTAAACCCAAAGCCCCAAACCCGAAGTCCTAAAATACGACAATTGATCCCTTGATGGCTTCTTCCAGTTCTGGAAGCATTTGTTGTGAAGGGACCGCTGCCCCCCCCTCCCCCTCCCCCTTGTCTCCTGTTTGGCCCCTCCCTGAATTCACAATTTTGCGCTTTAGGGTTCAGGGTTGAAAACGCAAGCAAATTCCCCACGATCCCCAACTCAGAAACAAAAAAGTTTTGGTTGGGACAAAATCTCGCGTTGTGAGAGGTGTTGCGGACAGATTCCTAACGTCTCTCTCGTGATTGTCCGAACACTTCGGGGTTTGGTGATTTTGGATTGTTAGAACTCTGAGCTTGGGAGCTTTCGAGATTGTTGCTGACTTCTGGCATGGTTCATTGCTCAAAAAGAAGATGCATATCTGCATATATCTAGATGCATGATAGAGAGCCCTAAACCCTAAACCCTAAACCCTAAACCCTAAACTCTAAACCCTAAACCCTAAACCCTAGAGATAGAGTACATAACATGTGTAGTCAATGCGCAGGCCAGGTATGTTTTCCATCGCTGCAGTTTCGACACCGAAGCCCCTAAACCCTAAACCCTAAACCGTAAACCCTAAACCGCTCCCTCCGTGCAGTGTGCTGCTTGCAGCAGCCTTGTCTAGGATGGCCCTTAAAGCCCTCTGAAAGGTATTCCCGACTATGATCCTCTAAAACCCAAGAAGGGTTTAGGGTTTAGGGTTTAGGGTTTAGGGTTTAGGGTTTAGGGTTGTTCCTGAATATGATCCTCTGACTCTAAACCTCAACAAGGGGAAATGCAACATGTCCCAAGGGCCTACCGAGTTTTTTTTTGTACACGGACGTGCAATGATGCTCTGGCCCGTCTCAGTCTAATTCAAAGGCCTCGTGGCTAAAGAGCAAGGGCCGGAACCAGCCATTCTTGATGCGATCCGGGGCGTTCTCGAAGTACTTGGACCTCTACTGAACTTGGGGCACCCTAGCGAAAATCACAATTTTAGCTATTCCTTACGGATTTTATAGCATCCAAAAGACTATTAAACAAAAAAAACTATATTTCCAGGGTAGATCCGAAGGGGCCTGTTCGCCTGATAGCCCTGCGTCACTGCAGGGGCCACTTCCATGATCTTGTTCGAGGGGTAGAGGCGCAGCTGGCGATTGTGGAAGGCCAAGGCAAACCTTAGTTTAGGGTTTAGGGTTTAGGGTTTAGGGTTTAGGATTTAGGGTTTAGGGTTTAGGGTTTAGGGGGACTAAAGGTGAACCTTTGGGAATATAGGGGCATTATATTGCCCCAAAAAGGTTAAAAGGTTGCCTACTCAACAACTCAGAAACTCCTTCGTCGCCTGAGTGGAGAGGAAGTTGATGAAGCCATATCCACGGTTTCCTTAGTTGTCCAGTACCTAGCTGCTTTAAAGGTTAACCTTTGGGAACCGAAGGGGAATATACTAATCCAAAGAGAGTTAAAGGTGACCTACTCTACTACTAAGTTTCGCTTGGTCTTGAAGTCCATGGGAAGGTAGAAGAAGTCAAACATGTGATCGAATCCTGCCGTCATGACCTCACACAAGAGCTCTTCGCAGGTGTATCGGTTGGGGATGTTGCGGAGCATGACGGTGGTCTGACCCTCCCGAAAGAGGCTAGCTGCCTCCCGTGCGTCCATGGTGACCTCTTCCGAAGACTCCGACACCTCCAGTGGCTTTGCGTTCTCAGTGGTGCTCACCTTCCGTGCTGCTCCTACCAGGCCAGGAGCTAGGACCTTGCGCGGGACACGAGCCCTCGGCTTCTCGACCTTGTCCGGCTTCTCCTGCTTCTCCGGCTTGTCCGGCTTGTCCTGCTTCTGGGAGGGTGGCTGTAGGAAGGGCGCGAGGAGCAGCCGTTGCTTCTCCTTGCAGGCTGGGGGTGGGTTGGAAGCCTCGGCAGGAACCACCACTTGAACGACTGTGTAGCTTGCCTGGGGCGGAGCCATCACCGGAGGCTCCTGAAAAGGCACCATTTGCTGATCCATGTAGCTGTTCGATGGCTGTGTGGACAACACGGTCGGCATGGCCATGATGGGCTGGCAGGCAGGAGACGGCCACACGGCCTCCATGGGGGCTGCGCCTCCGAGGTATGGCATAGGCTCGGCTTCCATTGGCATCACGCTGGCGAGGTATGGCGTGGGCTCTCCTTCCATCTGCATCGCGCTTCCGAGGTGTGGCATGAGCTCCGCATACTCCAGGTACTGGGTCATGGCGGCAGGGTTCTCCACAGGGATCATTGCCATTGGCGAGAACCAAACAGGGAGTGAAGGGAGCAGCCTTTGCGACTTGAGCCCGGGCTACGCCTTGACGAAGCTTCTTGAAAGCATGCGAGTCCCGGCAAAGAGCCGCCTAGATTGCCAGATGCTTCCGGGCTCATGGTTGAGGTGGACATCTAAAGGCGCTTGTGCGGCACAGAAGCAGTGCTCTCCTCTACTGCTCTTGCGCGGCTGCAAAACCTAGATCTCAAATTGCTCTGCACCTAGTACGGCCATGCTTGCGACACCCTCGCCCCATTGACCGACAAACATGGCCAGCGAGCTGGACTCGTGCGAAAGAATGTGCACATCGTCCTCCGAGGATTGACCGATCTTAAGATCATGTGGTTTCATCTCTGAATCAGGCTCCCTGTTGATTGGGGGGATCCCTAAACCCTAAACCCTAAACCCTAAACCCTAAACCCTAAACCCTAAACCCTAAACCCTAAACCCTAAACCTTCTATTAGGTGATGCTGTCGGGCGGGTCCTGGCCTGGTTGTTGGACTTAACAGTCTTGGGTTCCTTGAAAGATGGCCCTCAAAAGAGAGCCCTTCTCTGAGATCACGCAGCTTGAGTGTAAAACTCAGGGTTTAGGGTTTAGGGTTTAGGGTTTAGGGTTTAGGGTTTAGGGTTTAGGCGTCCAGAAGCAGAACGTACATTGGGATGTTGAAGGGCACCGTTACTCCAGTGTGCATCTCTTGTCACAGTGAGGGAACCATTACTGAAGCTCAAAGTGGCTGGTGGCTCTGAAATCAGACCCTCATCCAACAAGCGTGCCAGAATTCAAGTTTAGGGCTTAGGGTTTAGGGTTTAGGGTAGTAAGCCACTTTTACCTGTGGTTCATGGAAGCGACCCGCAAACTCAAGACTGAAAGCTGCCGCTACCAACGACGCGGTCTCTGAGTTTCGGATGTCCTTGCGCCGTGTGATCTTCTTGTCCGCACGGCGCCGGCCTTCATCATCGCTGTCATCCTCCGAGGCCGGTTTAGGGTTTAGGGTTTAGGGTTTAGGGTTTAGGGTTTAGGGTTTAGGGTTTAGGGTTTAGGGTTTAGGTGCGAAACCCCAAACCTCAGAACTGAGCCTTTCATCTTAGGGGATAGGATTCGGGGGACCCTTGGGGGATATAGACCTTCTGAATAAGGTCCCTGTTTAAGAGTTAAGGGACCCCCTGATCCTACCTAGGACATCTCTGAGCAGAAGAGGACATGGCCTTGCCTCAACTCCGACGCTCTACGAGCCTCTTTGGGGTGCTATGTTCGGGCTCTCGCGTTCGAGCACCATGGGCACAGCATGCGAATCGAAGCGTCTTCGACAAGCTTGGCGGTGACGTGCACGTGGCTATCCTGCGCACAACATTAGCTCCCCGAGCTTTTTCAGGGTTTAGGGCCAAGTTTAGGGTACAAAGAACTCTGAACCCAGCGACGTGATTTGAAGAATCGGCGCTGTTGTGTTGTGGTAAGCTTGCGACATGAGTACTGTGGCCAGTCTTTCAGCCTGGGCCTTTGAAGAACTATTCCTTTCTCGAAGAGACGCTCAGGGAATGACTCCTGAATATCAATGATCGCGGAGATGTCGTCGGCCGGGAGATCTTTCTGAGTCGCGAGTATCCTTCCGACACTGACCTTCAGTGGAGATCCCTGCTGCACAATTCCTACGGGCAACAAAGGCGACTCCTGCTTGCAAGGTGCTACCGGCTCGGAGAAGCAGGGACAGCTCACTATGTAAGGGCTCATCTTTCCCGAATACGGCCTCAGAAATTTGTTTTTGTTTGCAGGGTTTAGGGTTTAGGGTTTAGGGTAACTCCAAACAAGCCCATCAAGCATGAATGAACAGCGAAGCGGCAGGCTCGATCCGGTTACCAAAGCGGGCGCCAATGTTCATGACCTTCTTGCTTGGCCTGAGGCATTCAAGCTAGGCCCCTGATTGCGGGAAACCCTACAGCCTATACCCTAAACCCTAAACCCTAAACCCTAGGCCCTAAACCCTAAACCCTAAACCCTGAACCCTAAACCCTATAAACCCTAAACCCTAAATTTTCTTCTGAAGGGGACTCGACGTTCCCAGACTCCCCACTTCGACGATCGTCAGACCAGCCCTGTGGTTCGGGAAGGCGGCAGCATATATACACATGTACATACATATGTATATGTATATGTAAATGTATATGTATATGTATATGAAATATGTATATGTGTATGTATATGTATATGTATATGAAAATGCAGAAGTATATGTATGTATCATATAGGATGAAAACATGCATGAAAGTCATATGTATATACTCATGTGATTACTGTTCTTGTCACTGTTCGTCTTCTTCATATTACGTTATTCGTAATACAGTGCAACCAAGTTCACCCAGTCGCACCGTTCTCGCGCTGCTTGATGACCTGCATCTACGAGCCCTAAACCCTAAACCCTAAACCCTAAACCCTAAACCCTAAACCCTAAACCCTAAACCCTAAACCCTAAACCGTTGCAGCATGTGCAATACTGCCGTGGATTTGCAAGAGCGGGCCCTTCATACAGATACCCCAATAGCAGGATTCCTTAATCATAAGGACCCCAAGAAGGTACCCCGAATTTTGGAGACCCCTTTCGTGACCTGCTGAGAAAAGCCTAAACCCTAAACCCTAAACCCTAAACCCTAAACCCTAAACCCTAAACCCTAAACCCAAATATCCTAAACCCTCAACCCTAAATCCGAGGGCTGGGCAACGCTTCCGCGCCTCCTTCCTCGTCTTCGCAATGTCTCCGCGTACCTCCTGCTCCGCTAGCTCCAGGCCACTTCGCAAGAACAAGAAGTCCTTTGCAATGCAGAGCAGAAGAGGTTTTGGGTTTAGGGTTTAGGGTTTGGGGTTTAGGGTTTACATGTTTGGGGTGTGATGCTCAGGATGGTCAGAACATGTTAGAATCTCTTTTTGCCTCTCTCTCTTCTGTAGCAGCTAATGTAAGACTAGTGGAAATAAGCAAAAGCAATAGCAACCAATAAGTACCAATAACAACGAGTGTGATTGTGAGGATCATGCTGGCGACATAAAGGTCAGCTCCAGGTATCACCATCACAATAGCACCATAATGATGATAAGCCTGAACCCTGAACCCTGAACCCTATAAACCGTCATGGGATGCAGCACGACCTGCCACCCCGCGCTAGTTCTACGCCGGGGGTGAGGCGCAGTGGCTTTTGTATCATCGCCCGCAAAGCAGACTCTCCACATTCGCGAAGCAACCCAACTCACCCGGCACTATACCTGAATTCACAGACTTCCTGGGAGCGAGATGTTTGACCTTGTCTGCTCAGAGACCCTAAACCCTAAACCCTAAACCCTAAATCCTAAACCCTAAACCCTAAACCCTACATGTGCTTTCGATTTCTGAGACACGCCCTGAATACACGAATCGGCGCGAGCTTCCGTCCGCTGCAGCGTCTTCTCGCGGCTCGGCTGCATGTCCATATTCCTGACAAGCCACTCTATAGATCTCCAAAAAATTGATAAAAAGTATTCTGGACTCAAAACGGTTCAATCCTGTTGGCTTCTGTGGGTTTAGGGCTTATGCAGCACCATCTCCGAAGAGCGAATATCGGGCGCCAGCGTGAAACATGACACTGCGCCGCAAGCCCAGGTGGGTTTAGGGTTTAGGGTTTAGGGTTTAGGGTTTAGGGTTTAGGGTTTAGGGTTTAGGGTTTAGGATTTAGGGTTTAGTGTTGAGAGCGAAGTTTTAAGGCTTCTCAGTATAGGGACTTCGGTACCCACCACAGGGTCTCAACAGAACTTGAACTGCTGTCGCCAAAGTGAGGGGCTCTGTGCCCGTCTGGGGGGCTTCCGAAATTGCCCTTATTATAAGGGAGTCTGCTATTTGAGGGACCATATTCGGGGTGTCTTATTTTCGTAAACCCCCTTACTACACCTTGGACTTGTGGAATGCCAGCCGCTCGCGACCCGAGGCCCGAGCAGCAGGAGATGTGGAGAGCACACAAACCCGAAACGCTGAATCCTATTTTGAGACCTAAACCCTAAACCCTAAACCCCAAACCCCAAACCCCAAACCCCAAACCCCAAACCCCAAACCCCAAACCCCAAACCCCAAACCCCAAACCCCAAACCCTAAACCCTAAACCGCAAAGCAACCTGAGGCCCTCAACCGTCAACCCTTAAGCCTTTTCTAGGTTCCTATACTGAGTGGTGCTTTAAAGCCAATGGAAGACGATTTATGAATAGGTTCCCTTGAAATGGAAAGAAGGGGAAGTTCAAAATGATCCCAAAGCACTACCCAGTATAAACCTCTGGCTGCATGCTGCTGGGCGGCACAGGGGTGGTGCGAATTACACCCAGCACCGTAAACATCGCAAGCTCCAAAGCCAGAGGGAAGCCTGAGATCGTCGTTCGATTCTCTACGAAATGGTTTAGGGTTTAGGGTTTAGGGTTTTAGGGTTTTAGGGTTTTAGGGTTTTAGGGTTTTAGGGTTTTAGGGTTTGCAAAGGGCTTACCTCAAAACTAGTCGCCTCTATACTCTGAAGGACCGGGGAACGCGCCGTGAATTGTTGGGTATAGCTGCCCGCCTTTTTGATAGCAAGGAGGGTTGAGAGGATCAGCTGGATAAAAAGTGTGATCCCCTTGTGGGTTTTCGTCAGGGCTCGCCTTGGCAGGTTTTGTGACCGTTTTAACATGAGCTATAGAAACTTCTTTAATTTGTATAGATACACGTGCCCCCCTTCCCCCAAAGGACCCTAGTTTAGAACAATCCCCCCCCCCCCCCCCCTCACGTTACGATTTTCGTGCTTCAGACCACAGTGTCTTTGGCTGCCCTTAGAAGGGACACTGGTTTGGATTGTGGGCTTATCCCCGCCACAAGCGGGCACGAGCTCGCCGAATACATGGTTTCATGCTTTATGAAACCAATCGAAAATGCCGCTTGCAGAATCTGCAACTCAAGGGACACCTCAGACTGGATCAGTCGAGCGTCTCATGGGCTTCAGGTACTCATCTTGATGGAAGGATGCGAAGACCTGTGACACATCCTTGGCACTTCACAGGGGTCTACTGGTGAAAGTCTCTCCACGGTATTACCTACGCCTTAACAAGGTCACGGTCTTGGTTTCCTTTGTTGCCTTGTTGGTACCTCTGCAACCTCGTGCCCGTGTGCGAAACCAACATGCCTGCACACTGGCCAGGGAGCTACGCAGCATCCGGCACGGCGTTCGGCCCGCCAGGCAGCTGGAGACAGGGTGAAAGCATAGTGGCACAAGAAGCTGTTCCCCCTTCTGCTAACCGTCCTTAATAGGGATTATAGTACCCCTTTCGGGAGACCAGAACGCCGAGCTTGCGCGGGGAAGCAGTGAAAGGATCAACACGCGGTGTCACCGACAGCTCGCTCTCTGTCCCTCTCTCTCTCTGCTGGGGATGTAGTGTCGGGTCCGCCACGTGCATGCAACCGCAATTGGATTGAGGGTACTCTAAACCGTACCCATATTCTGAAGTACTGATACTCTATTTCACAGACATGTGGATATGTTGTATGCAACCCTAAACCCTAAACCCTAAACCCTAACCCTAAACCCTAAAACCTAAACCCAACCCTAAACCCTAAACCCTAAACCCAACCCTAAACCCTAAACCCTAAACTCTCAACCTCAACCCTAAACCCCAGCTTGGTGAGTCCAATCCCTCTGCCTGCTTCCATGGGCGGCGCGTGGATCTCCAACATGGAGTCCAGCAACTCGATCGCAGTGCCCTCTTGGGCAGGCATCAGCAGCATGGCCACCTGTTTCGGTGTTTAGGGTTTAGGGTTTAGGGTTTAGGGTTTGGGGTTTGGGGTTTAGGGTGCTTTCTGCCGCCCTGATATCAGAATCCCCAGCTTCTGACAGCAAATGGCTCCTCGCGGGTGTTTTGGCTCTCGGACACAAGTAGAAAATGCCAAAAAGCGGCCTCCGAAAACATTATGGCTCGCAAGGCCTTCCCCTAACCAGAGCAAGAATGGGAGTCCCAAAGGCAAACGGCAACTACAGCAAGTAAAAGGAACTATTCACATGTATTCTGACACGCGAGATTTGTTTACAGGTGCGCCTGCAGACATCTGTTAACCCTGAAGCTCACAGCAAACGCGACCCTAAGACCATACCTACACACCTCCTACAACCCCCAAACCGTTAACACAACTAGCAGCCTCCTCCAGCTTCTTCTTGACCGCTCCCGCCTTTGCAGTTGTCTTGGGGGTTGCGTGGGGAAGGGGGGGAGGGGGGGAGGGGGGGATTTAGGGTTCGGGAAGGGCTTGGAATTCTAGGGCTTCGACTTTGTTTAGGCTTGGGGAAGCTCAGGGTTGGCCAAGCAGCATTGATGCCGTAGTTGGCCGATGCTGGGGCAGTCCAGTCCACGTCCCAACCCAGCGCATGAAACATGCACTCCTCAGCTGTTGCACAGACTTCTTTGCGCCGAAGCAGGGTTTAGGGTTTAGGGTTTAGGGTTTAGGGTTTAGGTGCGTAACCATGTAGTCTGATACGGCTGTGGCACAGTGGCACTGCAAGGCCACAGTGTGGCCGCTTGGGTGAAGAACGAACTGTGCACTTGGGAGCAAATGGAGCCAGCGTCGCCAACTTTTTGGGGCTTCGGGATTGAGGGGTTTTGAGTCTGGCGAACAAGCCCAAGCCCTACCCAAACCTTCAGACCAAATACAAGCCCTAAACCCGCCCTGACAGGACCGTCACTTCTCGTCCCCTCCTCCTAATTGTACAGAGATGATCTGGGAGAATGCTGACAATCATTTGGGCACTTGCCAAACCCCCCCCCCCCCCGGTCTCAATATACCCCAAAAACCCCCAAAGCACCCTCCAATTCTGCAGATAGGAAGTCCCAAAATGGTGCTCCCACTTTTACCCCCAAAGCACCATGCAATTCTCCAGATAGGAAGTCCCATAATGGTGCTCCCACTTTTATCCCCAAAGCGCCATACAATTCTCCAGATAGGAAGTCCCAAAATGGTGCTCCCGCTTCTTCACTAACCCTAAACCTTAAATCCTAAACCCTAAACCCTAAACCCTAAACCCTAAACCCTAAACCTAAGAAAACTCGTGCAGTCCGAGTTGCAACGCAAATAACACAAACGGTTGGCTGGTGTCCGGGCTCCCGAGGGTCCTGTTGGAGGTTCTGGTGCTCGTTAAGACTCAAGAAATCCCGCACTAGGGTTTAGGGTTTATATAGGTTTAGAGTTTAGGGTTTATATAGGTTTAGAGTTTAGGGTTTATATAGGTTTAGGGTTTAGGGTTTATATAGGGTTTAGGGTTTAGGGTTCAGGGTTCAGGGTTTAGGGCAGGTCGCATGGGCCCCAACCGCCTAGAGCCACGATGCAGGTCACCAACATGCCCTTCCCATTTCGGGACCTAAGAATGCATGGTTGGTCGCCTACATCGTAGTCACATCGATCCAAATAGGCCAGGCTCGGTACTGGTTTAAGGAATCGGCCCGAGGGAAGCCACAATGGTGGCCCCTGAGACCCGACGATCTCTGAGACTCAACAAGGGGAGAAAGGCCCGCCCGACAGGAATGGCGACAGACACACCAGGTGGACCACATCAAAGTATGTAGACCTCGTCGGCATCCCTCGTTGCAAAAGGTGGGGGGCTCCAACTGAACCTCGAAATCCCCCGCACTGCGAGACAAAAGCACTGGCACCTCGGTTTCTTCGCCGAGTCGAGAGCGTCTGCTGCCCGAGTGTGAGGGAGCCCGGTGTGAGCTCGGGCTCATACCTGTGCCCCCCGGAAATACCACTTGTCTTAACACTCCACCTTGGCTTAAATATGCAGACCACCATGTCGTAAGTATTCCCATTGGCATGATTTCATATAGCACGAAACAAGGCCAAGTTCTAAGGAGACCAAATGAACCCTGAAAGGGTTTACGGCTTACATACCCTACTAGGATTTTGCAGAAGCCCTAAACCCTAAAACCCGAAACCCTAACCCCTATAAACCCTAAACCCTAAACCACAAATTGTTGGGGGTTCATTTCGTCCCCGGAAGGAGGCCCAAGATACCCACCAAACCCTAAAACCCCTAAACCCTAAAACAACCCTAATCCGTACAAACCTACAACCTACAACCTACAACCTACAACCTACAACTTACAACCCCAAACCCTAAACCCTAAACCCCAATTTGGGGGTTCATTTGGTGGACCCAAGATACTGCCAGCTATCGACCTCCGGCGCCCACCGGGACCACCTTCTGAGGGCCGCGGCCTTGCGGGGTCTTGCTTCGAAAGGCTTTAGGGCTTCGGGTTTGATTTTTGTTGTTTAGGGTTTAGGGTTTAGGGTTTAGGGTTTAGGTTTAGGGTTTAGGGTTTAGGGTTTAGGGTTTAGGGTTTAGGGTTTAGGGTTTAGCGTTTAGGGTTTAGGCTTTAGGGTTTAGGGTTTTTTGCCGAGCTGACTGGTTTGGGGTTAGGGTTTGGGATTTCGGGTTGGGGTTGAGGGTTGAGGATTTGCGGTTTACAGGGCCGCGGGTTTGGGGTGTACAGAGTTTCGACATTGGGCGTGTGAGAGGGGGGTGGAAGAAGGCCACGGAGGACCAAAGAGATTTGTCAGCACTTGGCACCCCCGCCGCACATCCTTTTTTGTACTGCCTGACGCTGCATGCTCCATAGCATGGTCACTGAATCTGGCACTAAAAACCGGCTTCTACACAAGAAACTAAGGGCTTCTCTCATCTCATGTAAGGGGACGTCAGGTCGCCACCTCACGCCAAGAGTTGGCCAGTGGCGACGGTGTTAGAGATGATCTTCTTCCACTTGTTGCCGTCAGGGAAGACGATGCCATCCTTGTCCCACTTGGCAACTACATCGGCGGGTCCACCTTTCTTGCTGAAGTCGATGGTGATGCTGTCAGAGCCTGCCTTGAAGTCGACCTTGGCCGTCCACCTCGTCATCACCTTCTTCTCGCACCCGGGGTTCCCATCGCCTCCTACCACCATGAGCGTGGCCGTTTTGTAGAGGTCATACTCGTAGACCATCTTCCGGGGGCACATGGGGTGCTGAGGGTCGCTGTAGTACCCAAGCCAGAAGTTCGCATCATCGAACTCCGCCGTGGCAGGCGAAGCCAGCCCGGAGGCGCCCACGGCACCGGCCAGGCCCAAAAGGGCCTCACGCCGGCTCGCCTCTCCACGGCTCTCTCCCGCTGGCATCATGAAGCAGGTGCACCACGCCCCTGCGAGGAGTGCTGCCACGAGGGCTAGGCTGCGGGATCGGCGCACTGCCATGGCTTCTTCGCGCTTGCGGCGGGTGAGGCAAATGGGTACTGAGCTGTGTAGCTTCTGAAGCCGTGAGCTCGGGCCAAGGCCACGCAATCCAACTCTGCCTATCAGCCATCAGCTTCAACAGCAACAGCAACAACAAACATGCGAATAGACTAGCAACAAGAAAAAAGCGATAACTACTGACCTTTGAATGAAACCTAGTTATATAAGTGGGTGTATGGTCCATATACCTTGATGAATAGGGATTAGTGTCGTATAGGGCTTTTGACCCCATTTGGTCCCCTAGGAAAAATCTACAAGACCCTAAACCCTAAGCCCGCCTGCGTGAATGCTGCGACTGCTTCTGGGATTCCATGCCAGAAGGCAAGCGCTCTCTTCGGCGTCCAAGGTTGCCCTGGATCTCGGGATAACTTGCGGACATCAACTAGGATGGCCCTTAAAACCTTCTGAAAATTTTCCTGACTCTGATCCTCTTAAACCCAATAAGGAAAAAAACATTCAAAGTCCCAAGGGCATACCGAGCTAAAGGAGGAGAGGGGGAGAGCCTCAGAGAGTGAGAGAAAGAGCACATCAAAGCAGATTCAGGGCTTCCAACTTAAAGAACAAAATAGCAGAGGTGGGCTCAGATTACCAAAGGCCCCTCTGGTATCTTCGCGCTCCCTCGCCTCATCCAACCTGTAGTCCTTGCTGACGATCCGCCGCGTGTTAACCTCCCAGTTCACCTGCCGGCTCTCAACACGCGCACTCTCCTTGCGTAACGTAGAGGGCGTTAAACCGGAAAAGAAGAGCTAAATCAAGCAGAAGTTTAGTTTTTCGTGTCTTGTGTAGGGGATAGAAGCGCCTGGTATTGATAATTATTATCTGCACCCCTGCGTTGTGCCCCCGCATATGTGCATGCGTAGGCTGCCGGCAATAACATGCAACTTCTCAAACCCTAAACCCTAAACCCTACCTAGACCCTAAACCCTAAACCCTAAACCCTAAACCCCAAAGCCCTCTTGCAGCCTTCTGGTAGATTTCTTTTGCGGCCTTCATCACCACGTTGGCCTGCTTTCCAGGGCAAGGCAGGAGAACGATTTAGGGTTTGGGGTATAGGGTTTAGGGTGCCGGGCTTAGGGCTGTGGCCATGAAACTAGAACAGCCAAACCTTGAGATTCGTGTAGGTTCAACCATGCGTAACTGAGCGTGCAGACTCCGGATCCAACATGAACTGGGACTTCGGAGCAAGTTGGTCTAGGCAGAACTGGGTGCGGCCGAAGATCCAGCTGGTTGCAAATGCCCATGCCCGCCACCATCAGCTTCCTTACAGCTTCGGTGGAGGCATTTCGGAGCGGTTGAATGTCAATTTGGCTCTGGAAGTATCCAAAACTACTATTTGCTTAAGAACCACCCCAAAATCGATTCTTCCTTATAAGATAGGCATAACTGTTCTCTTTAGATTTAATATGTCTTTCTTCTTGGCCTGTCACAAGGCTGCAGGAGCGGACCCTTCAATGACTTCCTATCCGAAGGAGCTCGGCACGAGATCCCAACGCCGGGATTCGGGCGCCGTGCCACATGGGGCTTGCTCTTACGAAAATAGCGGGCCCCTAACATAGGACCCCAACTAGCGTAGGATTCCCATATACTAAGGAGCCCAATGGGGTAGCAAAATTTCGGAAACCCTAAACTCTAAACCCTAAACCCTAAACCCTAACCCCTAAACCCTAAACCCTAAACCCAAACCCTAAACCCCACATAACAGGGCGCCGTTGCGAGAACCCTTTGTGAGGAACCCTGAGGCGGGGACCTCCGATGGCTCCTTGGGGATATTTGACTCGACGTGCGCCCTCGAAGCTGCTCTATTTAGGGCTTCGGTTTAGGGTTTATAGGGTTTATAGGGTTTGTAGGGTTTGTAGGGTTTGTAGGGTTTAGGGTTTAGGCCAAGCTCCCGAATCAAGCCCACCTCTCTGCAGTCCCTGCGTTGATGACATTGAACCGGAACACTGCAACCGCACAAGATGGTGTCCTGACTCCTAAACCCTCTGAAGCCCCCTTGTCACGAGATGGGGCCTTATTTCGTGCCCCAAAGGCTACTTTGCTGCGACTAAATACATCCCAAAGCCTCAGTTCAGGCGTCACACCTGCTTCCTGGTGCCTAGTAGTGGGTTCCCGTTTTGAACTCTAAACCAACGAGAAGGTCCCACACCCTAAACCCTAAACCCTTTTCCCTAAACCCCAAACCCCAAACCCCAAACCCTAAACCCTAAACCCTAAACTCAAACCCTAAAGCCTAAACCCTCTTTCCATGCCAACAGCGTCGTGATCATCCCGGTGGACTTTTCCACCTTTGCCTCACGCCGGGACTTGTGGTGGCGTTCGTTCCGGTCCTCCTTGTCCTTCTGGTTCCTCGTTTTGCTTTTTAGGGTTTAGGGTTTAGGGTTTAGTAAGGGTTTAGGGTTTAGGGTTTAGGGTTAGGCCCTAGTCATGCTAACCATGGGGTGTCTTTGAAAAAATGAAGGCAAATTTCATAAGAACACCCTCACAAAAATGAACACGTTCTTCCTCTCAAAGGGCACTACAGGGATTCTTTTTTGCTTATGTTTTTTTTTTGGGGGGGGGGGGGGCGGTTCTTAAGCAAATAGTAGATGAAGGATACCTTAAACCCTAAACCCTAAACTCTAAACCCTAAACCCTAAACAGCTGGAAACCCGGAGCATGGAGCAGGGAGACAACTCCAAGACTCCAGGGTCCTGACATCACCCGGCCAGGGACCGAACGCATCTTATCAATCTCATCCTGAAGTCTATTGTGGGTTTAGGGGTTAGGTTTTTTTTTCGCTCCCGCATAGCTGTCCGAGCCGGTTTAGGGTTTAGGGTTTATGGGTTTAGGGATATCGTGCGCCCCCCCCCCCCCCCCCCCCCCCCCCCCACAAAAGTCTGCACTTACTCACAAAGTCTTCCCTTCCTCACGGCTGAATTATTGCATGCAACGATCGTCACTGGATACAAGCCTTCTCACACCTCGGACCATTGCAAGAAGTGATAGGCCCTGAAAACCGTGCTAACCCTAAACCCTGAAAACCATGCGTGCTAACCATAAACCCTGAAAACCATGCGGCCACGTCACCCCTGCTGCTTGGAATACCACATCCACCATCGGCTGTCCCGCATGCAATCGATCGAGTCCTTATGCCGTCGGCTCCTAACTATACTTCCTGACAAGATAATGTAGGTGTCGGACTTACTACTTACAATATTCCCGTATGGTCCCTTTGCAATTATACTATAGGACCCCCAAAACCTTATTCTAACTATTCAGGCCCCTATGCTAGTGTGGCAATGTGGCCGTGTCTTCTGCCAGTCCGCCGAGTGGGTGCTTTTTTTGCTGAAGGCCGTGGAAACAAGCGGAAAAAAGTCTGACGTTTACGTAGGGTTCGTTTTTTTTTTGCCACCCGCTTGGCTGACCTCTCGGACACTCTGCAGGGGAAAGTCTGTATACATGTCATACGGCTTATTCAAATCTGTGAGTTAAACGAACACACCACATGCTTGGGAGTTCCAACCCTCAGCAACAGACCTATGACACGAACAAGCCACTTTTTAGTAGTCATTAGTAAAGGCAGGAACCAACAACTGTCGTCTCGTTGGGACTCCAAAGGCTTTAGAGTTTAAGGTTTAGGGTTTGGTTTAGGGTTTAGGGTTTAGGGTTTAGGGTTTAGGGTTTAGGGTTTAGGGTTTAGGGTTTAGGGTTTAGGGTTTAGGGTTTAGGGTTTGGGGTTTAGGGTTTAGGGTTTAGGGTTTAGGGTTTAGGGTTTAGGGTTTAGGGTTTAGGGTTTAGGGTTTAGGGTTTAGGGTTTAGGGTTTAGGGTTTAGGGTTTAGGGGTAGCATCGCCCCATGTCACATCTGCGGCCGGCATTGTGTTCACGACTAGACAAATCACAGATCAAACTACAGCTAGGACCCAGGACTCAAACGACACCGCCCTAACCCGACAACAAACTTGTTGGGAAATCGCGTCCCGTGTCCTGCAAGAAGGCCAAGAAAGTCTGCAGTGGCGCCACTCCATTCGCCTGGTGCCAGATTCCGGTCACACGCCACCCAAGGAATGCCCACCCCCGTTGTCCCTACCTTGCTCACTCGCACTGAGTTTTTTTAATTCACAACCCTAAACCCTAAACCCTAAACCCTAAACCCTAAACCCTAAACCCTAAACCCTAATTCACATTCGCCCATGTTTTCAGAGATTGGGCTAGCATGCCCCGGTCTTGCCCCACCATGCCTGGGCCCAGCCCCACGAGAAACTCTCTCGGTAAGTCCTATAACTTAGGGTTTAGGGTTTAGGGTTTATAACTAGGCAAAAGAAGCCCGACTCAAGATGCACAAAGCTGGTAGAGACGAGAAGCACTCTGACGCGGCCTGCGGAGAATTTTAGGTTCCGGTCTCATGTCGGCATCCGAAATACAATGGTGCCATGCCCTAAACCCTAAACCCTAAACCCTAAGCCCCTAAACCCCAAACCCTGCTCCACCTCCAGGCTCTGAAGAAGCTTCGTGAAGGACAGCATCCCGTCCGCCAGCTGCGGGCACTGCTTGAAGATGGCCTCGGCTATGCTGCGTGTAAGCATCTGCATGTACACGCGGTCTTTGCATGCAATGATATTATGTATGTATGTATGTATGTATGTATGTATGTATGTATGTACATAGATATATATATATATACATTGCATGCACATGCGTGCTTTGCATTGTAGACATCTTGCCCCGTTGCTCAGAAGACCCCCTTGCAGGCGATCGAGCCACTCCTCTTGAACCATAAACCCTAAAGCCTAAACCCTAAAACCTAAACCCTAAACCCTAAACCCTCCCTAAACCCGAACCCCCTCAACCCTATACCCTAAACCCTAAACCCTATACCCTAGACAGGGCGCGCAGATCAGCTGCCTGTTGAACTTTGTGCTTGCCTCCGCATCGAAGACCTCCGGCCTGATCCAAGAAAATGTTCGAGCTGTTGGGTAAGGGTTTAGGGTTTAGGGTTTAGGGTTTAGGGTTTAGGGTTAGGGTTCAGGGTTCAGGGTTTAGGGTTCAGGGTTTAGGGCTTCAGAACTTTAGGAGATGTGAGATATCATCATTATTTTCTAGGTGATACACGAATCATCATTGTGATACTGTTTTTAAACTAAGATTTGACAAGAGTGTGATGATAAGGGTTTCGCACGCCTCAAGCCAAAACCCAAAGTAGACATCCGAGGGAGCGCAGGATGCCCCCCTCACTCCCCTCCCCTCCCACCCCTAAACTTCCTTTTTGAACCAAGGCTCCTGTATAGTTAGCTGGGAAAGGTAGCCCTCTAAACCCTAAACCCCAAACCCCAAACCCTAAACTTCCTAAACCCCCCACCAACTTGCCACGCAGGCATTGCACCTGGCTCGGCCCTTGGCCACCGAGATCAGCAGCCGCGCTACGCGCTGCTGCAGGTCATTCATGCGGCCTTGTGGTGTTAGGGTTTAGGGTTTAGGGTTTAGGGCTTGGGGCTTAGGGCTTGGGGTTTGGGGGTTTAGGGCCTCTGGGGAGTTTGATGTCAATTTCGTTTTAGTAACACAAAACCTACTGAAATCGTGGGGCAGGTTGGGAATGCGCACGGCGCATGCGTAAGAAGGCACGTTCCAACTTCTTGCCGACTGCAAGAATAAGGTTAAACGCCATGCACCACCTGCATTGCATACATTTCCTTCCCTCCTTCCTTTCAGCAGCTCCAGCACGCCCATCCTGCAAAGGGGCTGCCCCAAAAGGGTGTGCGACTACAGCTCAGTTCGTGGGACGTTCCTGCCAGTACGTGATATGCCGCGGCAGCTCCACATCTTTGCGGACGCTCGAAACCGCTTAACACCACTCCGAGTTTTGGGGTTCAGGGCTTAGGGTTTAGGAGGTCACCGTGGCACCTCATGCATCGGCTGCATGTGTGCCATTGTGTGCCCTGCTGAGTACTCGGGACCATTTCATGGTTCCACATCTGTTGTGTGGAGCCGCTTTCCCGCTCTCCTTTGGCTCATTTATCTCTTCTTTATGTCATTTTGTTTCCTCTGTCTCTCTCTCTCTCTCTCTCTGTCTGGGGACATCCCCCCAAAAAAACACTTGCTTCGATTTGGCCAGTGGCGCCCCAGCATGTCGCAGTTTCTTAGAGACTTGACCCAACATTGTTCACGGCGCTCTAGAGTACCTCTCCCTAAAAGATGCTGCCGGAAGGGTCTGTTGGTAAAGCTCCCCTCGCGAAATTGACCGGGTTCCCAGCGACTCAGTGTGACCCTTCCAGAATTATGCTACAGGGCGATCATTGGCAGGTGCTGATGATGGGCGAACTTGCACAATACAAGCCATACAAGCATGCCGTTGGCTCTGGCTCGCTCTCTCTCGCTCTCTCTCTTCACATCTGTCTTCTTCTCGGCTTCTGAAATCGTTTACTTCTTTTCTTCTGATGGTCACATGAAGTTGACCGAGGCGCGAGTTTGCTCCACACTACCCTAACGCCAGGCCTCTATTTCTCTCTCTCTCTCTCTCTCTCTCTTTCTCTGTGGGTGCACCGTACGTGTACATGTGACATGTAGAAATTCTTGGAGCAGACAGGCACCGGTTGCCGCTGTGCCTACACACATTCTGTAAAGAAGCAAATCGTGTTGTTTTGGCAGCGTTTAGGGTCCCGCTTGCTTGAGCAGAGGGGCGCTGGAATTTCTGAACTTCGCTCCACGAGCCTGGCGAGGAAAAGTCCTTGCGGGAGAAAGCCGGAGATATCTCTTGCAATGCAAGAAAAGCTCATGATGGGTCTCGCTTGGTCAGTTGGGGGCTTAACGTCATCTTCTGAAATTGATGCAAGGATACTATACTCTAGACAGACGACACGAGCCTTGTCTGGGAGCCCAACATGTGCTCAGAACTCCACGAACACTCCCGTGCGCATCCACCAGCATCAGGAGTCCTCCCCAAAAGTCTGCTGGAGTTTGGTCCGGTCTTCATCAGTAGCACTGTCTCCTGCCACCCATAGTCCCGAGAAAGCATGGGCTGCAGGCAGCACAGAGGCATTTGTGTTTAGGGTTTAGGGTTCATGTAGGGCTACTGTTTAGGGTATAGGGTTGGGGGAGACTTGATGCCTTGAGGCCCAACCCCGCACACCCACCACCGGTTTAAGCTTAGAAGCATCGGCTGCACTGAGCGAATCTCTTTGCCACCCAGCAAGGCAACTCTACTGCCGCCGATTTCTGAATGTCCATACTCGGCGTGGCGTTCTAGAAAGGTCGCTATGAATGCTCAAGAAGGTCTGTGCCTCCCCCAAAGAAGCAAACTGTAGGACCTCCCATCTACCTGTCACCTACTAAGTTAAGATGAGACTAGTACTGCCCCTGAACTTTCTGATCCTTGTACACCTGAACTGACTCTTAAACCCCTCAGCCCAGAACCCTGTCGCAACGGGCGTCCAGAGATCCTGGTCCGGGCTACTAAGCCCGAAAAGCCCCAAAAACCCTAAACCCTAGAATCCCACAACAGGGCCCCAAATCCAGGGCCCTCAATTGGGTAACCCTTATGATTTTTTCCCCCGAAAGAAACCATGCAACCTCCACCCTTCAAAAACCCTAAACCCTAAACCCGAAACCCTAAGAGAATCGCTCAGGCGCCTAGCGAAGCTCCCGCGAAGGCCAATAGGCGGACGCAGTCAATGTGACCGGCACGGACGGCGTCCTCATTGGTCGAGGTCTCTTGTGCTCCGAAGGTTTAGGGGTTTAGGGTTTAGGGCTTGGGGTTTAGGGTTGAGGGTTTAGGGTTTTGCGGACAGGAGAAAATGGCATAATCATGCAATCATATACTAACAGACTACTACAGTAACGCAATAATAAAGCTATATCCTATAGTCCTAGAATGGAATATTCGAAGTAACGCTGCTGGCTACATGGCACAAGGCCTTCTGATATGCAATGCTAATTTATGATGCGCCCATTCCCGCATTTTACTGAACTTGGAACCCTAGCAAAAATGAAAATTTTAGCTGTTTCTTAGGAATGTTTTGGGCTGTTTCTTAGGTAATATGGCACCCAAAAATTAAACTTTATTCTCAAGTATCCATAAAGTAAGCAAAGAGCTCAGCTCGCGCCCACAAAGCGTGGTAGAATCCAGGGATTCGGGGACTTTGATGAATGGGACATTACATTAGGGTTTAGGGTTTAGGTTTTCGGGTTTAGGGTTTAGGGTTTAGGGTACCCTAAACCATGCACCTCGGCAACTCATGCACCTCTGCTTGTGGTGTGGAGGTGATCTCATGGGTTTGATGTTAGGATGGCTACTTTGTGAATGTATGGGTTAGAAGACAGACCCCTCAACCCTAAACCCCCAAACCCCAAACCCCAAGGGCCCCAATGAGGGGCTGACTATCCCTCGAAAACCCAGGCCCGTTGACACCCCTAAACACTCCAACACTCGACATCGTGAGACCATTTCCGAACTCCGTGGCGAACCCCAGATAACCCCGAGGACTCCCCAACAAATTCGAACTCTGGCCCCATCCCCGAACACTCAAGTGCACGAAAGCCTTATACCATTGCTCTTACGGCGGCGAAAACCTCTAGGGCCGACACTATAGTCATACAAGAAGACACGACCTGTACAGCCCCACATACAACACAACAAAGCCGGTAGAACCAATGTAAGTCCACGCGGAACGCACGGTAGGCCCTAAACCCTAAACCCTAAACCCTAAACCCTAAACCCTAAACCCTAAACCCTAAGCCCAAAACCATGAAGTCCATCACGTGGCCTGAAGTGGTGTGGATCGCCATCGGTCCTGCGGCGAGGTGAAAGCCTGGGAGTGCAGTGTTCAGGGGTTTGAAAGTGTTGTTCGATCTCCTGCATGTCGCTTAGGGTTTAGGGTTTAGGGTTTAAGGTTTAGGGTTTAGGGTTTAGGGATATGGGTGCAGTGTTCTGGAGCTGACGTGCAAACGCGCTGCAGGGCATGAAGTTGAGTTGCGATCTGGGTCACATACACACCCACCCACCCACCCACTCACTCACCCACCCACACACACACACACACACACACACACACGCAATACGTCCATGTATGTGTATGCGCATAATATATATATATATATATATATGTATGTATGTATGTATGTATATGTGTATATATATATATGTGTGTATATACACAGATAGATAGATATATAATACACATATAAAAATAACTATAAATATAAATATAAATATATATAATACAAACAACAACTAAATCAATAAATCAATATAATATATATATATATATATAAATATATATATATATGTGCCATACAGGTGTTACATTTACGTGCGCAAAGACGGTTGTTTTAACAGTTGCAGCATCCATAACAAGCTGATTTTGGGTTTAGGGCGTTTTCGCAGAGCCGAGAATGGGGCAACACTCGGCAGGAATGCGCAGGAACATTCTTTTTTGGCAGCTACGCTGGAAAGTCGGCATCCATGAGCTGCTGGAAATCTTCCAAGGACGCGAACCTCAGGGGCAAGCAGAGCCTAGACCCAAGAGTATCCTAGGAATAGAAAGGGTGCCGTTTTGGTTCTTTGAGGGAAGCCCAACCCCAGAAGAAGGGAATAAGGGCCTACTTATGGTGTTAGGAGCCCATGAGAGTCGTACCAGCTGAATCAAACCGACAGGAGGGATGTAGCTGAGTGCAGAGAAGCCACATTGAGCCACCCTTGTGCCTCTTGCGTAGTTCCTTGGCCTTGTCCCGCTTACTCTGGGTCTTTGGCTCCTCGGTCTCCTCCTGGTCCTCCACATCGCAGAAGGCGCCGTCTTCGGATTCCTCCTCAGGTTCCTCTCCGTCCACATCGCCCTCCTCCTCTTCACCTTGGCAGCCCAGAAACCATATTACAAGAAGGGCACCCTTTTGTGGGGGTTGGTTACTTCATAAGGGAACCTTGAAGCACCAAAAAGGGGATCAGGGTACCACTGGGCTGCCAAGTCACCGTCCTCATCCAAGAAGGCACCATCGTCCTCATCGTCATCGTCGTCCTCTCCTTCGGGAATCTGGCCCTTGAGGTAGTTGTCGAAGAACTCATCCGCATCCTCCTTGGTCTGCTACACTATAAGACCCTAAACCCTAAACCCTAAACCCTAAACCCCAAACCCTAAACCGCCTAGCAAGGTCAACATGGCTCACGGACCTCTTTGCCAAAAAGGCCTGCGTTGGCCAGGTGGCGCCATCGGCATCCCCCGCCTCATCAAAGTCCTGATCAAGAATGCAAGAACAGACAGAGAGTCATTTACTTGGTAGCCCAGGAACCATATTACAATAAGGGCACCCTTTCTTGGGTTCGTTTCTTTACAAGGGAACCTTGGACCAACAAAAAGGGGATAAGGGTATCACTGAGCCACAAAGCAGAGAGTCCTAGAAGTTAGGCAACAGGGAGGTGCTTCCCAAGCTGGCAGGAATGCCAATTTTGCTCTTAGTGCTATGATGCTTGCAGCATGTTGGCGAGGTGGAAAGGCAATGGTCTGCCCAATCAAGCTGTTTCTGGTGCACGGGCGGACGTGCCGAACAGGCTCTTGAGTCCCCAGCGGTTAACTGAAGAAAGCGACTGGTCAATGGAAGCTGCCCGAGTGCTGGCACCTACAAACCTGGAACTGCTTTGCTATAAACCATACCAACATCCCGAGAGATTTTTGAAAAATGGGCGACGACCCCATCCCAACGACCATTCGACCGCACCGCGCTCTATAAAGGTATTGCGAGTGACAGCCCTTTTGGGGACCTCAGAGCCTCACGTCTTTCCCTAAACCCTAAACCCTAACCCTAAACCCTAGACCCTAGACCCTAAACCCTAAACCCTAAACCCTAAACGCATAGGTGCTTGATGGCTTGATGCCGGTCCTCCTCTTTCTCCCGGCGCACCTTCCGCTTCCTGTCCTGCTCTGCTCGCACGGAAGAGTCTCGGAAGTAATCCTGGAAGAACCTGAGATTGCTTCGATAGGATTGCCCTCTGAACAAATTCCTGAACATGATCCTCCTAATTAAACCCAAGAAGTCAAAATATCCCAAGGGCCTACCTGGTTCGGAATCAACGACAGCTGACACAATGACCAGCACACCAGCACACAGATGCAGCCGCACTTGGGAAAGCAACAAGAGGCCCCAGATTAGTTCGGGCAGCTTCTCGTGGGGCTGCACTTTCTTCCTTTTCAGAAACTTCTCCGAGTTGACGGCAATGGTCTGACCAACTTTCTCCCCAGCCTGTGCGTCGCATGCAGGTAGAAGCATGCCCACACTTCATCCGGGGTAGGCTTTGGGGGCCCTAGGAATATTGAATTTGTTCATGGCTTGATAGGGATTATGTAGGGATTATAAGGGCAATAAAAAATACAAATTATGTTCAAACCTGCCCCCGTCATGGTTTGCTGCAAACCCTACCCCCCCCCCCCTACGCCTTCTTTCCGGCCCGCTCGCGCCGAGCTTTGGCATGGTACGCGAACTGCTCCAGCAGCTCGGGAATCGAAAACACGTCGAAGGGATTGGCAGGCATGTCCTGCAAGCTCCCCCCAAATGAAGGATTCGCTATGACCATGTTCTTGTTGGCATGAAATGCCTTGGGGACCGAATGAACCTGAAAACTGGGGGTCATACTACCATAATCTCTATGAAGGTCTATGAACCATAACTAGTTCATGGTTGGGACGATACGAAAAACTTGAATGTTTATTCCTTATTGGGTTTAAGTACCCCTAGAAATGGAAAATGGTACCCAACTATGACTAAGATGAACCCTTTTAGGCTTCATTTGGTCCCCTAGGTGGCGCCCGAGCTCTCGCACAAGTCCTGGAAAGTTTGGCCATCCAGCAGCTTGCAAGCGTAAGTGCCGACTGAGGGGTGGATGTGAGTCGTGAGCGCCTTTCAAGCAGATGGGGCGAACATGACGACAATGCTGTTTAGGGTTTAGGGTTTACGGTTTAGGGTGTAGGGTTTAGGGTTTAGGGTTAGGCCCGAACGAAACATGTTGCAGACATATCCTTGGCCCTCCCCCACCCCCCCCCTTCCGCCGCCCTCCCCCCTGAGGCTCACCCCTCCCCCCCCACCCCAAGCCTGCAGCTCCCACACGGGCGTGTTCGTAGCTCGCGCAAACCGTGGTTCTCGAGCCAGGCTGTCATACTGGGTCGGAACCTCCTTCAAACTAAGGGCAAGAATGTCATGACCTTAAACCCTAAACCCTACACCCTAAAAAGTCTCAAGACTCGGTGCAGCTTGTTTGGGCACTTTGGCGCCTTCGGGTTCGCCTCCTGCTGCTGCGCTTCTGCGACGTCATCATCGATGAAATGTTCCTCCTCCGCATCAGCACCCTCCTCTCTGGAGATGACGATCTTGCTGTCCACGGTGTGCAGAATGGGCTTAATCTCAGTCCTGCATCTTTCAATCAGATTTGCGTGGGGGGCTCCCTCCGGTGATATGGCATTTCACAATCAGGGGTACCCCGAATATACCCCCCAAATACTAGAAATCCTTATTCTAGGAACCCCCCCCCAAAGAGGGTACCCCTAATTTACCTTAACCCCCCCCCCCCCATGTGCAACGCGGGCTGCTCCCAAACTGCATGCCCAGATCCTTCTGGCCATGACCAGGTCCCGAAGCACGCCCAAAGAGGCTGCTCCTACCGGAGGCTCAGCACCAGCAGATACCTCTTGCGGGCGCTTCTTACTTGGGGACCACATGAACCCTAAAAGGGTTCATGGTTCATAGACCCTAATAGGAACTTTCGTAGGGTGTGCTCACTTGGTCCCCAGGTTATCTCGACAAAAGACTGTATCCATTGATATCTCCCTGGTCTACCTGAACTGAGACATGTTACGCGCACAAGCTATATGCCTTGACAGACGCCAGGAAGTACGTGCACAATGCCTGTACAGTTGTGGTACTACGACCTTCATGAGACCTCTGCCCTGCACAACGGTAACAAACCGAAACTTCGTAACAATGAGCCACCCGCAAACCCTTGCAAGAAACCTACTTCCCCTTTACCAAAGAGGTCTGGATCACGCCACCAAACTGAAGCTCCGAAGCCGCCATCATCCCGAACGTGAACTTTGCTTTCAAGCTTAGGATTTCCCCCCCCCCCACCCCTCTGTGGCACGAAAACACGGAACCCACAACACTAAGCAACAGGACAACTGAACTCGAAGTGGCCTAAACTAAGCCCCACAACCCTAAAATCCCAACACCCTACCAACCCTACAAATCTTGAAGCCCTAAGCCCTAAACCCGAAACCCCAAACCCTAAACCCTGAACCCGAAACCCTAAACCCTAGCCCTAAACCCTAAACCCTAAACCCTAAACTCGTGGCCTGTAGAAGCCGACGCGCCAAGGCCAGGCCTCGCGCCGCCGAGGCATCTCCAGGCACGCATCGCCTCGAACTCCCACGTGCGCAAGGGAAGGTTTAGGGTTTAGGGTTTAGGGTTTAGGGTTTAGGGTTTAGGGTTTAGGGTTTAGGGTTTAGGGTTTAGGGTTTAGGGTTTAGGGTTAGAGTTTAGGGTTTAGGGTTTAGGGTTTAGGGCTTAGGGCTTAGGGTTTAGGAGGGTTTAGGGCTAGGGTCGCAGGCCGTGGGTACCACAGTTGCTCATTGTGAAAAGAATTACCCGGCTCACCTGAACCCCTTCATACTGAGCAGGGGTTTGGGGTTCCGGGCTTCGGGGCTTCGACGCGTCTACCGAAGCAAGCCACATTAGACCTGAAACCAGAACTCAAGCTTTCATAGAAGTCCCGGCAAATCCCTTTTGTGATCCTTTTAGGGGTTTAGGGCTGAGGGTTTCGGGCTTAGGACTCCTCAGGCAAAGGGCGTCGGAAGGCATCGAAGAAGAATCTGCAATTGCAATGGCACCCCGTTATGCAGAGTTAGAAGTAGTGAGAGATCCCTCCGTAGAGGTTCTTGGCCGTTCTTTTGTAGGATGCCAGCCAAGCCGCATCTCAGAATACATTGGGGCGAGTCTAGCAAAGAATCCTTGCTCGCACCGTTTCTACCCAGAAGAACCCTGCAAGCCTGAAAAATCCCCTATGCCCGAAGTCGCCAGTTGAGCCCAGGGTCTGCAGAAGCAAGAAGGCTTGCCAAGCATGGGAGCTTGTGAAAAGCTCAAACTGGCCAATCTGCTCATATAGCAGACCTGGGTCCAGAGAGTAGGGTTTAGGAGGGTTTCAGGGTTTAAGGGGTTTACGCAGGGCTGTCTCTGTACCTGATCGGGTTTAGGGTTAGGGCCTAATCCTCAGCAACGAAAAGCGCTATCCCTCTTGGGTTTGGAATTTCGGGGGCCCCAAACCCTAAACCCTAAACCCTAAACCCTAAACCCTTAACCCTAAACCCTAAACCCTAAACCCTAAATCCTAGCTCCCCCTGAGTCGAAGCCCAAGCCTTGTGATCCCTAAGCCAAGCTTACGAGGTCCGCCTCGCCCGATCCGCCTCACGACGTTCAGCTGCTAAGCGCCCCTACACTTAGGTCCAGAAAACCCTAAACCCTAAACCCTAAACCCTAAACCCCAAACCTAAACCCTGAACCCTAAACCCAAAAACGCTAAACCTTGAAGCCCACATCAGCTTCTGGACAGAGTGGCGGTAGAAACGGTCGGGCGGATCTCCCGCAGCCAGACCGCGGTGCAAGAGGCTTAGGATGCTCACCTGGGTTTGTCCCGCTCCATCAATTCGAATTTAGGGTTTAGGGTTTAGGGTTTAGGGTTTAGGGTTTAGGGCTTAGGGCTTAGGGCTTAGGGTTCAGGGTTCAGGGTTCAGGGTTTACCTTGGTTTCCCACTCCATCAGGGGATTAAAGCTCGTGCCCTGAGGTTGTACCCCTAAACGTTCCCTCTGATATACTCCCAACATGGCCCTGATACTATACTAACTATACTACCTTCAGAATCTGATGACTTACTTCCCAAATACCCATGGGGTAAGAAGTTCCCTGTCTCAGAATAGGACTCTTGTAAGAGGCCAAACATTGAAAAAGTGGGGTTTTGAACTGCGAAGATAAGGGCTTTTCAGGCTTGAGGGGCCTATCTTGGTTAACCTATATGACAGTAAGGGCACCCCTTTTGGGGGTTGGCTACTTTATAAAGGAAGCCGTGAACCAAAAGAGGGGAGGTATGCCTGGGCTACCCAGTGATGGTGTTGTATAGGGTTTATGAAGGGTTTAAGGGGTGTACCTCATGGGGTTCCAGACATGTCTTGCAAGGCCAGCCGCGCGCGTGGAATAGGCGGAGACGGTGTGGCACACCTTTAAGGTTTAGGGTTTAGGGTTTAGGGTTTAGGGTTTAGGGCCAGGGCTTAGGTTTTTCTTGGGGGGGGGGGGTTTAGCGTCTGGGTATACGGGTTCGGTTCGGGTTTAGTGTCAACGTGATGGCTGCTGAGTGATGCACGGGCCTTGAACAAGGCCTCTACGGTATCAGGCTGCAGCGCAGCACCACCCACGGTGTCCACGTAGGGCGTGGCACGGCGAATGCCTCGGTGGAATTTATGGTAGATGGTCGTCACCTGGACCGTGCCCTTCTTGCAACTCGCCATCACAACCCTCGGGGCCGTACCATTGATGATGGTTCGCACAATTCGGTTGTCCTCCTCTCGAAGCGGCTGCCGCTTGCGCTTTGGCTTCGGTGTCCAACCTCTCCGCTTCTTGTGGCGGAACTCCTGCAACCGGCAGTGCTCTCACATTGTCTCATGCCATAAACCCTAAACCCTAAACCCCAAACCCTAAACCCGAAACCCGAAACCCTAAACCCTGGTGCCTAAACTCTAAGCAGCTCGAACTTCGTGCCTTCTTCGTGAGCACGGGCTTCTTGAGGGCCAGTTCCAGCTGCGCCACGAAAAGCCTATACTCCCTTAGGGTTTAGGGTTTAGGGTTTATCCTCTTGGGTTTTACATAAACAAAAATGAATAACAATTCCCAAGGGGGACATAGAAGCCGGACCAAGCGGGCGGCCACCTCCCCGTCCGAGCGGCCGAAGATCATCTCCTCGGTGGCTGTCAAGGAACCAGCTTTTAGGGTAGAAGCAGCTTCCCACAGCTCGTTGTAGCCCGAAACCCTAAACCCTAAACCCCTGAACCCTCAAAACCCGAAAACCCTGAAAACCCTAAACCCTAAACCCCCTAAAACCGGCCCCAACTCTCGGCATCCATCCCCCAAAGATCGTGCGCAAAGGCGAGCGTCTGAGAGCAGCAGAAGCGTGCTGTACCTTAGGGACCAAGTGAACCTTAAACTTGCGAACTCTAAAAACCCTAAAAACCCTAAAAACCCTAAAAGCCCTATAAACCCTATAAACCCTATAAACCCTATAAACCCTATAAACCCTATAAACCCTATAAACCCTATAAACCCTATAACTCCTATAAACCCTATAAACCCTAAACTACTATAATCCCCATTAGGGTCTATGAACCGTAAGCCCTTTTAGGGTTCGTTTGGTCCCCAAGGTACCTCGACTTCTGGGTGATGTTTGGCCGGGCCAAGAACGCCTCCATCTCCTGGGGCACTGCAGACCCATGTCTGGGCTGAGGGTTTAGGGTTTAGGGTTTAGGGTTTAGGGTTTAGGGTTTAGGGTTTAGGGTTTAGGGCTTAGGGTTTAGGGTTTAGGGTACGGGACATATGAGCCTCTAAAGACTCAGAGATGAGAAGCTCACAAACAGGAAAAGAAGCTGGCTGTACATGGCAGCACATGCTGGCCAAGTCTGTCTCCTTCACCACGGGGCCCTTGATACCAGGATGCTTCTTGAGCAGCTCCTTGATGCAGAAGGAGACCTGTGAGGACACCTGCAAGAAAGGAGTCCGTCGCACAGAGTCTGAGACGTAGGGGCGCCCGAAGGAGGCACACACACACACACACACAAGGTACACCTAGCTTAAGTACAGCCCCTACTAAACCCTAAACCCAAAACCCAAAACCCAAAACCCTAAACCCTAAACCCTAAACAGGCACCCTGCGCCTTGCCGGAAGAGTCCCCGAACTTGTTGATAAGCAAGGACAGCAAAGCCTTTTCCTGTTCTGGCTTGGCCGACCTCACGCAGCTGGTCTCAGACAGGTTCATCTCTAGCTCTGGACCGGGGGTTGGACGGGCAGAAAACAATCAGAAGTGAAGATTCGAGAGAAGCATATTGTAGAAGCCGTGACTTTGGGCAAGTTCCGACTGCGCAGATTATTGTGTGAGGGGCGCTTGCAGCCAAACGCTTTTGAACACGACCCTTGGCAACAAGTGCGACGTTCCATCCACGACTGCCCAGAAACGTTGCTGGTATCATATGATCATATGGCTGCTTCGACATGCAGGCAAAAACTTCGGCCCAGTGCGGGTCGGCATGCTACGCAGCAACGGTAATGCCTGCAACCTGGTGACAGGAGCTCGTAGGCAGATCGCACTGCCTTGGTCTTGATGAAGGCAACCGTATTCTGTGAGGCAAAGCCCAGCACCTCATACAAGACAGAAGGGTGCAAAAAGAGAGAGAGAGAGAGAGAAGCTCTGGCAGGCACAGAGACTGGCGCCAGCAAACGATGTGTGCGGGGGGGGGGCACTCTACTACCAGCAACGAATCCCGATGAACAACACGCAGCGCCGTTGCCTGCACGAAAGCTGCCACGGCTGTCTTCAAATAGTCCTGCTGAGAGCTTTGAATGGCTTCTGGGGCAGTTTTGGGTTAGAGTTAATTGGTTGAAAGGCGATCCCCTACATGGGTACTTTCAAAAATTGGGGTCCTGGTTTGGGTACCGGGTACCCAAAAAAGGGCGGGCACCCTATAAGACTGGATCTCGAAAAAGGACAGTGATCCCCGAAACCTAAACCCCCTAAACCCTAAACCCTAAACCCTAAACCCTAAACCCTAAACCCCAAAGACCCTACACCCAACTCCGGGAGCTCATCCTCGAAGAAGGAGACCACGCAAATCTCGGTGAAGGTGGACTTCTTGAGGCCCTTGGCGGACCTTTTGGCTCCCTTTTCAAAAACGTTTTCAAACTCGTAGGAAAGCTCTCCGAGTAAATACCCTAAACTCTACCCCCCCCCCCCCCCCCCCTCTTTCAGTTATAAACCCTAAACCCTAAACCCTAAACCCTAAACCCTAAACCCTAAACCCTAAACCCTAAAGCCAGGCACTGGATCTTCAGGTGCATGAGGTTTCAAGATGCCTGATCTGGTTACGGCCTTGCAACCAAGAGTGCTTCCCCTCTTCACTCGATGGACCCTTTAGACCCTGAGGAACCCTCTTAACCCTCTTAACCCTGTTAACCCTATAAACCCGATAAACCCTATAAACCTTATAAACCCTATAAACCCTATAAACCCTATAAACCCTATAAACCCTATAAACCCTATAAACCCTATAAACCCTAAACCCTAAACCCTAACCTTCAAGGTGAAGTGGCACAGGCTCCATCTGCTCCAGCGTCTTAAGCTTCCGATTCGGTAGCAGCGTGCCCGTCAGAAGCTCCTTAGATCGCCCCTAAACCCTAAACCCTAAACTATGATCCCTAAACCCTAGACCCTAAACCCTAAACTATGAACCCTGAACCTACTAACCCTAAACCCTAAACCCCCTTGTTGCTCTAAACTCGGAATCCGGTCTGCTCCAAATGCGGGGGAGGGGGGCTTTCAGTCTTCGGGACGTTTGCACGGTAGGCCGAAGAGCGGACTTAGGCAAACAGCCGGACTCTAGCGTAAGCTAGAAGTGCGAATATCCGGACTGATCCGGTTGTATCTGAGTCTTCGGGATAACCATCTGTGAGCTTGTCTCGGCACCTAAACTCCTCCTTCTCCAACAGACAAGGGGCCTTAAGTGCATCCATAGCCATGGCCGAATCGCTTCGTGCCGTCTTGCTAGCCATAGTCAGCAGAGCTTTAATGTAGCCCGTCCTCAGCTGGTTCTTGCAGTACGGAATCAAGGTCCTGAACGGAAATCTAGGCCTCAAATCCGGCAAAGAACCAGCAGGTTAGTTGGCCATCGGGTTCTCATGACCCACACCCGGACACCTGTGGGTTTTAGGGTTTGGGGCGTTCAGTCTACCTCAAAACAAAGCACGACAACTGGTTGATCACATTTGCCGAGTTTCGAGAACACCGGGCAAAGCTGAATGAGCATGGTCAGTGCGGCCACTTTGTCGGCAGATGTTCCGTCTGCGCTCACCTTGCGCAGCCAGCCTCAATTCAGATCAGGAGTGAGGGAAGCCTACACCCTAAACCCTAAACCCTAAACCCTGAACCCTGAACCCTGAACCCTGAAGCCTAAACCATCCCCTTGAATGCATTCATCCACCACATCCTTGCGGCAGAAATGTGCTGTAACACTGTAAGGCTTGCGCGTTGCTCGGAATCATTTGCCATGGCGGACTCGTAGACCTGCGGGGGGATGCTTGGCAAACATGAGGATCCATGCCTGGCGTTTTAAGCGGACGGGTTCAACTGTGATCCTACGGAAGCCTATAAGACTTCACTGTTGGAATTCCAAGCCTAAACCCTAAACCCTAAACCCTAAACCCAAAACCCAAAACCCTAAACTAAACCCTAAACCCCAAACCCTAAACCCCCACACCCCCCCCCGCCCCGCATAGGGGGCACCTTCCGCATCTCCTCATGCCGCTCCCGGCAGGCTTTTTGAAAGTCCCCGGGCTTGCAGCGCTTTCGGCTCTCCTGGCGCTTGGTTTGGGATGTTCCCCCTTTTCTACTAACAGCCCTTAAGTAGGGTTTAGGGTTTAGGGTTTAGGGTTTAGGGTTTAGGGTTTAGGGTTTAGGGTTTAGGGTTTAGGGTCTAGGGTTTAGGGTTTAGGGTTTAGGGTTTCGGGTTTAGCGTCCTGAAGTAGGGAGTCTTCTAGGGGTACTACCATTAAGGACTGTTAGTAATTACAAGGGGGAACCAATTTGTGGTCTCTAAGAGCTCTGGATAGATACTGCAGAGCACCGCGGCCACCATGAACATGAACCCTGTTAGCTGCTCTAGCCTCTAGCTGCACGTCAAAGTTGGGGCTTGATATTCATAGAGGGGTCTGGTCTGCTGGAGGTTAGTATGGGCTCAGGGCTCTACAGGCACATGCAAGGATTTGTGGGGTTAAACCCTAAACCCTCAACCCTAAAACCGAAACCGTTGTGGGGTCCGTTGGGAACCTCCTTTTTTGGTAGGGCAGCATGCCACCGTGCTCTTCTATCGTAGAGCAGGCCTTAACATGCGCAGCGCGGAAACTGCTTTCATGCAACGTCTACCCGAAACCCTGAACCCTATAGTATATACCCTAAACCCTTTCGAACCTGGAAACTGTTTCATGCCAGGAATCCCCTCAACCCCGAATCTTAAAACCAAACCTGCCTCTCACCTACTGGTTCTTGGTAGGGGAAGAAGGTGCCTATAAGGTCTATAGAAGCATTTCCCAAAATAGTGGTACCCCCAAATACTCTAATCCTTATTATAAAGAAGGCTACCCCCCCCCCCCCCAATTTTCTGGAACCCCCATATAGGGGACATAAAGACCTAAACCCTAAACCCTGAGCCCTAAGCCCAAAGCCCAAAAAAAACTATGCCGTAAGCCCTAAACCCTAAACCCTAAACCCCAAGCCCTATAAAAACCCTAAACCCTAAGCCCTAAACCCTAAACCTTCGAACCCTAAAACCTAAACCCTAAACCCTAAACCTTCGAACCCTTTATAGGGCTTCTTGGAGCATCCTCGGAGGCCCCAATCTCCCACCACCTCAAAGGCGCAGTGATTGGGGGCTTTCGCGGTGGCCCTTGATAACCCTATAGGGTTTAGGGTTAAGGGTTTAGGGTTTAGGGTTTAGGGTTTAGGGTAGAAATGTAAGGTTTGGTTTCGCGGCTTAGGGTTGAGGAGTTTAGGGTTTGGGGTTGAGGGCTATTCTTCAATTATGGTCCCTTGTTTGGGGGGTTTTCGAAGAGGCAGCCCGAAGAAAAATCCCCCGCTACGTTCAAAACTTGACATGCTGGCTTTTAGGGTTTAGGGTTTGGGGACAATGCTTTGCCGCGATCTTCCGTCAGAGGCGGGTTGAGGGCGTGGGGAAAACGCAGGTGGTGGTGGTGGTGGTGGTGGTGGTGGTGGTGGTGGTGGTGGTGGTGGTGGTGGTGGTGGTGGTGGCGGTGGGGGGTGATTGTTAGAACGCAGTCCTACACCCCAAATCCTCTTTTCTCTACATACTTTCGGAACCCTGCACCCGAAAGAACCCTGAACCCTATATACTCCTATTCGCAGCCTGAACCCTGAAATGGGGAGGGGATCGGAGTTCTGTGCTGCTCTAGAATAGTACTACCGTGCCTTCCTCTTGTGGACTAGGGAAGGTTTACGATTCAGACTTCTTGCGCCGCAAAACCTTTTGCATCCACGTCTCGCACTCGTGGCTATTCGGTCACCCTCTCAGCAAATCACCGCCAAACCTAAAACCCTAAACCCAACCTGGAAGCTGCTTCGTGCCAGGACTGAGGGCCGCGCCAGGCACTAGCTAAATCCCAAACCCCAAAAACCCTAAACCCTAAACCCCAAAAACCCTAAACCCTAAGCCCTAAACCCCTAAACCCTAAACCCTAAACCCCGCAAGGGTATCACGAGGGACACGCTTCCCCCTTGCTCTGGGCCCCACACCTGGGGGTTGAGAAGGCCTTCAGGGCCTGAACCAGCCCGGTTTCGAGCGCCATGGCTCCGATCAGCTGCTACTTGCTTGAGAACTCCCCAATTCCTTATCAGGGGCAATGTATAGGGTTTAGGGTTTAGGGTTCGGGGTTTGGGGTTTATTTTTATTCTTTAGTACGTGGAGGATTGAGGGTTCTTTGACGGTGTTGGGGCTTCGGGGGGGGGAGGGCTTTCAGGGGTTGAGGGTGCAGGGATTGCTGTTTGCTGTCTATGCTGAAGGGGGGGAGATTCCTATCACGTGCCATGCTCGTGGAACCTTAAGTAGAGGGCTCTTGGGGTTGGGTTGCGAGCTGCTGCTGAGGTGTCAGTCCTTTTGAGGTCTACTAAAGATGGGGTAAAGATTTTCGCCCAATTTTGGGATTATGATTAACCTAGTTTCCCATGGCTATGCAGCAGTCAGGCTTCAAGATGTAGTCTGGGTTGGCCTTGTCTGCAGGCGCTGCTCGCGCACTGTGTGAGCCAAAGTGCCAAGGGACGCAGAGATCGGACAGCTACCGGCAACTAGGAACCAAACACCTTCTCTCGAGTGCAGAAATATTCTGAACATGCTCCCTTTTTGATACAGGAACAGTGCATGTAGCCATGCAGACCCTAAACCCTAATAAGGCTAAACCCTAAACCCTAAACTTTAGAAGGGAACCCTGAACACCACAACCTGAAGCCCGAGCCAGTGATGGGGATCGCGACAACCCGGCCGAGGAACGCGGGCCGAGCTGATCAGGAAGCTCACAGCCAAGAGCTGGCCTCTCAAAGTTGATGCTCCCCCTTATGCTAACAGTGGGTTTAGGGTTTAGGGTTTAGGGTTTAGGGTTTAGGGTTTAGGGTTTAGGGTTTAGGCCCCTCATACTAACAGTCCTTAATAGGGATTCTAGTACCGCCTATTAGAATCCCTAGTTAAGGACTGCTAGTATAAGGGGGAACATCACAACTCTCAACGCTGTAGTGCTGCGTTTAAGGCATGCGCCGGGAAACGACGGCGAAGATTAAAACGGTGTCAAAGCTCTGCTTCAGCTGACGGCGAACAAGCGCACAACACTGGGGTACTTCGGGTGGTCTCTCTCCCTAAACCCAAAACTCTAAACCCTAAGAGGCCCCCCCCCCCCCCCCGCAAAGTTCACACAGGCATGCATGATGACTTCTTGTGGGGCAGCAACCGTCACTTCAGTGCCCGAAGAACCGTCGGCCTAAACTAGTCTACACGCCTTTGAAGCAACAAAGCCCCCCGTGGACCTTCCGTTGCAGCAAGGTGGAGTGCCGTCCGTGCGTCGTAGTCGCTGATATTGACATCCACTGAGTTCTCGATGAGCTGCTGCAACCTTACTATTAGTAGGGCTTCTGCAGCACCATCTCCGAAGAGCGAACATTTGGCGCTAGCGTGAAACAACACCACAGCACTGCAAGCCCAGGACGCCACCACTATTAGGGTAGGATTTAGGGTTGAGGGTTTAGGGCTTAAGGTTTGAGTTTGCTGTTTCCCCACCTGCCGGCTGCACTGCCAGGTATGATGCATCCATGAAGTTAGGATTTAGGTGTGCTAACTGATGGCACGGTGAGGGTATGCAGCCTGCACAGTTTCACCAGTATCCCAAGAACTGCTACAAGCAGCTCGTACCTGCACCAAGTGCCACACATGAGCAAGCTCGCCAAGAGGCTTCAGAATGTTCCCTGCGGACGCAGCATCGCACAGCCACCCGGCTGCCAGCTCCTGCCGCATATGCCAACATAACAGAGACAACTAAGGAATCGGCAGAACCCCCTAAATATTGAAATGCTTTGAACAACGGCAAGCCATGCACTCTCTGTAGTAGGAAACAACAAACGCCGCAACACTGCAGCAACAAAGCCAAAGCATGCCAGCCCTCCCCCTAATCCTTAAACCAACAGCCCTAACTCATGACAGTTCGATCACCCTGCCCTGTCCATGAAAACTCAACAAAGCACAATTGGAGAGACGGTCTCGTCGTTCGGGCCCCCGGCTTGCAGCCTGACTCCAACTTTTGTGAGATTTGGCTTGCGCAGCCAAGTCCCGCCGGCAGTGCACGCCAGGAGGCCCCACCCCAAAACCCCAAAATGGCCTCGAGCCCCTTCCAGACGGTTGAGGTTCCTCCCCAAACGTATAAGTTGAAAATCTGTCCTTCTTGTACATGACCTACTTGTGGTTGTAACATCTCTTGATAAAGGTTGTCAGCCCACATTCCGACAGAACCACTCTGAGCCTCCCGAGCCTGCTTATGAAACATGCGTGCCGCCTGCTTCTGCAAGCCACATTCCCAAAGACGTGCCCACCCGCTTGCTTACTGGGGTCAGCTTCCGGTAGAGCCTGGCAAGTCAGCTGAGCATTCTGCAACAGTTGCCTCCTGCATGCCTGAGCCTTCCTGGCTCCCAGAATTTGCCTGCTGTACTGCCTGCTGTCTGCCAATGGTCCTGATTGATGTCACATGGCCCGCTTTGTCCATTAGAATCTAGCAACCCCATGTGTTGGATGAGAGAAACCCATGACAAGCCATAAGCCTTATGTTCAAGCCCAAACACCTAAACCCACTAAAACCAGTAGGAGCACGGCCTGACGCAAGCCGCCTTTCTTGGAGAAGATCAGCTGCGCGGCCACCTGCTAGTACAGGCTTTCAGGATTTAAGGGGGCTTGTTGTTTTGGGTTCTTATTGGGCTTAGGGGGGGGTTTATAGGTTTAGGGCTTTGCGGAGGAGTCATCTGCCCCAGTTCAGGCATGGTGTGCTGGCTCACAGGCAGGTTGAGGGTTGTAGGATTCAGAAGGGGCTTGGACTTGAGGATGTTGCCACTTATACTGACAGTCCTTTATAGGGATTAGAATCAGCATAGGGGGAACATCCCAAATTTCAGGATTTGCTGTGGATGTGGGCTTTTTGTTGGGGGGAATCGGGCTTAGGGTGCCTGGACTGGTGCGCAGTTTCACGGTCCACGAGGGTTATCGTTGAAGCGCCAGAAACCCCCCCCTGCCACCCCCCCCCCCACCCCACCGACGAACAAACAAAAAAGGTGGGAACCAAGAACGCTGGGTACGGAATAGTATAGTTACAGGGGCCTGTTTGGTTAGAATATCTTTTTTTTTTTTTTTTTTTGGGGGGGGGGGGGTTGTTGTAGTATAATGACAAAGGGACCATATAAGGTTTAACTATTACAGTAATTAGTCCGACCCCGTTCTTAGCATCACGTCTCGTGAGGGCACCTAGCTTTGGAGGGGATAGGAGCCTCGAACGAAAGGGTAGGTTCAAGACAATTTTCGCCACCCGGCCAGCTGACTCTCGGCCACATTGCAGTGACGATTCCGTCCAAATCTGAAGAAGTGAAAAGGAGAAGCGTGTCTATAAACAGAACGCAGAAAATAAAATCCTAAACCCTAAACCCTAAACCCTAGACCCGGGAGTGCGTCCCTACAAGACCAACTCAACTGGTTCAAGTCAGGGTTAAGGGTTGCCCCCTTATACCAAACAGTCCCCAGTAGGGATTGTAGTACCACCTATTGGAATCCCTATTAAGGACCTCCCAAGTGAAGGGTGGTTTAGGGTTTTTCTTGCCGCCCGCCTAGCTGACCCCCTCTGGACAGTCGTGGTTCGCGGTTAGGGTTTAGGGTTTAGGGTTTAGGGTTTAAGGTTTAGGGTTTAGGGAGTTTAGGGTTGTAGGGTGGGGAGGGTGGGGGGGCGGGGTGTCACAGCTGAGGGCGCAGCCGAGTGGTTGTTCTGAATGGCGTCTTCCAAGGCTGTCCCACCCCAGCGGTCCTCCGTTGACGTGTTCTGTTAGGGTTTAGGGTTTAGGAAGTTTAGGGTTTAGGGTTTAGTGTTTAGGGTTTAGGGTTTGGGGTTTGGGGCCGAAGGGCTTGCGGTTCTGTTCACCCATTGAACACAACTCTCCATGAACCCGGAGGAATTGCGCGCACAGCTCGCTAGCAAAGGGATCGGGCCCGATTCCCCCGAAAGGAGTGGCAGCCAGGTCGAACGACCTGTACGTCCCAAAAGCCTGATTCCGAAACGGCAACTATCACATCATACATGCTGAACTTCTCCCCGCCACAGGTTCAGAAAGCCCTAAACCCTAAACCCTAAACCCTAAACCCTAAACCCTAAACCCTGAACCCTGAACCCTGAACCCGGAACCCTGAACCCTGAACCCTAAACCCTAAACCCTAAACCCTAACCCCCCCCCCCCCTCCTAACACGAAAGTCCGGAACCCCGACTTTGAGTTTGTAGCATCCTTGAAGTTGGGGTTGGCGCGAGAGTCCAGCAGGAAGGAGATGACCTCTTGGGCTCAAGGGCTCGTGGGGTTCGGGTTTGGGTTTGGGGTTTAGGGTTCAGGGTTTAGGGTCCGGGTTTAGGGTATAGGGTTTCGGGTTCAGGACTTCTCCTGCATGATCTGAGGGCCGCGCGCGATCCATGCAAAATTTTTCTGCTGCATGATCTGAGGGTAAGGGTTTAGGGGTTAGAGTTTTGGTCTCAGGTTTATAGGGTTGAAGGTAAGGCTTGTGGCTTCTAGGGCCTATAATGAGGATGCAAGGCGCGGAGGTTTTCAAAGGAAGGCGCTGTAAACACCACTAAGACGACCGGCTGCTCCGTGCAACTTGAGGCGATCCTTGTCATTTCGGATTTGGAGTCGTGGCTGTTTTTGGCGTGTGTTTCTAATGCCCCCATAGCCCTATGGGCCAACTTAAGGAACACGGGTACCTTGGGTAGTGCATACAAGAATAGTAGAGGGACATCGAGGACGATGATAACCAAAGGATCAAAAAAAAGGGGAGGGAGGGTGCATTCCGAAGACTCCTGTGTCACACCCAAGCCCTATACACCCATGCTGGTTCGAACAGTGACCTCATGAAGCCCTAAACCCTACACCCTAAACCCCAAACCCTAACCCCTCAACCCGAAACCCGGCTGCCTCCAATTTTCCCTCCGAGGCTGCCAGGTGCAAAGCAGTGCGAAGGTCATAGTCGCCACCTATCCGAGAAAGACTTCGGCTCTCACACTACAGGGTTTAGGGTTTAGGGTTTAGGGTTTAGGGTTTAGGGTTTAGGGTTTAGGGTTTAGGGGTTCCTTATATAGTCCCTATATACCTAAGTAGGGTTTAGCGTTCAGGGTTAAGGGGTAGGCTTCGGCTCTCACACTACAATCACCCAGCGGAACATAACCAGGAAGGGCGAGTTCTTCCCCATGAGCCCTTAAGAAAAGGCCGTTTACAGGGTTGATTGTGGGGTTATACGGCCTCGTAACCCTCAACCCTCAAACGTCAACCCTCAACCCAACCCATATACTGCTAAATTGGCACTAGGCGCTCTACCCTTTCACGTCATTCAGGAGTGCATCAACCAGCCCAGGGGCTAAAAGCAAGGGGCTTCGGACTTCGGGTTGGCTGTCTTACTATTCATGCGACATTTTTTATATATCATTATCTTACTAGATTTTTAATACTACTATATTACTGTATATTGTGCAAGTATCTTCTTGTTATCATTGCATTGGGAAAATTAGTATGACTGCCATGTCCAAGAGTTGGCATTTAAAAGCGAAATGCAGGCTGGTCGGCCGCGGGTCTCTTTACGCAGGCTGGGTCGAGCCTAGCCCCTTTGCATAGTAGACCCTAAACCCTAAACCCTAAACCCTAAACCCTAAACCCTAAACCCTAAACCCTAAACCCTAAACCCTAAACCCTAAACCCCGTTTCCAAGAACTGCTGGGTGGCATGATGGAGGGGCGACAGTGGGTTTCTTTAGGGTTTAGGGTTGCTGGTGGTCATGAGGGTCGATGAGCACCCCCTTCATGTCCAGAATTCGGAAAAAGGAAAGCTTCCTTGACAAGTGCACACGAAATACTATTCAAACACCAGAACGCCCAGAGCCATGAAGAGATCGTCCCTCTCTCCGACGTAGGTGCTCAAGGCAAGGAGCTATTTGGATCGATCTTGACCTCAATGAGCTCTTTGAGTGCCTTGCCATCGATACCGCAGGAAAGGGCGCGGGCCATACCCAAGCTTGTAGATTTGGGGGTTACGATAATCGGGGATCCCCTTGCAAGAAGGACCCCAATATGGTACCCTCTAATATCGTAAACCCCCGATCGACATGACGTCAAGCACCCGTGAAGGTTCACCCTCTTCACCCTCTTGAGGGTCTTTTTGGCCATGTGATGTGTGCACGCGTTGTGCAGGGGAGAGGCCATGACTTCCTTCGTGTCCCGCGACCCTGTCAAATTTTCAAAGAGCCCAGCTCTAAACCCTATAGACCTTTTTGGTCCCTTGGTCGACTTCTCGATTTGTGCAATATTTCCCCCCCCCCCCCCCCGGCCCCCCGAAGAAAAAAAAAAAACACAAACGTAGAGGACGGCGGGACACACCAGCTTCTTAGCCCTCAGCTAAACCCTACACCCTAAACCCTAAACCCTAAACCCTAAACCCCTAGACAGCATGGTTTTGCTAGGGTTAGGGAAGCTCCTTGCAGGAGGAGTCACCATCAAATTGCCGCTGGAGGCCGCGTCACACAAGGCCGTGGCCGGGTCCTACAGGCGTAGGACATCTCTCCCGAGACGGCCTTGGAGGTTTGGGTGCTACCCTAAACCTTGAAACCCTCAACACCCTAAACCTGAATTAAGACCCTGAAATCTAAAAGGTTCATAAACAAAGGAGGTTCAAGGAGGGGTTTAGACCCCACAGGGTCCTGTGGTAACCTAGCTTGTGCAGCTTTCCGCACTGTCGTACTTGCGAACAAAGCGCCTCGAAACCCTCAAATGCAAAAGCCTGATCTAGGGTTTAGGACCAGTTTAGGACTCGACTCCCCCCCTAAACCCTACACCCTAAACCCTAAAGCTGCGTAGAGCAAACATGGTCTGACCCCCGAACTCACACTCAATACCCTCCACCCCCACGCTTTCACACCATTTCTCAACCCGCCTCCTAAACCAAATTTGCCAAACCTGCAAAACACGAAGCACACCCATAAACTAAATCAACAATCCATAACACAATCCATGTGTTGTGTTGGGAGGTGCTTTAGCTTTGGATTGTACTGGGACTTCGGCGTGGGATTTGGGAGGTGCTTTGTGTTTTGGATTGTTTGGGGTGTGCTTTGTGCCATGCGGGTTTGGCAGGGTTCATTTAGCAGGTGGGTTGAGAAATGGTGTGAACGCGTATGGGGGGGGGGGGGGGAGGGGGGGGGGGGGGGGGGGGGGGGGTATGCTTGCTCATAGACCCCATAATCCCTTTATAACCCTAAACAACCAAACCCCCAAACCCCCCCAAACCCCCCAAACCCCCCCCCAAAAAACCCCAAAAACCCCCCAAAAAAAAAAAAAAAAACCAAAAAGAACCAACACCCCCAAAAACACCCCAAAAACCCCCCCAAAAAACCAAAAAAAAACCCACAAACACACCCAAAAAAAAAACCAATAAAACCACCCAAAAAAACACCCCCCAAAAAAAACCAAAAAAAAAAAACCAAAAACCCTCAAAAAACCTCCCCAACCCCCCCCCAAAAAAAAAAAAAAAAATAATAATACTAAATAAACCAACAACCCCCAACAAACCCCCCAACAAACCCCCCCAACAAACCCCCCCCAACAAAGACCCTCCAACAAACCCCCCCAACAAAACCCCCCAACAAACCACCGCGTCACAAACCCCCGTCACAAACCCCCCCAACAAACCCACCCCCCCAACAAACCCCCCCCAACAAACCCCCCCAACAAACCCCCCCAACAAACCCCCCAACAAACCCCCCAACAAACCCCCCAACAAACCCCCCAACCCCCGGAAACCCCCCAAACCCCCAAAACCCCCCAAACCCCGGAAACCCCCCAAACCCCCGGAAACCCCCCAAAAAACCCCCAAAACCACCCAAAAACCACCCAAAAAAAAACCCACCAAAACCCCCCCAAAACCCCACCAAAAACCCCCCCAAAACCACCCCAAACCCCCCCCTCAAAAAAAAAAAAAAAAAAAACCCAAAAAAAAAAACAAAAAACCAAAAACCCCCCCAACCCCCCCCCCCCCCCCCAAAAACCCCCCCAAAAAACCTCCGAAAAAACCCCCGCAAAACCCCCCAAAAAACCCCCCACAAAAAAAAACCCCCCCAACAAACCCCCAACAACCCCCCAACAAACCCCCCCAACAAAAATCCCCCAACAAACCCCCCAACAAACCCCCCAAAGCCCCGGAAACCCCCCAAACCGCCGGAAACCCCCCAAACCCCCCAAACCCCAAAAAACCCCCAAAACCCTAAGCCCCCTCAAGAGTCCTCGAGATTGAGGTCGGCGTTTTGCTCAATGAGGACCTCAGTGACGGCGCTGAACTTGCCGAGGACAGCATCCTGGGCATGGCGTAGGCGCTTCCCAATTTGGTTTAGGGTTTAAGGTTTAGGGTTTAGGGTTTAGGGTTTAATAAACTACAGGTTGGCCCCTCATACTAGCACCCTGAAAAGAGTGTGTAATTGAGGGTTATAAGATAATCACTTCTGAGGACTGTCAGTATAACGGGAACATTCCCAACCCATAGGGTTGAGTGTGACTATATCGGGGCAGACTTCTGGCAGTCTAGCATCGAGCGGGCTTAGGAAACAGGAGGTTCGAGCGGCTCTTTTAAGGGGGGCGGTGGGGGGGGGAGGGAAAGGCTTGCCAAGTTTAAGCCGAGCTTCTCTCAGCGGTGTACCCTTCCAGCGGTCTTGCATGTTTACGTTGCCTGCATGCACATACAAGTCATAGAATGAGTGAGTGAGTGAGTGAGTGAGTAAAGAGAGAGAGAGAGAGAGAGAGAGAGAGAGAGAGAGAGAGGGAGAGAGGGAGAGGGGGGGAGAGAGAGAGAGAGAGAGAGACAGAGAGCGAGAGTGATGGTTAAGAAGAAAAATGTAATAGATATACATCATGCATATACACGTTCAACAAAGGTTCACCTCTGTGTTACATTGCAAAAGGTGCATCCAACAACACAATGTGGAGATGCCTCAACCCTCCTCCACCAACGACCTCTGAGCCTTCGACGGTCCCGGAGCTCTTCGAAAAAGGCCAGGTTTCGGGTTTAGGGCTTAGGGCTTGCAGTGGTTTTTCAATCGATCTGTTGCGTCAAGAACTGGGAAGACCCAGACTCATCTGGCACAAGAGGTCCGACGATACTGAGCCCTCCAGAGCGCCTGGCCTTCATTTTTGATCAAGGTCTTGATCACCTCTTGGCACAGAGCTGCGCAAGAAGGGGAGGTCTACTTTCCTGATTCTGAACTCTCGGGGCTTCATGGGTAAGCTTTGTGTGTGGAAGGGGCGCAAGTACATGGCGCCGAACCCCACATCTTAGGGTAGTTACATGGTCCCTGAAAAGGGGACCCCATATGTACCCCTAATATACCCTATACAATTAAGGACCCTTTAAAGGAGGCTCGGGACCATATGAAGGGCCCATGAAACTACCCTTAGACTTCAGAACCGAAGGCTGTCCTCGGAACTACTACTGGGGACCCCGAGCAACGCGTTGATTCCAGGGACCCCTCCGGACCCCTCAACCGCTGAAGTCTTACGTAATCTTAGCAACCTCAACCCCTACACCCTTAGACCCTTAAGCCCTTAAACCCTTTTTTGCTGAAACCCTTAAACCCTTGAACCCTAAAAACCCTTAAACCCTCAAACCCTCAAACCCTCAAACCCTTAAACCCTCAAACCCTCAAACCCTTAAACCCTTAAACCCTTAAACCCTTAAACCCTTAAGCCCTTAAACCCTTAAACCCTTAAACCCTCAAACCCTCAAACCCTTAAACCCTCAAACCCTCAAACCCTTAAACCCTCAAACCCTTAAACCCTTAAACCCTCAAACCCTTAAGCCCTTAAACCCTTAAACCCTTAAACCCTCAAACCCTCAAACCCTTAAACCCTCAAACCCTTAAACCCTCAAACCCTTAAACCCTTAGTCGCCCCAACAGCCTCTCAACTCCCCGGCTCCCATGGCGGTCACTCGGAAGCAGCTGGCCGTGGACCAGACAGCTCTCTGCTTCGTACCCTCAGGATCCATGTACCTATATGCTACATTACTTGGGCCCTGGAGCTACTATATAGGAACCCCTTTAAGGCCCAAGTTTTTTCTAGTAGGTACAGGGCATGGTCACTCACGTCGACAGCCAGCACGCTGGCATGACTGCAAACGGCCAGGTGCCAGCAACTGTTCTCCTCACGGCTCCAAACCCCGGACCTCAAACCCTAAAACCGCCATCCACCCAGAAGACACTGTCATAAAACCTAAACCCTAAACCCTAAACCCCTAAACCCTAAACCCGAAACCCCAAGATGCTGCCAGGGCGCCACATCCCGGCCCTCGGCAGCTGCTAAATGCATGGCCGTGCGGCCGTCGCAATTCCTTGCTGGAATCGACTTCCAAACCCGAAACCCTCAACCCTCAACCCTCAACCCTAAACCCTAAACCCTAAACCTAAACCCTAAACCCCAAACCCCAAACCCAAAACCGGGCTGGGTTATAGGGTCCAGGGTTTAGAGCAATACCATCTGGGGGTGCACGGTTGTAGCTGCTCCCCAAACCCTAAACCCTAAACCTGTTGCAAACCCTAAACCCTAAACCCGAAACCCTAAACCCTAAACCCTAAGCCCTAAGCCCTAAGCCCGAAAGGGTACTTCCCCAGGATACTTCGTCATGGCATCATCGCCTGGTCATATTCACTCGTGGCGCTCTAAGGCCTGCAGCCTGCTTGGCCTGCAGCTTGTCTTCATGTCGAGGGTGGAAATGGAGGGTGCAGATGTGCTAGGGTTTAGGGTGTAGGGTTTAGGGTTTAGTGTGTATTCGGGTTTTTGTGCCACCCGACTAGCCACGGCAAAGCGGGGTAAATTGGTCGGAGGAACGGAAAAAGAAAAACCCAATAGGCACATGTCAGCTGCCCAGGGATATTGCCAGAAAGGCATTAAGGGTAGGAAATTGATGGTGGGTTCATTCGGGAGAGATCAATGTTCCCAGACCTACATGCACCAACATCAGATAAGCAACGACGGCTAATGATCCCTCCCAGCAGAACCCAGTCTTGGTATGTTTCCCTGGGGCACCCCCATTCGGAAAGAGCAAGAGCCTGGCTCGCGATCCTCTGTCACAAAGAAAGGGTTAGAACACAGCACAGCTAGTACAGCCAGTAAATATAACATGAAACATCAAGTATGGGGATCGCTACTTCAGAGCTCTCCTGTTTTGTACACACTAAGCCTTACCGTCCCTCGCCAAGTTACCTCGAGTGATAGCAAACCCCAGAAATATTGCAGACTAGCAACAGGGGCTTACCAGTAAGGGTTAACCAGGGAGGGAACTTTCATGGCTCGGATGTCGGTGAGGACTGCGTCACGACACTTCACTACACTTCTATGCTTACAAGAGGGTCTGCTCGGCAGCCTAGTTCATTTTCAAATGTCCGGCTGCGCCTTCAAAGGTGCCAGACCTCTCAGAAACATTCCTGCCTGACCTCCCGGATTCTTGGGTTGAGGAATAGATGAGATATGTGCACGCCTGTGTATTCGGGTTTAGGCTGTAGGGTTCTGTGTGCTCCCTCTTGCTATGCTTCGGGTCAAGTTCGTTTCGGCCTTCGGTGCCAATGTCTATTGGAACGTTGAGGAGGGTATGGGGTGCTGGGGTGGGTTGCGGGGCAGATCTATTTGTTTGATGGGGATACGTTGTCCAGTCGATAATGAACTACTGAGGCAAACAATATTTGATTCTTGCATTTGTTCCACAAGTAGTTCGAAAAATCACACGTTCAATTGAACAACGTCAAATGATTGCACAATTTGTGCAACAGTTGGTCAATTTACCTCGGCAGCAAGACATGGTTCTCCAGTGTGCTGAGATAGCATAACTTCCGTTGCCACATCTTCCTGCTCTTCAAGTTTGGAGCTAAGGAGGGTTGTTCCAGTTCTGGCTTTGCTTAAAGAAGCCCAAGCTGCGCAGTGTCGATGGAAACGCGCTTGCGAAGAAGGAGTTCCACCTGGAGAAACGAAAGCTGCCCCAGAAAGGGAACAGCGGGTATGTCCGGGGGATGGTTTAACGAAAAACAAGGACAAACAGCTATAGGAATATTGTGGGCGTGATGTGGACTCTTCTTCTTCCGAGTTTCGCATCACACGGTTTAGGGTTTAGGGTTTAGGGTTTAGGACCATGAACCTTCAAGTAGGCATAGGTCGGGCAACCTCCAGCATCCCGTGTAACCCTGCAGAGCATCTGAGCACCGTGCCTGCTCCAAATTCCCCTCTGCCGCCGCGTTGATGAACGTGATTGACATATGGGCAGTTCGACTCAAAAGCCTCGTTGGCCAAGCGCTTGGAGCCAGAGCGGTTTAGGGTTTAGGCCTAAGTTTATAGGGTGTAGGCTGTATATAGGGCTTCATGGCGGGATCGCCTACCATGCTTGGTGCATGTGCAAGCCAAGACGGGGACAGGTGCACATTGCAACGATGCGGCAAAGCAACATCTGCCGAACGGATCGCTTGGAGCCAGAGCAGTTTAGGGTTTAGGGCCTAAGTTTAGGGTGTAGGCTGTATATAGGGCTTCATGGCGGGATCGCCTACCATGCTTGGTGCATGTGCAAGCCAAGACGGGGACAGGTGCACATTGCAACGATGCGGCAAAGCAACATCTGCCGAACGGATTCCCGCATGTGCTGCAGGAACTCGGTCTCGTCCTACGGCTCCAGAAAGCACCGCAGCGAACTCTTCAAAAGGATGTTGAACGGAATGGGAAAGGATCTCATCAAGCAGCTAGCAAAAATCGAAACTACATTTCCACAAAGGCTATGCTGTTACCAAAGGAACCAAGGTACATTGCTGTTCAAACAGCTTTTCAAACGATGACTTCAAACAACCTTCGGCGTCGCAGGTCAAGCGTCAGTAGCACGGTCAAAGCTCAATAGTCTATGCCAAGGCTCCGATTTCGGTGCCAGCGCCAAAACAGATGCGCACACACACACACACACACACACACACACACACGTGCACAGCGTTCTTGACATAACCGCAAAGCTGCTTTTGCGACTGGTCCTTCACTCCTGAAATCAAAACCAGGGACTTCAATTCTGTCGACGGAACTACGCTGACTACAAGCTGCAAGAACATGAGTCCTGGGCGTCGGGCATAACGGCACCCTTCTTGAGGTCGGCGCCGTTCATCGAGAGCTTCATCGAAAAAGCCACGTTGTGAAGCAGTTGGTCCTTGGTGCCATCTTCAGTGTTTGCTCGTCGTGGGGTTGAAAGCTGCTCTGACCGTGAGGCTTCATTGCTAGAGGCATTCTGCCTCTGACACGCACTTACCCTAAACCCTAAACCCTAAACCCTAAACCCTAAACCCTAAACCCTAAACCCTAAACCCTAAACCCTACCCTAAAAAACCCTAAACCGCAGCTTCGACCTCACTCCAACAGAGGCCCCGGCTTGCTCATGGCACCTTCACGGGGCTTCCTTCTCCCGACTGGCCACCAGACCACGCCCGGTGCCCTCAAAAGTGTTTGCACTACTATTTGTTTCCGAACCCCCCCCCCCCCCCCCCAAAAAAAAAAAAAAGAGAGGAATAATAATTCCTTATATTGCCGTAATGAGGAAGAATGTCTTTGACTTTTTGGGTGGTTCTTAAGCAAGCAGTAGTGCCCTAAACCCTAAACCCTAAACCCTAAACCCCAAACCCCAAACCCCAAACCCTAAACCCGAAACCCTAAACCCTAAACCCTAAACCCTAATCGGTGCCATGCATCTCGGTCCGCATCGAGATTTGCCATGATGAGCTCGAAGTTGCTTCGGGTGATCTTGAGGATTGAGGACTCAACTCCCGAGCGAGACCGGGCCTGGAAGCACAAATAGGGTTTAGGGTTTAGGGTTTAGGGTTTAGGGTTTAGGGTTTAGGGTTTAGGGTTTAGGGTTTAGGGTTTAGGGTTTCGGATTGAGCGTGTAGGGCGCAGGGACTTGAAACTTCAGACTTGCTGACCAGCCAGCACGTAAGAGCTGAATGTTCAGCTTCAAACCTTCCGCAATATTGTGCAGGCCATTAACAGCAAGCTGTAACAAGATCCTATGTGCCAATGTTCAGCTTGAGTATGGCCAGCCTGTTTTGTCACAAGGCTGTCATACGCAGATGGCTAAGATCCGGATGCGCCCAGTCGCAACCTCCTATAATCTTTTCCGGAATGAACTCATACGCCTTCAACGTGATCCGAGTCTGCAGTCTTTTTTTGTGTAAAGCATTCCAGTCTTCCTGAGTTCCCATTCCCTCCACTGTCAAGTCTGTAAATGCAAAGAGGGCTTGCTTGGCCCAACGCCATCGCACCGCCGCTTACTCGTTGGCCATTCCAATTAATTAGTAAAATTCCTATGCAGTCTCTCGACAAGTCCCGTGGCTTTTGGATTGTCCGCATGACAGATCGCACAAACCCTAAAACCCTGAACCCTAAACAAATCAAGCTGAAATAGCGGAAGCAGGCCGAGACGCAGAGTACAGGTGCGGCATCTTTAAAACGAAAGAGACTTCACCCACTGCTGTTGGCTCATTCGGTCTGTCCTCAGCTTGGCTGCCGTATGCTGAGAAGGCCCTACTTCAAGACTCAAGAGGAACCTAGACTAAGGGTGCCGTTGTTGGGTTAAAAAAGGGGCTTATAAGGGACCCCAAAAGCGGGAGTAAGGGCCTACTCTGGGTCCTACACTTGGTTTTTTCTCCACCCGCCTAACTGCTGGGGCCGCGTGTGGGGTTTCGGGTTTTGGGGGGGCGGGGGGGGGGGGTGTATACAACTCCCAGACAGCAATCCTTGTCGCAGCCGCCTATGTTGCACCAGCACTATCAGCACTGTTTCTTCTCAGCGCTGGCTTTCTAAACCCTTAACCCCAAACCCTGAACCCTAAACTCTAAACCCTAAACCCCACAAGCTTGACAGGGATCGCTCCTCACGTAGCGCACCAGTTGCTCCTGCGGAGGCGCTGCACTTGGTTGTGTCAACATGTTTTGGCCACCCCCCCCCCCCCCCCAACGCGATTCATGAAGATCTCGGAGACCCTAAACCCTAAACCCGAAACCCCAAACCCTAAACCCTAAACCCGAAACCCCAAACCCCAAACCCTAAACTCCCCAGAGCCCCTCCCCTCCCCTTCCCCCAGTCAGATGAAGAGCTTCAAGCCGAAAGTGCACATGCTTTCTTGCCCCTACTTAGTTGTCCAGTAGTCCTAGGGGGAACTCAAGGTTAACCTTTTAGGATTATGTAGGTTTAGATTTTCGGGTTTAGGGTTTAGAGATTATAGACCCTAAACCCTAAACCCTAAACCCTAAACCCTAAACCCTAAACCCCAAAAAGGTTCAAGGTTACCTATACGACGACGAACCCCAAAGATGCTTGGCCATCCTGTGAGGTGATCATAAGGGTGCCGGTCTCCAGAAAGCACAGATCCTCCGTAGGGCTCGGGATTTAGGGTTTAGGGTTTAGGGTTTAGGGTTTAGGGTTTAGGGTTTAGGATTTAGGGTTTAGGATTTAGGGTTTAGGGTTTAGGGTTGAGGATTTTACCCCCTACGAAGCTGCAGGGAGCCTTTTCAGAGCTGGCCCAGGCGTGGGCTTCAACGACACCAAAGGGCATTCTCTCGTGCGAAGCTGAAACTGAAAGCGTAAACCATAACCCTAAACCCCAAACCCCAAACCCTAAACCTATCTGTCGTATCTCACGACCTGCATCTGCTCAGTTGAGACCACCCCCCTGGCCGACTGAATACGCTTTGCCTGGGACCCTTTTTGCCTACAGTGTAGTAGTAATTACCCTTACTTAATAGGTATAACCCATAAAGCTGTAGGTAAACAGGGTCCCAGGTTGTGTTGGTCACACCCTATGCCTCCATTCTCGCCTGCGGCACCCCGAGAGCCCGAAAAGCAGCCCTGAACCCGAACCATCAACTAACAAATTACACTAGGGTTTAGGCTTTAGGGTTGAGGGTTTAGGGTTTAGGGCCTAAGTCCCTGGAAGTTGCTTCGGCACCAAGGCACTTGCGGGGCATCGTTCTCACAGAACAAGATCTCGGAGGGCTGCAGTACCACCACCTTCAAGTGGGCTTTATAGGGTTTATGATCGGCTCCTCCCTCACCCGCCCCTCATATACATGTGGAGGAACATGGGACCTGCGCAGGATTGAGAACCTCAAGTACTGACATTCAGCATGTCGACACCCGAAACCTGAAACCAAAACCAGCCTCGAGTTGGTCGATAATCTGAAGCATGAAGTCTGAGCTGGCCCCACTGAACAGCTTCTCGTTGGCTTGAATAATGGGCAAGTAGATCTCAGTGCACATGCCGCAGGCTTAATGATCATGGTAGGGTTTAGGGTTAGGGGTTAGGGTTTAGGGTTTAGGGTAACTGTGCAGGAGCCGGAGCTTTCAGAATGTTGGCTAAATCAGTGGCTGGACGAGGCGCACGTGTCAAGGCTTACTAAGGTGGTAGGTGGACAGACTAGCCAATGCTCCACGGCTTCAAGAACCTCCCGTTGCAGCAAGCATGCTTGTCATGACGGTGCTGCAATTTAGCCTTCACCTACTCTCGTGGCGACATCTTACCTGGCTTTGGTATTCTCTGCACGATGAGGCCCGCGGATCAAGTCGCGACCTGTTTCGACAAGCTGCTTGCTCCTTGACTTTCTTCTGCAAGTCGGGCGCGAAGGTTTTGAGAACCACCTTGTGCCCATCACACAATGACAAAATGGCAAATGCGTTTTGTCGCACTCCGGCTCTGGTTGGCTGCGCCATCAGTGTGCCTCCGTCCCCTTGGAATTCTAAACCCTAAATCCTAAACCAAACCCTAAACCCTAAACCCCAAACGCTAAACCCTAACAAACCCCTAAATTCTTGAACCTTGCGCCCGGCCTCACGGTTACCAACATCTCTGGCCTTGGACCATTGGAACATCATGTGCTGTCCTTAGGCAAAGGGTCTCTGCAATAAGGGGATGTCTGGGTTTAGGGTTTAGGATTTCGGGTTTATAGGCTTTAGGATTTAGGGTTTAGGGGTCTGCCTTTCATAAGCAGACAGCGTGAAGTTGCCACCGGTGCGATGTACCCCATCAGCTTTATCGCTTTATGTATCATGTGTGTGTGTGTGCTAGAAAAATTAGCATGTAGTATAACTTGCGTACATATGCGCATGAGTATGCGAGCGTGTGCTGAGAATGGTTGGTGTCTATCAACAAAAGGGTAGTTGTCAAATTCTTCTTGGACACCCTACATATTAGGTGCCTTATTCTATTAGGGACCCCAAAAGGGACCATAGTTTTGACAACCACCCTAAACCCTAAACCCTAAACCCTAAACCCTCTCTGTAGCAGCTCGGTATGAGCCGCAGGGGCTGGGCCGACTCACCGCATGCAATGAACTCAAGGACTAGATGGGCCCCGAAAAGCTCGAATTTTCAAGCCCTCTGGAAGAATCCTACTGCCATTGAGTCTCGGAAACCCAGTAAAGAAGCATATTCCTCCCGTAAGCAAATTCTAATCGGTGGCCGTGCACGCTTCTTAGCTTTCAGAATTGACTCGCGACAATCGCACTTCTATCTCCCGGATGTTGAATTTGTGCTCGGAAAGTTCTTTCGTGAAACTCATCGAAAAACTTTGAAACTACGTTAGCTATGGATCTTGCGCGATGGCCAAAAATCAAGGGTGCCAGCACGTGTCGCGCGCGCTTCTTAGCTTTCGGGCATGACTCGCGATAATCGCGTTTCTAACTCCCGGATGTTGAATTTCCGCTCGGAAAGTTCTTTCGTGAAACTCATCGAAAAAACTTCGAAACTACGTTAGCTACGGATCTTGTGGGATGGCGGTTAAATTCCTCCTAAAAACAAAACCGAGAAATAACATTATTACTCCTATAAGGCCTATAGGGCCTATACCTCTACAAGATTTTGTACATCCTGCCAAGCGGCGAATGGATTTGCGGATGCTTGGTGGCAAGTCAAGAGCATCACCTCGGCAGACGCGTCGTCGCAGAACTTCTGCTGCAGACCCCAAGCCTCAAACCCTAAAACGCCAAACTGAACAGACCTTCAGAATTAGAACAGGGTTTTGGGGGGGTGATGAATGGTATATTTATAAAAGGGGCCATAAAGGAATAAGATTAGTATAGTATGTTTATAAAAGGGGCCATAAAGGAATACCATTAGAAACTCTTCCGACCCCTCTAGTCAGTGGATCGGTCTAGGTGTCTGAGCACGGCACACACCATCTGTGCTTGGTCTAAGAGTTGCTGCACCTCTCGAGCCAGGTCCTTCTTCGTCTCCTGCAGCAAGAGCTGTTTTTTTTGCCACCCGCTTCGCTGACCTCTCGGACACTCTGCAGCAAGAGCTGGGTTTAGGGTTTAGGGTTTAGAGTTTAGGGTTTAGGGTTTAGGGTTTAGGGAGCACAAATGCGTTTGTACCACATATCCGAGTTCGCATCTGCGAGTGGACACCTCTCATCGGAAAGTTCGACCGCAGTCGCAGCAATGGCAGATCCTGCAACTTGAAGAAGGATCCAATGACGTAGGACTTCCTGGGCAGCGCATTCTTGCTCTTTGCAACGCTATTCCTCGTCGTTTTGCTGAGCTCATCTGCGAAAGTGCATATGAATGTACCTACACTGCATGTGCCCTGAGAGCCAGGAGCAGAGATTTCTTGGGCCGCTTCTCGCCCTTATCAAGCCCGTGTCTAGGCGCAGTTCGAAAGACAAACTCAGGGGGGAAAACTGCCAGACGAGGCGCATCGCAAGCAGCCCAGCTGCGACGAAGAGGATGAGCACAAACTCTTCGAATCTCTCTGGCATGGACCCTTCATAATTCCTGCATAGCTGCAGCCCGGTTCGCTTCGCGCTGGAGAGCCCAGGGTTCATCTTAGGTGCTTGTCAAAATTATGGTCCCCTTTTTGAATCCCTATTATACTACGGCACCCAATATTTAGGGTACCCCAAAAGGGATCATGATTTTGACAACCACCCATATAGAGCTCTGGGCTGAAGGTGTGGGGCGTTGCGGGTTTTAGGGTTTAGGGTTTAATCGCTCACACTCGGACAAGCCAGGCGAGGCACACAGGTTCCACAGTCTCAACATCGGCTCTGCAGCACATGTGGCCACAGTCATGCTAGTGATACTACTCAACACTCACTGTTGCTAACTGGTGAAAGGCTTAGGGTTTGGGGTTTAGGGTTTGGGGTTTAGGGTTTAGGGTACATTCATGCAAAAGTGGGGCCTGCCAAGGCAGGATGCAAGAGTGACAACCTTTCTTGGCAGCCCAGCAACCATATTATAACAAGGGCACCCTTTTTCTGGGTCGGTTACTTTATAAGGAAACTCAGAACCAGGGTAAAGGGTACCAGTGGGCTACCAAGCTTTAGCAGCTAGTGCGAGTTTTTCATATACAGACATGTGGTTGATTGATTGTGTCCACTATTGTGAAATACCTGTAGTAAAGTTGATGCGTCAAGGAAAATTTCGGGAATTGGTTCTTGTTGGTGATGTTGCAAAAATAGAACGTTGATGAAACATGTTGACAGAATACGTGTCTTGGCAATACTAGTACCAATTTTTGTGAATGTGTAGGTAAATTGTGTTGGGCACGTTGTTGGATTTAATGTCGGTGTTTACAATGGATCTTAACGTGGATTGTTTGCTATTCGTTAACTTGTTTATATCAAACAAAAACACAAATAACAACACACATGGCCATAGTTTTTAGTCACAAAATACAAATGCATCAACAACTCTTACAACTTTCCTAGACGGGATTGTTGAATGTTTGTTTTAACTGAAAAAACAGAGCTCATAAAGAACTATCATACTTAGTATGAGTAAGTTCGTCCCGAGGGCGAGGCGCTTGATGCGGTGTGGTTTCGGGTTTCGGGTATCGGGTTTTACCCTAAACCCTAAACCCTAAACCCTTTTAGAGTTTGGGGTTCAGGAGAACGAACGCAACATGATTGCCCAACTACGTAATGTCAGGGCTAACGCACGTTGTGGACACGATGCTCGTTCAGAATTGCGTCGGAAAACCCCAAAAAGGCTAGGCTACCCTCTTTCAGCTTTCATGTTGCACCTGCTTTAGTGTGCAGCCCCCCCGAAAGCTGGATTTTGCCCTCTTTGACCTGCCCACCGGGCTTGTCTTATATGATTTGAACAGGGAGTAGTTTCTATGAATGTGAGATTAAAAGGAACAGCGAGGAGCGGCATTGATTTCAAAGGCGCGTCGCACGAATATTTCTTACGACTGACTGAATTGCGGTCACAGGGTCCTGACTAACCCGGCAAACTTAGACTTTCTGGAGGGGGCCCTACTAATGCGCGTCCAACATTAAACCCGCAGCCGTTTTCCGGTCCCTAAACCTGGAAGCCAAGCAACCTTGTAATCCCCAAGCCAACTCGGTCTGAGGTTTAGGGTTTAAGTTTAGGTTTAGGGTTTAGGGTTTAGGGTTTAGGGTTTAGGGTTTAGGGTTTAGGGTTTAGGGTTGAGGGTTGAGGGTTGAGGGTTGAGGGTTGAGGGTTTAGCAAAACGCTTCCGAAGTGCCGGTTGAAAGCCTTGTAGAAAGCAGCCTTGGCTTTGCATCCGATCGGTCAGAAACAAAAACCAGGCGTTTTGACTCTCGCAGAAGCACGTAGGGTTTAGGGTTTAGGGTTTAGGGTTTAGGGTTTAGGGTTTAGGGTTTAGGGTGTAGGGTGTAGGGTGTAGGGTTTCCTCCATGGAGCTTCTTAGGACCCCTAGAAGGGACCCCTAATCTTATTCCCCAGTATATGATTATACATACCTTATATAGTCCCTAGATACCTAAGTAGCCCCTAAATAACCCCAAAGCCTTTTTTTGCAGAAACTTCCTTACCACTTAGTTGTCCAGTGTCGTCGGGGAACTAAAGGTTAGCCTTTGGGATGCTACAGGAATTATAATGGCCCGGATACCTACTCTACTCCTACTCTACTACTAAACCCTTTTGCCCTAAACCCTAAAGCCTAAACCCTTAACCCAAAAGGGTTAAAGGTTACCTACTCTACTACTACGACCAGCTGTCTCCCTCGTACAGGAGCTTGAGTTTGCAGTAGGAGATCCTGAGGTTTGCCCACTCATACCCTTCCCCTTCCATACCCTAAACCTGTGAACGCCCTAAGCCCTCAATACCCTAAGATCCGAAATGCCTTACACACTGAATACCCCAAAAGCCCGAACGCACTACCCGAATGCCCCTAGAAGCCCTGCACCCTCAACACCCTCAAGCCAGGTTCTCTTGAAAGTTGAAGGCGTTGAGCCCCCCCACCCCCCCCACCCGCCAAAGAAGCAGGTTCCTGTGAGCCGTTCAAAACTGACTCCCTCATCTCCCTCATCTTATGATGGAATCGATAGCCTCTCAGCTTTCCGGACCTTGTCCGACCCCACCTGCTACAAGAATACATTCAAAGCCTAGCTCCGGCATCTGTGCTGTGTCCATCCCGTGTCGTGGCTGCGAAACACTGATTTGGTACTGCGAGTCAGGGACGGAACCAAGCCTTACATGATCTTGTAGCATGCCAAAAGTTCTGTGTGCGCCTAGCTTGCTGGCAAAGTAGCAAGATAGTCGCCCCACCACTCCTCATTCGTGGGCTCTGATATGCGGGTGCGCTCATACAGCTGCTGGAACATGCTGTCCTGCAGGAGCCAGTTTAGGGTTTAGGGTTTAGGGTTTGGGGTTTGGTTTAGGGTTGAGGGTTTAGGGTTCAGACCTCAAAAGCCCCCTGGGCGTCTGAAGCACAGCTTATGAGAACTGGAGAACTCTCCTGCAAACCATCGGAAGAGGCTTCTCTGGCAAAGGACAGCAGCAGGAAGATGCATCCCACCCAGTGGCCCCAGCCCAGCATGATGACCTCAGCGAACAAAAGGCGACTTAGGGTGGGGATGTTCCCCCTTATACTAACAGTCCTTAATAGGGAATATAATAGGTGGTACTACAATCCCTATAAAAAGGACTGTTAGGATTTGGGGTCTAGAGTTAGCAACAAGAAAGGATTGTTGAAGGATTGGAACCCTTTTGCATCCAGCCGGCGTGCAGACATAGCTACGCCTGTACACCATAAAACTCATTACATGCTGCCTTATGCAACATTACCTGTGGCAATGGCCTGCCTCTGCCTTCCTCATTGCACGCCGGGGGCAAGTGCTGGAATCTGCCAGGTGTTCAGGTGTCAGACCCGAGCAAGAAGGGCATTACGTGCAGCTGCATGCACTCCACTGTATGCACCTTCAAGTCAGTAACACGCTCAACTTCGGACGTGCAAGCGAGATCTGAGTCCCACGCTGCCAGCTTGACTGTCACCCATATCGACCCAGAACTGCTCTGCAATCGAATGTTGACATACATCTGCGTCTCTTGCTCGCTGAAGAATCCTGGGCGTTGTGCCGAGGCTGCAAAGAGAACGCCGTACTGAAATCGCAGAAGTGGAAGAAGCAGCTTGAAGCAGCAACGAAGCAGGAGCAGCAGCAGAGGTCTTACGCCGCGGGGCTTGGTGTGTTTTTGCACCATGTGATTAGGGTTTAGGGTTCAGGGCCTCTGTCATTGAAAGTAAGACTTGTGGCGGAGCTGCCGCCGAGCATCTTTTGAGGTATGTGAGCGGCAGGTTTTGGCGCATCAACTTGCCTCATGACTGCCCAGAGACTCCAAAACCCTTTAATTCAGAAATATGCCTTAAATCATATTAGGGTTCCTATTATAATTTAAGGGATATTCCTTAAGAAAGGGGTTTGGAGTCTCTGGGCGGAAGTCCGAACAAGGCTCCCCAAACCAGGCACCGTGGTTAAAGTCAGCCCGGTGATTCCGTGGGTTCTTTTCTGCATTGCTCTTCTTTCGACCTGTCCGTCGCCTGCTTGCGACCTTGATCCTGTCAAAAGGTTAAGACCCTAAACCCTAAACCCTAAGCCCTAAGCCCTAAGCGCTAAGCCCTAAGCCCTAAGCCCCAAGCCCTAAGCCCTGAGCCCTGAGCCCTAAGCCCTAAGTCCTAAGCCCTAAACCTACAGGTGCTGGGGGCTGCTGGCAAGGGACCGAATTTTTTTTTTGCGGGGGGGGGGGGGGGGGGTAATTCTAACGTCGCGGCAAGGGCACACACCAGAAACATCAGCGTTAAGGCGTTCTCCGCCATGCTCCCGCTCTCAAGGCCCTCACCGTCACAGAGGTTTAGGGTGTTGAGCTTTGACTGCTGGTTTTGCCATGTTTGGTTTCGGGTCTAGGGTCTAGGGTTTAGGAACCCCACACCTCTTTGGTTTTCATGCGCGCCTGCCGCACTTGTTTGAGTTGAGGGTTTGAGATGCTCTGAGGACTGGGCTGGGGGTTTGGGATTTGGCTTTATGTCAAATCTTGGGATGTTCACCCTTATACTAACAGTCCTTATAGGGATTCTAGTACGGGATACTATAATCCCCTTCAGGATTGTTAGAAAAAGGCGGAACATCACAAGTCAAAATCTGTTGCAAGCCAAAGCTAGCACAGGACCGTGTCCTCGTTATTCCGATTGTTGTGCATCTTCGTGACGACCATGCCATGCGTGAAGCTTCCTTCGCACCGCGTTGGGCAATCACAGGGTTTCGGGTTTAGGGTTTAGGTTTAGGGTAAGGGTTTAGGGTTTAGGGTTTAGGGTTTAGGGTTTAGGGTTTAGGGTTTAGGGTTTAGGGTTTAGGGTTTAGGGTTTAGGGTTTAGGGTTTAGGGTTTAGGGTTTAGGGTTTAGGGTTTAGGGTTTAGGGTTTAATCGCTCACACGCGGACAAGCCAGGCGAGGCACACAGGTTTAGGGTTTAGGGTTTAGGGTGTAGGGTTTAGGGTTTAGGGTTTAGGGCTTCAGGCTCTCCATCACGATCGGGTTGTAGGCCTCTCGACCTCTTCTTTTGCTGCTGCTTGTTAACGCGTCACGTGATTCCCTCCTTCCTTTGCAAGGTCTTAGCTCGGCAAAAAGCCAGGCATCATCAGGGCACGCGTTCTTCTGGAAGATGGCAGCTCTTATAGTAGTGATGCCCCAGACTACTAGTAGCTTAAGAACCCCCCTCACAAAGAAAAAAAGAGAAGATAGTCATCCCTATAATGCCCTTCGTAAGGACGAATATTCCGTAACTTCTGTGGGGTTCTGAAGTAGCTAGCAGGAGACCCGCCTTACCTTTCTCCGGCTGGCTCTTAGTAGGGAATGAGGGAATGAGGGCCCTATAGAATCCCTTAAAGGGTCTATAAAGGGCCCTCATTCCCTCAACCCCTAAACCCTAAACCCTAAACCCTGAACCCTGAACCCTGAACCAGAGGGGTTCTGTCGAGCGGCCAACCACGATAAGCAACAGAGCAAAGACAGCTTGGAGCCAAATGGTCTTTGAAGTCTGCACACCACCTCAGCTGGCAGCCCTAAACCCTAAACCCTAAACCCTAAACCCTAAACCCAAAGCCCTAACCCTAAACCCGGTTGAAATAGGCAAGCCTGGGAAAGCGCGGAGGTTCACACCAAGGCTTCCTGTAGCCTCAGGGTTCAGGGCTAAGGCTGGCCAATTCGTTCCAAGCTATCTCGTGTGACAAAGGAGCTCGTGAAGAACTTGACGATGGACCGGATGAGTCTTCTTATGGATCTCCTGCGGTCAGGGGGGGGGGGGCTACAAACCAGAATTCAGCACAATCTGGGAACAGCTCTTTCGCAGTTGAAAAGCCTTACTTTCCATGCTTTGGGGGTTCAGGATTTAGGAGTTAGGCTTGAAGAAGAGTGGGTCACCCGCCCATTTGATTCAACTCAGGACTGCTTAGGCTTTGGCTGGAAGTGCGAGAGCGGCCCCTGGTAAGGGCCAACAGCCCATCCTGGCATTAACATGTGCCTAGACGTCGCCTGCGACCCGAATCCAAAAAAAGGTCGCTGTGTGCATCTGTGGGCATTTTGGCGAGCTAAAGTAGATGAAGTTCCCGCGTGTCACGGCCGGTCCCCCTTAGTAAAGCACCAGCTTTGCTTGTGCCACTATGTGCCACTTCAGAGGTCGCACATTAGCACATGTCCAGCCCCACATTGCTGACTGGGGCCTTGCGACATGTAGGCACACAAGAGTGGGAGTGAGAGCGCAAGGGTGCTGGTCTCACGTCGGGGGCCATCCTGGCTTGGGGCTTTTTGGTCTATTTACATGCGCGATCTAGAGTCTACGGGGATCACCGTTGGTTGCTCGACGAACCTTGCCTGCAGCTGCGCACGTCGTCATTGTCCTGCTCTTGCAGTTTGGCCTGCCATTTCGGTAGATCCAAATTCTGAGACCTGTTTCGTATTACTAAACGACAAGGATGACATCATTCTACACAGTATCATCTTTACAAGGAAGGCAATGTTGGCAATGGCCCTTTCGATGTTCTCACCAACCCCCCCGCCCTCCCAATTCACCCAAGCCCGTACCTCAAACCGTACGTACAACCACTGGAATACGCGAGGTAAATCCACCGTCATGTGTCCACACATCTCACAACAACCTCTAACCCACCCGACAGAGCCATTGGAAGGAATTTTGTCCAATAGAACTGTACCATAGTCGAAACCTGTTTAGGAATAAGACTTATGATCAAAGCATTGTCCTATACAACGAGGCATATGATGCCTTGGGGAGCTTACTTGTGTCTGCTGTCGTGCCTTTGCGGTTCAGCTATGAGCTTTCCACACAGCAGAAGTATCCTTCTACGAGCTACTTGCTGTCCAGCAGTTCACCACCCAGCACAGCATAATTGACACGTTTCTCCCGCCGACTTCATACTTCTGCTGACTGCAATTATGACGCGACTGATGCATGAGGCCCAAGGGTTTACACAAGGTTTGGGGTTGGGGATCCTGGCCTTGTAGAACTCTGTCAAGATGCTTCTGTCTGCAGGAGAATATTCCAAGAACCTGGCCCGAGGAGCTGCTGAATCTGTTAGGGTTTAGGGTTTTTAGGGTTCAGGGTTTAGGGTCACAATAGGGCCTATAGGGACACAGAATATGGCTTCCTTATTGGGGGGGAACAGCATTTTTTCAGAACCTCAACACCAACCTAGAAATGTCGAGCTATTTGGGGGCTGGGGACTTCAGGGTCAGTTGTGCGAGCTCGCAGGCGAAAGCTTTGCATGCAAGTGTCATGAGTTCCGAGGTGACACAACTATCGGATGGATTTGGCGAATCGGGCTCTGGGACAGTCCCCCACTGGGACATCTTAACGCCACCGCAGAAAGCGCAGCTTATCGGAGTCAGGATAGATTTCCTTTGAAATCGCGCTGGTCGATCAACCTTATGCTGGTCTGGGCTCCTCAACCCCATGCTTCCGCCTCTTCATAGCCGCTTCAGGTAACTCGAAAACCTCGCAGTCTGTGATCACCTGGCCATCGAAGGCGATTGGTGATTGGGAAGCGCCGTGGGCCTAAGCCTTATAAGGGTGTCACACACATCAAGGGCAAGCTTCGCGCAGCGTGATGCGACCTCTGGCTGTTTTGATATTGTGAGCGTTCCCTCCGACCGCGTGCACACACACAACAACTTGGCTTAGTCAACTATCCGCAACAACATACAAAGCGCCTCTGCAGACAATGCTGGAATCCTATTCTAATTACACCTCTGAACCAGAAACACGACATTACGAAGCGTGAGCCACACGTGCTGTAAGGCTTACACACAGGGTCGCAGAAGTAAAAAGATAAGACCCTAAACCCTACACCCTAGACTATAGCTGTCAGCCCCTGCTGTGGAAGGAGCTGAAACATGCCCCCTTACAGACTTCGTAGGAATCCATGGCTGAGAAGAAGTGAGTTTGCCGGACACCAGGCCAGCGTTTATGAACCAAGTCCACAAAAAAGGATAATCAGCAAACAACACCAAGAAGCACAGTAACCAACTGTTAAGCCGAGGTCTGCATCCCCCTGCCCCCCCCCCCCCCCCCCCCCCCCCCCCCCCCCCCCCCCCCCCCCCCCGCCTGCAGTGAGAGGGAAGATACCCTTCACCCTCTCAACCCTAGACCCTACTCGGGCCCGGAAGACTAGCCATCGTAAGGAAGCTGCATTTGCCAGCTCCAGGGTCAGTTGGGCCTGTATTTTGCTTGCCGCCCCGCGCCTCAACTCGCTGTTCTGTGTTCGCCTGCTCGAGGTCAAAGACCTGCCAGCAGCCCGCCGCTTCAGTGCGAAAGGCTTTCGGCTGTACACCAGCATATGAACATATCTACATTCGCGCACGTGCATGTTTACAACACGTACGTACATACAGGAGGCTCTTCAGGGCTGGAAGGTGTTGCTCTTTTTGCAAAGTTGTCCCCGAACAGATCTTGGGTTGCAACAGAGGGTGTACAGTGGAAGACGACAGCAAGTCCTCAACTTCGTGGAAGTCTGAGCAGTTCCGCGATCAAGGGATGACGATGCTACTGCCCTTGCCTGGCCCACATCTCTTTAATGAGACATTTGCGGAAGGGACGGATCGTAGTAATGACACAGTAAGAGCAGAAGGGCATTGGCAACATGTTGAACACATCCTGAAGTCTAGAAAAGTCCTTCTTGAAGCCCCAAACCCCACACCGAATCACAATAGTAGCATGGCCAATACAAATGCATTCTTGTTGCATTAGCAAGTCTGAGAAAACATGTGCAAACACCACAGCAAGTGCAAGAGGGTATAAAAATATGCTTCTGAAAAGATCAATAGGAACAGTAAAGGCAAACAAAAAAGTTGCAGGCTCGTACTCCGCCTTGAACTCGCCAAGGGTGCCTCCCTCACCTGGTTGTTTTTTGGGGTTCAGGGTTTAGGTTTTGGGTATGTATAGGGTTTAGGGTCTACAGATTAGTCGGAAACCCCAAACTCCGATAGTGGCCTTGAGCTTAAGAAACCTCAGCTTGCCAGCGGGAGCTCGTTGTATAGCCGACACAGGTTTATAGGGTTTATAGGGTTTTAAGGCTTCATGGTTGGGATTCTTCTTTGCGCCACTGTGGTAAGTTATTCACTTCTTTGGATGCAGACCGTGCGGAGGCGTTCAATGAGCAAAAGATCAGCACCGCACAAAAAAACAAGGTGAGCAAGAGCGACTAACATGGGGGTGTTCTGAAATTCGGGGGTACCTTATTGGGTTCCTTACTATGCTGGAATCCTACTATTTTGGGTCTGTTTTCGGGTCCTGAAATTTCCGTACGCCCCCACATCAAGAGGATTGCCCGCTGCCACAAGTTTACTTTCGACGCTGTGAAGTCCGTTGATGAGGGAGCTTGGAGTGTATATAGGGGCCAAAGTTTGCGGTCTCGGGGGCTCGATATAGATTCAATATATCAAATGATATTTTCTACAAGATGTTCCGCCGGTATATGCTACACTATACCGGAGCTTCCGCGAAAGGTCGCGTTTGGCCAGGACATCGGACTTTAAAACTTATCTTGCCCCCCGCAAGGCAGAACTCTTGGGGTAATGCAGGGTTTACACGCGGCAGCTGGGTCCAAGGGCTTCGTTGGAGGCCTCCACAGGAAGAAAAGTGATCGCATCAAATTACATCATTCATATCTGTACACTTCAAAATCCCGGTGCATGCCAGAAGGAACCTTGTACCCTGAAGGCTGTGATCACTGAACTCCCAAGCCTTTTGCGACTGCAAGGGCTGAGGTCAGAACTGATGTAGGTGACGCGACTGCCTGCGGAACAGGGGAACAATGGGGGAACTATGGCCGGGCTTTAGATTGAGTTTGAGAGGGAGAGTGGAGTAGGATTTCTAGTCTCTGATACTCGTCTCTGATACTAGGATTAGGAAATCTAGTGTATACACAAACTTTCAGCTAAGCAGCTTCAAGTTTCGACGGTCGTGCTTTAGCTGCCGAAGCCTAAGCCCCCGAACCTGAAGGTGGATTCTACAGCTCTTGCGCGGATGAAGAATCTACAAGGTGGCTCACGCGCAATGTCATCTTGGGGACGCGGGCGCCAGAAGCACCCATAAAGTCGATCATTCATAGCCCCAAGACTTAAGGGCTTTTTGGCGCAGAAGACGTGCAGAGGCGGCCGTCACGGAAGATGACTTCGCCCTCGAGGATCAAGAACAAGCTGGTGTTGTCATCATGCTCCGAATAGAGCACCTGCATGCTGGTTTAGGGTTTGGGGTTTAGGGTGTTCTAGGGTGTGGGAACTGGATTCCCTATCTAGCTCCCTAGCTTCGTTGTCCAGTATCCTGGGGGAACTAAAGGTTAAACTCCGGGAGTACAGGGCTTCTAGTACCCGCCAAAAACGTGAAAGGTTGCCTGCTCTACACCAAGGTTTTTGAACTAGTACGTGGCGTCACTTGTTTCTCATGGATCCGGGATGAAGGATGCGAAAGAAAACAATTGTTCATTTTTGTTTGAGATTCCGGGTTTGTGGTTCGGGGCATAGGCCCTGAACCCTTTATTTTTTGCAACTGGACTCCTTGCTGCCAGGATGCCGAAACTCTTCTTAGAAGAGTCGAAGTGCACAGGAAAAGCAAGCACGCACACTTTAGTCAGTGCAGGCTTTCACATCAATCTTGAAGGCTAGCAATTTGACGTATATATCGCTCAGGTATGACATTGAAGGTGAGAAGTATCTGACACTGTTGTTGCAAAACATCAGCGACTCGACGCAATGTTGGCAAGTGAGCCTCCAGCTGTGTCTCTGCCAGGGCACAGTGTAGCAGGAAATACGGATGCAGCATACGCACTGTAATGGCAAACTGATGCAGGCTCATTTGCAGGTCATCATGCAAAGTCCAAGTCTGCAAGCCCTGTTCATTATCGATCCAGACAACCACAAAAAACCTGCTCTCCAAACCTCACAAAAGCGACGGTAGAAGCACGACGCAGACATTGGCTTAAATTGATTCTGAAAGTTGAACAAAAACATAAAACATAGACATGAACATGTATGTGGATGCGTATATATGTATATGTATATCTATACATACATGGGTATATATAGATGTGTGTCTATGGAAATAAATGTGTATTCATTTGTTGTGTACGTACCTGCTGGCATTTCGTGGACTTAGCTTTCTGACAGGGTCCACTGTGCCCTAAACTTCCACGAGCGTTGCGCGTGGAACAAGCAAATAACTTTGGGATGTTCCCCCTTCTACTAACAGCCCTTAGTAGGGACGAATGTACCCTATTCTAATCCCGATTGAGGACTGTTAGTATAAGGGGGATAATCCCAAAAATAGCTAGTTAAGGGCTCCCTTGGGCTGGAGGCCCAAAAACCCACAGCCTTCAGCCTTCTGCAGCCGCTGCAGACGAGCACATTACGGGACTTTCTGCTCCTTCTCCAAGAGTAGAAAGCAAGAGTATCAGCTATAGCAATAATAATTGTAGTAATCGTCGTAGTAGTAAGAGCACTTGTAGTGGCAGCACGTTTCTTTCCTGCCTTGCCTGCGCAATACGGTCAATTGTTTAACCATCGAGGGTGCTTCATGGAAAAATCTGACTCAAAGCTATATCCTAGCCTTAAACCTTAAACTCGAAACCCTAACCCCTTGATTGCTGATGAACCAAGCTCTTCTCGTTCGCCTCTCCCCTCTTCTTGGACACCACTGACCCGACGTCAACAATCTTCAACCTGCGGCAACACACTGAATCTCAGAATCAACATTCGTGTCGGCCTCTATCGAAGCTTCGATGGTCCATTGCGACGCTGACAAAGTCTTGACATCAGCCAATTTTGCTTGGCCCCCCGGCAGAAATTCCGAGCTGCAGGAAGAGAAGCCAGGCAGTCGTGTAAACAAAGACCTGCAGCAGCTCGCACCCACTTCGAAAGCATCGGCCGTCAGAGGCCTCCTTTTGTCTTTCAATTCCGTTGTGAGGAAGAACCCCCTACTTCGCATGCTGTTGACGAATATACTTCTGAAAATAGGCTCATACTGTCATGCAATAAGCATGACAATGACAATACAACCATAGGAAATAAAACAAACAGAATAACAGAATTATGTAATAATCCCCAAACAGCTGCGTGCCTAGATGTGCCAGGTCGCAATTGCCCGATCGCAAGTGAGAGTCCGCAATTGTACATGCATGCTGCACTTCCAGGATGCATGCCATGACTGAATGTAGCACGTCGACGTGAGGAACCCTAGGCCCTAAACCCTAAACCCTAAACCCTAAACCCTAAATTGGTTCGAGCAGCCTCCGTAGATTGATCGCGTTTCTTCCCGAGAGACTTGCAATATTGGCGTCTATTCAACTCAACTGGCTCGGGGTAGCCACCCCGTTTAGGGTTTAGGGTTTAGGGTTTAGGATTTGGGGTTTAGGGTTTAGGGTTTAGGGCCCCCCTCCTGAAGCGAAAAGGTTTCGGCAGATTCCAAAAACGAAGATTAAGTGACTAAGTACCCTCTGCACCGAGACCATGGTTTTTTCAAACATCTGCAACCTTAAAAGCCAGAGAATGCTGAAAACAGTGTCCCTGTCGAGCGATGCAAGCCGTAGGCTACACACCGATCTTTGTCAACAGTTGCGAACTTTTTTGCGGTTTCACTGCGCCTTCCACGCGTCGAGCCCTTCAACACGGACGCTAGCATCGTGCGGGCATGGATGCTCCGGCCACTCGCATGGACTGGCAACACGTGCTAAAACACGGCATCCAGTAGTGTTTGCATCAGCTGACCCGCACGAAACACTTCCAGCCATGCAAAAACGCTGCAGTTTGACAGTGTTTTTGGCTTGCGACCCGTACGAAACACTGTAAATACCGAGGCAGAACCATGCAAGAAGCCTCCGGAAGAGTAGGTGCCGAGAACAGTGCGCCCCACCGGTGTTTTCGGCATGCGACCCGCACGAAACACGGTAAACACCGATGTGCAGGACAGGCGCGTGTTGCGCGCGATCATCCGACTGGAGGGAAGAAATTGAAGAGCACTCCATTCTAAACCATAAACCCTACCCTTAAGCCCTAAACCCTCAACTTCCCTTGAACCCCTAGAAGGGTTTAGGGTTTAGGGTTTAGGGCCCCTAAAAGATTCCAGCTCCTGGGCCCCCATGACAGATGCCGAATGCAGCCAAGACACCGTGCTTTCTGCGTCAGCTGCTGCTGACGATCCACCTTGTGCTTCCGGGAGGAATCTCAGAAGCTGATTTAGGGTTTAGGGTTTAGGATTTAGGGTTTAGGGTTCGGGGTTTAGCTCTCTCCAGCATCTGAGCAACTGATAGGGTTTAGGATTTAGGGTTTAGGGCATACTTGGTCAGAGGATGAATGGGAGTCTTCGGGTGAAGCCACGCAAAAGCCGCCTTCTACTGCTGGAGAGGATTGAACAACCATCCCACGTGAGAGAACGTTCTACACTTCAAACCGAAAACGCCATGAGCACTTTCTTCGAACTCTCGCTGGGCGGGCTGAGACGTACCAGGCTCAAGATGCATAGAGGTACCAACTTTTGCATCTAGCCTCTTCGCGACAGCCAGAACCCTAAACCCTAAACCCTAACCCTAAACCGTAAACCCTAAACCCTAAACCCTAAACCCTACACTCCGGCCTTGCGCATGATTGGCACGTTGCCGTCGTTGGACTCCTGAACCTCACCACCTCCACGAAGAGCGGCGACGGCATGGGGTGTGTAGGGTTTAGGGTTTAGGGTTTAGGGGTACGATGCTTTCGTGTTAAGGGGTACTAGGGTGTTTGCGGGGCACCTGCAGACAAAACTTGAATGCCGGTCTTTGAGTTCTTGGGTTTGCAGGGTTTGTAGGGTTTAGGGTTTAGGGTTTAGGGAGTTTGTGGGTTTTCTGGGACACCGGGCTTTAGGGTTTTCAGGGCCTGGGGCTTTCAGTGTTGGGGCTGAAGGTTCTCCATGCGCCAGAACAACTTCATCTTGACATCTACACTTCGAGCCGCAAGGCTACCCTAAACCCTAAACCCTAAACCCTAAACCCTAAACCCTAAACCCTCCTCAGCTTCTCGACCATTTTGCCGCAGAATTTGTGCAAGTTCGGCAAATCGGGCTGTTTGTCTGGTGCGGTTGAGGACCAGTACAGTAGCACTTTTTGCATCCGTGCTCTACGCGATACTTGTCGGAACCCAAGACTCAATCCACTTCGCTCCATCTCATGATACTCACAAGACAGCGCAAGCCAAGAACATTCAACAGATCAGCACCCTGGTGGTAGCTACACTTCGTCATCGTCAGACATGGAAGATAGCCTGAAGCCCTGAACCCTCAATCCAGATTCGCCCCAAAAGCCCTAAACCCTGATGAGGTTCTGAGGCTCTATACAAACCGAAGGCCAAAGCCTGAACGTGATGTTTGAAAGACTTGGTAGCCCAGCATCCATAAAGCATAACGAGGGTATCCCTCGTGGAGTAAAGCACAAAATAAACCTAAACACGAATCCCTTGCTATTTAGGACCCTAAATCCTAAACCCTGAACCCTAAATCCTTAAACTCGAACCCCAAGCCCCAACTCCAAGTACCCCCCCGCCCACACAACGCGAACAGCAATCTTTGTGCCGCGCCTCGGAATTTATCCAAGGCTTGAAGCAGGGCATCCACTAGGAACCACGCCTTGGAACGGGGTGGGAGCCGGCTTTGGGTTCCGGAGTTCAGGGTCGTAAGGAAGGGTTTGGGGTTTAAGGGTTTTGGGTTTAGGGTTTATAAGGGTTTAGGGTTTAGGGTTTAGAGTTTAGGGTTTAGGGTGTAGGGTTTAGGGCATTTTCGGGCTCCACGGCTTTGGGAGTTCAAGGGTTTGGGTTTGCAGTTGTTCGACACTCACACTAGCAGACGCGGGCCAAGATCTTGGTACGAGTTGCGGTGAACAGTATGGTGCGCAAACTTCTCAGGTTGTGGGGTCGAGCCTTTCAGATCCTAAACCCTAAACCCTAAACCCTAAACCCTAAACCCTAAACCCTAAACCCTAAACCTCTCCTACCATATATATTTAAATGTTAAACCCCTTCGTGGATTTGCACACAAACCTTCGTGGATTTGCACACAAACCTTCGTGGATTTGCACACAAACCTTCGTGGATTTGCACACAAATCGGCCTGGAGGGGCCAGGGTTCAGGTTTTTCAACGGCGTCGGGGGGCCTCGAAGGGCCAGGGTTCAGGTTTTTCAACGGTTTTGTGTGCAAATCCACGAAGGTTTGTGTGCAAATCCACGAAGGTTTGTGTGCAAATCCACGAAGGTTTGTGTGCAAATCCACGAAGGCCATTAACCTTTATAATGTTCATGCCTTCGTGGATTTGCACACAAACCTTCGTGGATTTGCACACAAACCTTCGTGGATTTGCACACAAACCTTCGTGGATTTGCACACAAACCTTCGTGGATTTGCACACAAACCTTCGCGGATTTGCACACAAACCTTCGTGGATTTGCACACAAGCCGGCCTGGAGGGGCCAGGGTTCAGGATTTTCACTGGCCTCTCGAAAGGCCAGGGTTCAGGTTTTTCACCGGTTTTCCATGTCTTCCGATTGATTAGCTTTTTCGTAGGCGTGGGGGCAGCAGAGTTCAGGTTTTTCGCCTTTTTTTTTTCACGGGCTCGAGGGGCCAGGGTTCAGGATTTTCACTGGCCTTTCGAAGGGCCAGGGTTCAGGTTTTTCATTGGTTTTTCAGGTTTTCTACCGGTTGTTTGCTTTTTCGTAGGCGTGGGATCTCCAGAGTTCAGGTTTTCACTGTTTTTTTTTTCACGGGCTCGAGGGGCCAGGGTTCAGGTTTTTCACTGGCTTTTTTTTCACGGGCTCGAGGGGCCAGGGTTCGGGTTTTTCACTGGCGTCGAGGGGCCAGAGTTCGGTTTTTCACTGGCTTCGGAGACCTAGTAAGGCCCTGAGGCCCCAGGGTTCAGGTTTTTCACTGGTTCACGGCCTCGAGGGCCCAGGGTTCGGGTTTTTCACTGGCGTCGGGGGGCCAGGGTTCAGGTTTTTCACTGGCTTCGGAAGACCCAATAAAACCTCTCTCGGGCGTCGGGGCCCCAGGATTCGATTTTTCACTGGTTTTTTTCTTAAGGCCTCGAAGGGCCAGGGTTCGGGTTTTTCACTGTCGTCGAGGGGCCAGGGTTCCGTTTTTCACTGGCTTGGGAGACCTAGTAAGGACCTGAATTTTCCCCAACCCGCCCTCGAACATCAAACTCAAGGTTTTCTCGGGCGTCGGGGCTCCAGGGTGCAGGCTTTTCACTGGTTTTTTTTTTTCACGGGCTCGAGGGGCCAGGGTTCGGGTTTTTCACTGGGGGGTCCGGGGGGGGCCAGGGTTTAGGATTTTCACGGGCGGGGGCGGGTGCAAAACCACGAATGTGCTTAACATTTAAATTATTATAAGTAGGAGAGGGTTGAGGATTTTCAGGGGGTCGGGTCCCCAGGGTTTAGGATTTTCACGGGGTCGGGGCCCTAGGGTTTAGGATTTTCACGGGCGGGGGCGGGTGCAAAACCACGAATGTGCTTAACATTTAAATTATTATAAGTAGGAGAGGGTTGAGGATTTTCAGGGGGTCGGGGCCCCAGGGTTTAGGATTTTCACGGGGTCGGGGCCTAGGGTTTAGGATTTTCACGGGCGGGGGCGTGCAAAACCACGAATGTGCTTAACATTTAAATTATTATAAGTAGGAGAGGGTTGAGGATTTTCAGGGGGTCGGGGCCCCAGGGTTTAGGATTTTCACGGGGTCGGGGCCCTAGGGTTTAGGATGTTTTTTCCTAATGGTGTGGGACCCAATGGGCGGGTGGGTATTCCCCTATGGCCTTGAAAGCTGCTCAACTAGTGAATGCTTGGACCAGAGATGCTGAACCCTAAACCCTAAACCCTAAACCCTATATACCCTAAACCCTAACCCCGCAAACCCTGGGAAGCCCAAGCCTCTGCAGCTGGCCATCAGAAGGCAAAGTCAATGTCAACAGCTACCCCTGCTGTGACTAAAGCTGCCATATGCCCTTTACGGGGGTTTAGGGTTTAGGGTTTGGGGTTCAGGGTTTAGGGTTTAGGGGTACCGTATGCCCGTTTTGGGTACCTTGTTCCACCATTCCCTACTAAGAACCAGCCAGTATGGGGGTTTCCGAAAATGGGGGTGCCCGTTTTGGCTCCTCGAAGGGATTCTATTCTTATTTGGGGTATAAAAGGGGTACCAGTTTTGGGAAATACTAAACCCTAAACCCTAAACCCTAATTACACCCTAAACCCTAAACCCTAAACCCTGAACCCTAAATCCTAAATCCTAAACCCGAAACCCTAAACCCTAAACCCTAAACAAAAAAAACCTGTAAGGCCCAAGTCGGATGCCCCGGAGCCCGCCATCTTTCCTTCACAGAGCGGGTGCTGATGTCAGGGTCACCGGCTGAGCCTTAAGCCTCAAGCCGGATTCAGTGACAAGACTTCAAGAGTTGCAAGATCGAGGCGCCGGATTCAATGACAAGAGTTGCAAGATCGACCATGATCAGTCGGCTTCATCTAAGCATAAGGCTCTTCTCACTGAAGCAGCTGGGGGTATGCGAGGGCGAGTGCGCTAGGCATACTGCTCGAAGGTGTCGCTGGCCTCCGAGGACTCCGAGTCGCAGGTTCCTAAGAATCCGTTCATCCGAGCTTCTTTCGCGTCCCTCAGCTCTTTGTGAAGGCGAAAGAGGGAGGAGATGAAGGCCAAGGCCAAACAGGTGAGCAAGAACATGAAGACCGACTTCCATCCGAGCTGGTCACTGAGCAATCCCACCATGTACTGCCCTACAGCCGCCCCGACTGCGCCGGTGCCATCGATGATGCCCGTAACGGTGGCAGTGGCCCGGGCCCCCTGAAGACTGGGATGCTTCCCCAAATCTACTGAGACCGCGGAAGTCAAGGCGTCGGCTGGCCCACCTTGTACAAGGAGGGGGGCCCTTACTATACTAACTGTAGCTAAGATAGCTAAGGGACTTATAACCGAATTTAGGATCCCTTATAACCCAATTTCGGGTTCTTATAACTCTACTTATAACTAGGGGGCCCCTCCTTGTAGGATGCCACAGAAGAAGATGGCCCACTTGATGGTGTCCGGATTGGTGGAGAAGCGCATGACTGACATGGGAAGGAGCGAGAGCAAGAGGAACCCGCTCACCACAGGACTTCTCATGGGCATCCCAGCCCAGTGGCTGGTAACATCACTGAGCAGACCTGCCAGAACTGCACCCACAATGAATCCTAGGTCGAACCGAGTGGACATCAGATTGGCCAGCGACTTGTCCACGCCTATGCCCTCGCTGAGGTAGAAGGGCAGCCAGAGGAAGAGGGCGTAGTTCACGAGCTTGATGAAGAGATAGCACGAGGAGTAGAGCATCAAGCCGGGAATGCAGAGCACCTGACAGAAACTGGCGTAGGTCCCGGAGACCTCTTGGTCCACTTGAGTCGCCTCAGCCTCCTTGTATTGCCAGTCCAGAGACAAAGGAGGAGGAGTGCCTCTCAGGAAGATCATGTTCACAAATGTCCAGAAGATCATGAGGCCAGCCATGACCCATAGCGCCACATACCACGGGCTACTTTCGAGGATGGCGGCACTCACATGCAGACCAAAGATGTCGCCTACATTGGAGTTCGTGGACCAGGCACCCATGATTAATCCCCGACCTTCGGACGGGAACCAGTTCCCCATGATGGCGACAGTACAAGTCCAGCCGGTGGCCTGAAACAGGCCTTCACTGATGCGGAGGATGGTCCAAAGACCATAGCAGCCACCTGTCCCACCGCAGCCACTGCTGCCCAAGAATCCCTCGATGATGGGCAGCACGGCGCAGGCCAGCATGCCCCAAACCAAGGCGCGCTTGGGGCGAACAAAGTCTGCGAAACGGCCGCACAAGAACTGGCCAATGGCATAGGCAAACATGTATCCTGTTGACATCACGCCCAGCTTGGTTGCGGTAAAGCCCGCCTCCTCCTTCAAAGATGCGGCGATGCCTGAGAACGTAATGCGCTGGGCGTGATACATGACGTAGGTCACAAAGGTGAGGACCGCGGTCAAAATGATCCGACCATCCATTGTGACGGAGCACTTCGCCCGCTCCTTGTCCGACTGCTCAGGGCCACCATAGATGTACTCCTGTATCCTTGATGCCATTGGCACCCTGACTAGACTCGCAGTCGGTAATGGCTGGGCGCCCCTTCTACAAAAGCTTCAGAGGCAAGAATGGGGTTGAGTAACATCTTACAGCTAAGAATTTGGGATGTTCCCCCCTATACTAACACTCCTTCGTAGGGATTATAATAAGGGGGGGGGGGTACTGTAATCCCTATTTAGGACTGTTAGTATGAGCGATACTCTGCGGTTTAGGGCTTAGGGTATAGGGTTGAGTCTGCACAGTTGGGAATTCTTCTCAGGACTCGGCAACTTCGATGAATCTTGTCTTTGCTCCCCAAAGCCCATATGAACACTGAGAAACCTAAACTCAAGTGACAGTAACGCGGCAACTTCAACAGTAAGGTCTTTGCCATAAGCAATCGGTATCCTGATTGCATCATGGCACGTTGGCCCAGTGGTCCAGATGGAGAAGGAACTCCAACACATAGAGCCTTTGCTTTCTTTGGTTTAGGGTTTAGGGTTTAGGGTTTAGGGTTTAGGGTTTAGGGTTTAGGGTTTAGGGTTTAGGGTTTAGGGTTTAGGGTTTAGGGTTTAGGGTCTGGGCATAAGAGCTTCTCGCCCCGATACGAGCGAACAGGACTGTGCACTGTAGGGGTCGGAATAACTACTAATAATATTCCTTGATGGTCCCCGTTTAACTATATTATAGCAACCCACTAAACCCTAAACCCTAAACCCTAAACCCTAAACCCTAAACCCTAAACCCTAAACCCTAAACCCTAAACCCTATTCTAGTTATTCAGGCCCCTATATTGCATCGCTGCTGTCTGCGGATCCGCGTGCCCGCGAACAAAAAAAACACTGGGACGAACCCAGGGATGCAAGGGCTGGTCCAAAGAGTGTGCATCAGCTGCACCTAGACCCTAAACCCTAAACCCTAAATTCTAAACCCTAAACCCTAAACCCTAAACCCTAAGCCCTAACCCTTAACTAGATTCGGTGGTGCTGTCCGAAACCCTCCCAAGTCACACATCGACGCTAGCCCTGAGGAGGCCTGGACCTGAACGTCACACCTTCTTGCCTTTGAGGGTTTAGGGTTAGGATTCGGGATTGGGGATTAGGGTTTGGGGTTTGGGGTTTGGGGTTTGGGGTTTAGGGTTTAGGGTTTTGGGGTTTGGGGCTTGGGGTTTGGGCTTACCAGAAAAAAGCAACATGTGCTAGAGGCTGCTAGGCCCGAATTACCCCAGAAAATTGCACGACGCATTTCTGGTGCTCTGCAGGGAGCTTGCTGGGATCGCGTGCGAAGGCCCAGAACAGCGCGCAACTCCATAGCTCGAAGAGACAAACCACCAGCGTGGCGTAAAGCCTTGGCTCGTGACGCCCCCATGAGCATGGGCCGCAAGCCGTGAAGGGCATGATTTCTGACAGAGGAGGCGATGATTTTGATACCGACGAGAATCTCATGAATTTATGGTGCAGTGGTTCATGGATCCCAGGCGAGAGAATGCGGGTAGTTAGTTCGGCTCTTGTACTCCCAGTGTCTCTTGGTATTCCTCTCATTGCAAGCAAGGGCTGCTCATAATGACGAAGTACTGCCGTGTACTGATATGGGGCGTTTCGACACTAGGGGCTACCTTATTGGGGTCCAAACTGTCATAGAATTAGATAATAAGATAAGAATAAACTACTCTCATGATAACATAGAACTATATTCATACAATACATCAAAAAATATGCCATATGAAATGACAATAGTTAACAATTAGGAATAGCAAAGAATAACAATAACAATAAGAATCGTGACAGTAAAACATAGTAATGACACTAAGAAACCATCATCATAACAACGAATATAGTTAGAAGAATACTCGTAATCAGCATACTAGTAATAACAAAACCAGCACGACAGCCCAAACCGTGGCGTCCCATGTGCTCCTTCGCGCCAAGAGGCCAAAGCTGCCGCGCCATAGGTGATGCCAAGAAGCAAGATCCTATGTAGGTAACCTTAGAAGCAAGGAGGGTTTAGGGTTTAGGGTTTAGGGTTTAGGGTTCGCAGCTTTAGGTACGGTGCATGACAGAGATTGGAGAACGGTGAAGCTGCAACACGCTCAGCACAAGCTTCACGTCTGCGTTCGCAGTAGCCGCTCGCACGGGTATCATGAGGATGCGAAGCATCAGCTGGTTGCCTTGGTCTAAAGGGTTCCAAGTATGGGTCCTTAATTTGGGTGCCTTGTTATGTAAGCACCTGGTTAGGGCTCCGACGACTACGTTTGCACGGCACGCCACAGTAGGATGCAAGTAGGGTCACGGTGCTTTAGGATGGGAGTTTATAAGGTTTACTTCAGCCCTAAACCCTAAACCCTAAACCCTAAACCCTAAACCCCAAACCCTAAACCCCAAACCCTAAACCCTAAACCAACCTTTGCTGCTCAAGTGCGTCTCTGCATCCGCAGCTCCATCTCGTGTGCTTTTGCTTCCAACACTTTCTGGGCCTCGCAGCAGAAGAGCGAAAGAGATGAAGCCATGTGGGTTTAGGGTTTAGGGTTTAGGGTTTAGGGTTTAGGGTTTAGGGTTCATCCAAGCCGGCCAAGGATTGAAGGTTCAAGGGTATGGTATGGGGTATAAGCCTTCTCAACTTGCCCCTACAAAACCCCCAACACACCCTAAGCTGTCTCATAAGGGTCCTCTTTTAGCCCCTGAACTTAACCTTCGGTTTCGGGCTTTTGGGCCGCACCTGGCTCGGCGTGACAGGCTTTGGGACTATAGGACTGAAACCTTTAAGGATGCCAGAAGGAAGGCTATAGAAGGGAGAGCCAGCTTTCGAAACCCCCCCCCTAAACCCTAAACCCTAAACCCTAAACCCTAAACCCTAAACCCTAAACCCTAAACCCTAAACCCTAAACCCTAAACCCTAAACCTTGAGTGGACCTCACGCTCGGCTCGCAGCTCTTCCTGGTCGTCCACGATGGTGCACGTCCTTTGCACGACCCGGCTGAAGGTGAAGGGTTGGGTTTAGGGTTTAGGGTTTAGGGTTTAGGGTTTAGGGTTTAGGGTTTAGGGTTTAGGGTTTAGGGTTTAGGGTTTAGGGTTTAGGGTTTAGGGTTTAGGGTTTAGGGTTTAGGGTTTAGGGTTTAGGGTTTAGGGTTTAGGGTTTAGGGTTTAGGGTTTAGGGTTTAGGGTTTAGGGTTAGGGTTTAGGGTTTAGGGTTTAGGGTTAAGGTTTCTGTTTTCCAAGCTTCCCGGCTCTGGCCGGGCAAGGGTATGCAGCATGGCTTCTTTCTGCCACGTGCTTAGCAATGCCCTCCACCAGGCTACTGTAGCAATGGAGAAAAGCTCCGTCTGAGCGAAGCCCCCAAACTATGTCCAATTCAGCACATTCCTGTTGCACAAGGCAACATAGATTCAGGGTTTAGGGTTTCGGGCAGGGTTCTACCACTTTCGCAAGAGGCAAACACAAATCTGACATTATGCTTCCCAGCATCTTGCGTTCTTTGCCGTCGTCCGACAAGCCCATGCCGGAAGAGTATAGAGCCTTTTATAGGTCTTACATGACAAGCAAAGGAGACAGCTCGATCAGCGAACAAGCTTCGGAAAGATTCTCATATGTTTCTCTCTCCATATATCTATACATACATACATATATATATATATATAATTGTCTGTAGTCTTATTACTATGATTATGAATTACTATTATTACTACCATTATGATAATTATCTGTAGTCTTATTATTATGATTATTAATTACTATTATTACTACTATTACGATAATTATCGGTAGTCTTATTTTTATGATTTGTTATTGTGATTGGGAGACTTGTGCTTGCTGCTTGAGCGCATCTCCGGAAGACAAGCTCGCCATGGTAAGGCCTGGGCTTAGGGTTTAGGGTTTAGGGTTTAGGGTTTAGGGTTTAGGGTTTAGGGTTTAGGGTTTAGGGTTTAGGGTTTAGGGTTTAGGGTTTAGGGTTTAGGGTTTAGGGTTTAGGGTTTAGGGTTTAGGGATTAGGGTTTAGGGTTTAGGGTTTAGGAACAACATTCAATGTTGCACTCGGTTTCGTATATGCATCCTCTATAATCACAAGTTTCCAAAGTTTATTCTGTGAGCCGAGTTTGTTGGAGGTACCCGTTATCATGACAAGTTTTTTTGTTTTTTTCGGACGGCTGTTTTGTTTTTAAGGGTTTGTGTTTAGGGTTCAGGGCTTACGCGGTAAGGCTTGAGGCCCTGAATCCAGAAAGCTAAGCCCGTCCAGCCTTCTGGAGTTCATTACGAAACGAGGCCCGAAACAAATGTCGCGATAGCTAGCCCACGGGCCGGCCGGACTGTCTTTAGTAAGTTCGTCACCCTCTATAGTACACAGTTGTTTTTGGATGTGTTTTTTTGAGGGTTTGTGTTTAGGGTTCAGGGCTTACGCAGTAAGGCTTGAGGCCCTGAGGGCCTTGGGCTCCAGGAATCTTAAAGGCTGGAAAGCTTCAGGCCTTAAGGTCCTAACGGCTTGAGTGCGCCCCCCGCGTCCCCCACAAATTTGTTTTGGGGGGTCGCTGCGCCACGCGTTTATAGAGGGTCCAAATTTGTTGGGGGAGGGGGGGGGCTCTTTATTAAAGCGAGCGCAGCCCTAAACCCTAAACTCTAAGAATTGCAAGCGTCAGAAAGGCAGCGAGATCTCCGTAGCAGAGAGCAACTGTCAAGTCATTTGGCCCAGTAACCATCTTATAATAAGGGCACCCTTTTTCGGGTTGGTTATTTCATAAGGGAAACCAGAACCCAAAAAAAGGGTAAAGGCTATCACTGGGCTACCAAGCAAGTCATTTGGCCCAGTTGCTCAATCGTTTGCTACATTCCGCCGGCTCCTCCGATCTCTTGAGGATCGAGCGCAGCTGTGGTTTGCCTTACAAGCGATCGAGGAGCTCTTTGCAACCCATGCTTGGTTCCTACAAAGCCTAAACCACATGCCATCAGAGAGGCCCGTTCGCAGCAAGGATGGTTGCTTCACCATCGGCATTTCTTGAGCTTTGGGCGATGCTTGCGACCTGGGATCGCACGACCCATCTCGGGCAAGACGACCCCACACCCATGCAGCACGCGCCTTGCCGGGCTAAAGATCGACAGTGCCACTGACATCTAAGAGGCGAGGATGAGGAGGATGACGACGAAGATGCCACTGATCCCAAAATGGGCCTGTGCGGCCTGTTTGCAGACACCCGCCCACAGCCACGGCAACGGCAGGTGCATTTCAAGGAAAACATGTTGAAACCAACTACATCTGCGCCTGCAAATCATATCAAATCACGTGCCAGTTGTCGTGTTCGCCCGTGTTTCCACATACTCGTTGTGCAGCCGAGAAGCAGCTCTGATGGCACTTGTACGAAGTCAAGATGTTCTCCGTCGTCGTCATCCTGGTCTTCGTGATGTGCCTCAGGAATGAGATGTCCAAGGCTTAGGGTTTAGGGTTTAGGGTTTAGGGTTTAGGGTTTAGGGTTTAGGGTTTAGGGTTTAGGGTCCAAGCCCAAACGCTGCATGTCAGGCTGAGCATCAGATTCCTATCGCCACATGGCCCGAAACTAATTGCTGAACTGGCCGCGGCATCCGATTGTTGTCGAGCGTGGTATTCGTGCACTTCAGGCAGCTCGCCGGTGAAACTGCCACAAGCGACTGGAATGGCAACCACGCTGGCTGCAGCTTGACATATGAAATGCAGGCAGATCAGATATTTATATATATATATATATATATATATTATATCTCTCATGAATCATGAAGTCGTGAGAGAGCCTGCCGCACACCCTAAACCCCCCGGCCTAATTCTTGCATTTTTACCTTCGCCGTCGTCCGTCTCTTCAACGCTCAAAGTTTGGGATAGCTCCGCCGCCCTGGCTTGCAGCTGCGTTCAAGGCTACAGACTGGGTATAGCACTGAAACACATGTGAATACATAAATACATACATACGTACATGCATACATATATATATATATACATACATATCTGTGTGTGTATGCGCCCACCAGAAATCGTATCCTGTGCAGTACCACCATGGTAAATTAGTAACTACAAAAATGAATGAATTAATCTCTATATATATATATACATATATATATATATATAACGAGAGAGAGAGAGAGGGAGAGTGAGAGAGAGCGAGAGAGAAAAAACAAGAACAACGACAATGGTCAGCTCCCTAATTGATGCTCCCCGAAGCAGATCAGGGACCGAAACATTGGACCCCAGCACAAAGAAGCAGCGCTGCTTTGCGATAGCCCTAAACCCTCAACCCTCAACCCTAACTGAATGCAAAGAAGGCGCTTCTCGGACTTCTCGGGAATGCTCTGCAGAATTCGGGTCCATTGCAATCCGTCCTGGCCACTGCGACATCATTTCTTCTCCCAAGCTGCGCCAGACTTTCAACACCTTATGAACACTAAATATAGGGTTTAGGGTTTAGGGTATAGGGATTAGGCAAATATACCCTAAACCCTAAAACCCTTTTCTGGGGTGTGACTCGGTCCCAAATACATGTTTAGTTTGCAATATCAGACAACATCAGCAGGAAAAACGGAAATTCGACTGGATCCATGCGGAAAAAACCCTGAGGTATGTCCGTACGGCGCCATCTCACCTGAAAAAGTGTGCGTCGGTGGTTGCTTAGTAGCCCACTAACCATCTCATCATAAGGGTACCCTTTTTTTGGTTGGGCACTTCATAAGGGAACCCCGAACCCGGAAAAAGAAAAGGGTAAAGGCTACCACTGGGCTACCAGGGCCAGAGTTGGTACTGATGCTCCCAGTCCTCCGTGCGGCACTGTCCCTAGCCCAGCAACCATCCTATAACAAGGCTACCCTAGTTTGAAACTGGGTACTTTATGCAGGAACCCAGAACCAACAAGAAAGGGTTTTTAAGTACACTAATTATTATACCATATATTGATAAAATTGGTAGAAAACCATTACTGGGCACCCAGTGGGCTACTAAGGTCCTGATGAAATGTGTCCGAACCGGCGGGAGCGCTCTCGGCAGCTCGGGCAGGGCTCGCTGGGGCGGCTGATGTGGCTGAGAATTTGGGACTCGGGCTCAAGCTTCCTGGCAGTGCCGCCTGCAAGATAGGGTTTAGGGTTTAGGGTTTAGGGTTTAGGGTTTAGGGTTTAGGGTTTAGGGTGGGTTTAGAGCGATGTCACACAACTCTACACATGCATGTTAAGTGCGACACCACAACAATTGCCAGTGCCTGCGCTGGGGGGCCCGGGGGCCTCGGTGCCCCGCGGCCAGCTCCTCGGCAAGGCATGTGGGGCCAATGATGGTTCGGCACACCTCATGTTACCCTAAACCCTAAACCCTAAACCCTAAACCCTAAACCCTAAGCCCGGAAGGATCAGAATATCAAAGTCTTACAGCGGCGTGGCCTTTGCCCGGCGCAGGCGCTGGAGGGCGTGGAAGATTCATGCCATCAAAGCGCCCAGATTTCCACTAGCTGCTCATGCAGGCCAGCCAATCACCTTGAACCTGGAGCACGCAACGCGAGGCAATTTAAGGTTGCGCGCGTGGAAGGTTTCGATTCCCTTTGTTGCACATTCGTTCGGCCCAGTGCATGGTCAAATAGCATGTAACTACTGCCCGATGTGTCTTCACACATGCACACACGCACACACGCACCCGTGCACACAAACACACAATCTTCTCTTCTCCTCCCTCGTCTACCTCTCGCTCTCGCTCTCTCTCTCTCTCTCCTCTCTCTCTCTCTCTCTCCCTCTCTTTCTGTGTCATCATGCCTGCCTTCCTTCCTGCCTAAGCCTTGCCGCCACACACACAGTCAGATGAACCACCCTCCTGGGAGTAAGCATGACAATGAACAGCTTCAGTCTCTGCTTGCACCAACTTCTTCAGCAGTGGGCTACATCAACTTGTTCAACACTGAGGCTGCATCAGCACATTTGAACACCTGCATGAAGAGTCTTGCTGGATGCCCTACACCCAGACATTCTGCACCCTAAACCCTAAACCCTAAACTCTAAACCCTAAACCATGAAAGAGACTATCAGGTACCTGCAAGGCGTCCCTCAAGCGTTGTTCACAACATGCAGTGGTGGTCGTCATTGGCATGAGCACCGCTACATGTTTTCATGGCCCCTGTTGGAAATCATGAGAAATTAGGGACCTTTCCGATATCCTTCAAAGTGGCCTCCACACACTCTCTCTCCCTCTCTCTTCTCCTTTTTTTTTTGTTCTCTCTCTCTTTCTCTCTCTCTCTCTCTCTCGCTCTCTCTATGGAACATCCCAATCCATCTCCCTGATGAAGTGCTTTGGCTTTGTGCTCAGCAGGCTTTTGGTAAACAAGGCAGCAAACGCAAAAGAAAAACCACAAGAAAGAGCGGCAAGCGAAAAGCAGAGGCACAACTGACCTGCAACATGCAAAATCAACCCCTCCAACTGGCAAAGCAGGAGGGGCTCCACCAAAGCGCATGAAGCAAACAAGCAGGCAAACAACAACAAGGTACAGCTGACAGCAAGGAACACACGCAAGGAC